AGAAGTTGTACCCGCCAAGGTTCGAGCAAACGAAGAGCTGCGGTATCCAGTCCTCCAGACGACCACTTGCTGGCAGTCGGCGAAAATAAGCGAGCTCCCGGCGGCAGAGGTCGGAACAGACGAAATCGGACAAGGCAGATAGATCATGATAAAGAGCTGCAAGGTTCACACACTTGTCATCCCCATTCTGATGTTCGGCAACAACTGGTCAATAAATACCAGTGCCACTGACCCATGCGCACTTCCTTCCCCGCATGCCTGGACAACTAGCTATCAACCCAAACAAGGCCGGGTGCTCTCTACGGGTCGTCATCGTCGGCGGTGGGCTGGCCGGCATCGCCCTCTCCTTCACATTGCAGCGCGCAGGACATGTTGTGACGGTGATGGAACGCAGCGATGGGTCGTCTCGGGTGGGTGGCGCCCCGTGTGTACATGTTTCCTGAGAACTGATGTGACTGCCTTTGCATGCGCTCAGAGTCTGACTGGGATACGGTGCGTGACTGTAGTTTCCGTCTTGGGGAGCGCCTGCTGAGGAGCAGCCCCAGGTCGCCACCGAACATGACGCGCATTCTCAATCACTGGGGTCTGGGGCCTCGGCTCGCCAAGACCGCAGTCAAGTGCCCCGAATTCCTCTTCCACCAAGCCAACGGCGAAGTTCTCGGCGCGATTCCATTGCACGAGGATTTTCTTCGGGATCTTATGGCCGACTTCCTTTTCCTGCAGCATGGGGAGCTCAAGACCATGCTTCTATCTCTCGCGACGCGCGAAGGTGTGGAGTTTAGGTACAACACCGAGGTTGAGGCGGTCGACGGCGATGCCGTGAGCGTGAGACTGTCGTCCGGCGAGACGGTGTACGCGGACATCGTCATCGGCGCCGACGGGCCCGACAGCAAGGTCAGGAATCTCGTGGCAGGGGAAACTATCCTGGGCGAAAAAGATGGGAATATGAGCCTGACTATGGCGATCCCTACCGACCGGATGCGGGATGATGAGGATCTGCGGGCTCTGACGCAAGGCGGCAAGGTGGGGTGACGCGTTCTCGATTCCAGTTCGGCTTGCTCATGGGTCGTTCTCAGTGGTGGGTGTGGCTAGGCCCGAATCTCTTGTTCCATGGCAGCCTGATAGTGAGTCTCAACGGTCCTTGCCACGACGCCGATCACTGATTTGCCTGATTAGTCCGGAGGGAAATTGTTTTCCATCGTCATCGGCTTGCGCGACGTCGAACCCGAAAAGATTGCTAAATACGAGGAGTCATGGGAGAATGAATACGACATCAATGAATTCGGCATCGATTGGAGCGCATATGATATTCGGTGCGTTGCCAACACCCCACCGCCCAGTCTCCATCTCATGCATCGAGCAGAGTCCAGAAGATGATGAAGCTGGTTGAGAAGGTGACTGCGATAGCGCATGTCAAGCGGCCGATCCTCGAGTCGTGTGTTTGTGATCAAGCACGGATAGTCATTGTGGGAGAAGCAGCCCATCCCTTGGTAGTGCGTCTGTGCACACTGTCGACGTCTTTTATGCTAACGGCACATTGCAGCCTACCGGTCAGCATGGTACCGGACTGGTCATCGAGGATGCAGAAACAATGGGTGCTCTCTTCTCCAGGATCCAAAATCGGTCTCAGATCCCCCGGATGCTGTCAGCGTACGAGGAGCTGCGTCAAACCCGGTGCAATCACGCGCAGGACTACGAGGGCCGCAAACGGCACATGCTGAGTGCCCCCACGGGACCGCAGCAAAAGGCGCGGGACGAGCGCATCAGACGAACCGCCGCATTCCAGGGCGACTGGGCCCATCTCGACGAGGCGCGGTTCATGGCGATGTGGGGCGACGAGATCCACATGTTTTCGTACTCTTCGACGGAAAGCGTGCAGGACTGGTTCAGCAAATGGGGTGGACTCGCACTGGCGCCCAAGTCGGGGAAATTGGATCCCATCTCGCCAACGGTCGAGGTCAACATCTCGTCCGGTCACCCTCGGCCGACGAGGAAACTAAGCTGATGATGCCCTAAGACGAATCCTTCATGACCTCTGACCGCGCATTAGCGTCGGTTGTATCTATATGATGACGCATCAACAATGTTGTATATATATCACATCTGGCTTCCCATTGTTATCAATCTCCTAGACTCACAATCCAATTCATTAGAACTCGATCCATGGCTGCTTAGAACCCAGCCTGCGCTGCTGCTCGCTCTGCGAATGAGCCACGGGGTTCCCAGCTGGCTTGGTGTTTCGCCTGTGAGCCCGATTGAGATCTCGCCGCGCCCCACGCTCCTCCTCCAGGAGTTTCAATCAAAAGCCGGTCACCCTTGCCCATCCAAACTGTGGCCTTTCCGCCGATGTTGATATCACGTGAGAGTGCATTCGCGTCCTCTGTCAAGTCTCCGTCTTCCTTCCGCAGTTTCTTGATCCATGTGTTTCGCCCGAGTGCCCCAGGTTCGCCACCTTCCATTCCGTACGGTTGCCGGGTTCGACGCTTCGGCGTTAATTAGCGAGGGCAAAGAGAAACTGGGACATGACACACTTCAGACATGAACGACACTTGCAATGGTTCGAGAAACTCCAGCTCCCGGATGACTCCATCACCACCCCGGAACTCACCCTGACCACCTGATCCTGCCCTCAGGCCAAACTGGTGCAGGATTACTGGATACCGGCGTTCTATGATTTCAACGTCCCCTGTGGCGGTCTCAGCCAATGGAAACTTTAAGCGGTTGGAAGAGGAGATACCAATCCGGGTATTGGTGATGTGTGTATGCACGCCGTCGGTGCCATGCCATGTTGGGCCCGCACCCGAGCCACCGGCGATGGTCTAATGCCTGATCAGCATGCAGAGACCACACGCAGCCGGGAAAGATACTTGCCTCATAATATCCCCATCCGGCAATGTTCTTGCCCTCTTTGTCCTTGCCACCGGCCCCGAATGTCAGGTTGCTGCAGATTGCTTGAGCAAAACGAATCACTAGTGCAACACAGACGTACTTGGTGCACCCCTGGCTGGCTGCAGCGGCATGGAAAGCCTTGAGCACGACATCGACGATCCGCTGCGAGGTGAGGACATTCCCTCCGCAGACAGCGGCCGTCCGCGAAGGCGACAACAATGATTTGGGAGGGATGATGACTGGAAAAGAGAATGTCATGTCATGCTCCGCATCGCCGCCCCACGAGAAGCCATGGTAAAATACGTACTCTCGATCGGCACCAGACACCCGGCATTCAACGGGATATCCAAGTCCAGCATCGCCCGCATGCAGTAGATCACAGCGGAATGCACGACTGAGATTGGCGCGTTGAGATTTCCCCGTACTTCGCAGCCGGTGCCGGTGAAGTCCAGCACCGCCGATCCGTTGGCTTCGTCGATGTCGACCTTGAGCTGGATCGGGGACCCATCATCGAGGTAGTCGATCGCCCGCAGCGTCGTCGTCCCCATGCGCTTGACGACGTCACGGAGAAGATTCCGTACAGACGCTTCGGCGTTGGCTCGGATGTGATACATATATTCTTGCACAGTTTCCAAGCCGTAATCTTCCACAACTGTGATCGTGTAGTCAGAGGATCGTCGTAACGGAACAAAGGCAACGATGCTGACTGGCGTGGATGAGCTGGATGCCTTTGTGGTTGGCTGCGATTTGCTATACAGGACTGGTAAGTTTGCCGCCATTGAGAGTGAACAAGCACACGGACGGCCTTCAGATCACTCTCCACATCCTTGATGTTCCTGCATCCTGAGCTACCGGGATACCGACTGGGCCTGTCCACCATATAGTCCACCAACCCATCTCGGTCAAAGATGCCCCCGTTGACGACCTTGAAGCTCTCGATCTCCGCGCCCTCCTCGAAGATACTCACGGATGTCGGGGGCATGGATCCTGGTAGAATTCCACCGATATCAGCATGGTGCCCTCGGGACGCAGTGAAGAAGATGATCTCCTTGGTGCTGGGATCGAAGACGGGGGTGATCACCGTGATGTCGGGAAGGTGTCTGCGATCGGATGGGTGCCCAGATTATGGCACGGCTAGCGGTAGAATGGAAGCGGACGTACGAGCCTCCAGCATGCGGGGAGTTGGTCATCAGCACGTCTCCCTCCTTCAGTGTCTTTCCATGGCGCTTCATCTGGTACTTCACCGCACTAGCATGATCATCTCCAATCAACGCCCCCGTCGCACTAGACGCAATGACCACTCACAAGCTCATCGAGCCCAGGTGAATCGGGATGAACGGCGCATTGGCCACCAGATCGCCGTCCGGCGCGAAAAGCGCACATGAGAAATCCAGGCGTTCCTTAATGTTGGTGCTGATGGCGGTCTGCTGCAAGCTACGTCCCATCGCCTCCGCGACGCTCATGAAGCGGTTCGCGAAGAGGGTCAGCAGAATGGGGTCAGGCTTGTTGACGAACGAGGAGGCTAACATAGTTGGAGCGGTTTCCGATGAGCGTGGATCGTATGTTCAGTATAAGTATATGTCGAAGCGAGTTCCGTGTGTTTTCCGAGTCCAGATTCGGGCTATCCGTCTTCCAGCCGAATGTCGACTGGGCTTGAGTGTTGAATTTGATTCGCTGAGTGAGGGATGGAGGCGGGCAACCGCTGAGAGGACGTTGCAGTAAGGCGCGGTTTCGACTGTACCAGTTGTAGTTGACGTCAGTCCAAACCAGGATTTGACCGGGCCGATCCCATACGCGTCTGCGCGCCCCGATCTAATCTGCTAATGATGGCAGGCTGATCAAGATGATCTAGTCGGAGCTGCTGTTCGAGGTTTTGCTTCATCAACTTTGTACTTGAACCGCAATACACCATGGCCAACCATTTCTCACCTCTGCTACACTCTATCGCTCCAGTATTATCAGGGGCCAATGCACTGATCCTCCTCGTTTTCTGCTCACTCCCATTCTTATCGTTATCTTCCCTCGGCAAGATCAGGGCTCATGACTCGACCCCAAATTTCCAATCGTTTTCCCGGGTTCTTGAACACCTTCCTCCATGACCGACGAGGAGACGCCGCTCTTGGGTGATGCGGCTCCGCCGTCCAAGACACAAGCCGCGTACGCGCGTTTCTCACGCTCGCAGAAAAGGACGATCAGTGCGCTGGTCAGCTACAGTGGGCTTCTTCCGCGTGCGTTTCATTTCGTTTGCTCTTTCTTTCTGTGCTCCGTGTATGTCTCAATGTGCGCATAGTATTTGCTGGCGGTTCCTTCATCCCCTCCATCCCTGAAATCGCGCATGATTTGGGCTCGACACCGAAGATCATCAGGTGTGTGGTCGCGACCTGCAAGTATAGCTCGGCATGACTCAAGCGTCGCAGTCTCGCGGTCAGCATATCGATCTTCAGTGCTGCGGTGGGGAGCATGACCTTCGCGACGTACTCCTCCTTCTGTGTGTTCCTGCCATGCATTTCCAGCGACCTCCTCACTAATTGCGAACCAGATGGCCGCCGGCCGATGTACATGGTCGGTCTTCCTTTGCTCTGCATCGGCTCTTTGGGAGTCGGGACCTCCACTCGCATACCCGAGCTTCTGTTCTGGAGATTCGTGCAAGCTTTCGGAGCCTCGGGAGGCATGTCCGTCGGCGGAGGGATCATCGCCGACATCTACTCCCTCACCGAGCGCGGGACTGCCATGGGCATCTTCCACGCGGCATCTTTGCTCGGCAACGCGCTTGCCCCGATCGTCGGTGGCTGGGTCGCGCATTACACGTCGTGGCGCTACCTTCAGTTCGGGCTCTGTCTGTCGGGAGCGCTTCTCTGGCTGCTGATGCTGTTGTATCTGCCCGAGACAAGCCATCCAGGGATCACCGGCTGGGAGAAGTTGATAGAGGCGGAACATGCTGAGGGGAAAGAGGACGATGGGAGGTTCCGATGGGCCTGGCTCAATCCGCTGGAGTGTCTGTGGTACTTGCGGAGTCCTGTGATCCTGCTGACGGTGCGCATTTCTCTTAAGATAGGCCCCGGTGGGCTCAATCTCTGCAGACATATTCGACCGCCGCTACTCTGATTACCGAATACGGCCTCCAAGTGCCCATGGCCCACACAATTGGAACGCGCTACGGAATCACGAATCCTGCACTCATCGGTGCTTGCTTCATTCCCATGGGAGCAGGAAACATTCTCGGTGCTCCCCTCGCAGGATGGATGTCTGACCGAATAGTCATCAAGTATCGTGAAAAGCGAGGGGGTGTCTGGGTCCCCGAAGACCGGCTACGAGGCTCGCGGATAGGAGCGGCCACACTGGTTCCGCTGAGTGTACTGGGCTCCGGGTTGGTCACACAGTATGGGCCGGATGGAATGCTGGGACTGGCGCTCAACTTGTGCTGCTTCTTTGTGAATGGAGTCGGTGTGAGTTGCTGCAAGTTGTTTATGCGCCTCGTTAGTGTCTCAAGGTTCCCCGATAGGTCGACACCGTCTTGGCTCCCAACTCGGCTTACTCTGTCGACATCATGCGCGAAAAAAGCGCCCAGGTGATGGCCGCTGGCGCGTGCGTTTCTCATTCTGTAACCGCATCATATTTTGTTTCTCACTTGTTGACATAGCGCTCTTCGCTCGAGCTTTCTAGCCATCGCCGTGGCTCTAGTCCTTCCCTCGATGGAGAAAAACGGTGTTCTTATCACCGATGCGTTGGGAGCTGCCATTGCATTTACTGCATTTCTGTAAGTATTCGAAATTTGCAACCCCGGCGGGTGGTCGCTGACATCGTTTTTCAGTTCGATAACCATTTGTATTCGATACGGAGACAAGTTAAGGGCAGCTGTCGATATTGGGTTCACTACTATCGATGAACTTTGAATAGAAATTAGAAAAGTTGTAAAGCTCGAATGCGCTTATGACGCGCCAAGTCACAACTTCGTCACAGCGCGAACGTGACACTACCCTTGATCTCATACTGAATGTCGTCGCACTCGAGCGACACGAACGAAACTCTCGGTCTCGCCGAGTACGTCGCGTCTCAAGACGAGCTTATCAAAGAGGCTGTACGTCTGCGTCTTGGCATGTCAGACGCATACGCCAATTTCCACTGCAGGGTTTAGCACTACCCCATCAATTCAACCAATGTACCTATGCACTGGGACACATAAGGTGAGCGGCTTTTCTAAAATGACGCATTTCACCGAGTCTGTGGTCTGCAGGCAAGCCGTCTACTTGTGTCTTACATGTCCAGAAGCACGAGGGATCTGTTCTGCGTGTTCCATCGCCTGCCACACCGAGCACAACCAAGTAGAGCTGTAAGCTTTCTCCCCGTCTCACTCGATTTAAGGCTCAGAATGCTCTGTTTAAAACAGCTTTCCGAAACGCAACTTCCGCTGCGACTGCCCTACTGAAGCCATTGCGCACGCATGCACTCTCCATCACACGAGTCCCCAACCCGAACCCGTCAACGCCCTTAACACGTACGGCCAGAACTTCCAGAACCAGTTCTGCCGCTGCGGACGACCCTACGACGCGAAAACGGAACGCGAGCCGATGATCCAATGCCTGTCGTGCGAGGATTGGTTTCACGAGTCCTGTTGCATGTTGCGCACGCGCCCCGACGATGAGACCCCGCCTGAGCCCGAACCCGAACCTGGAACTGCAGCGTCAGAGGCAGAAGTAGAGCGTGCAGGGATTGCCGAAACTGATGACGCGGCATCGGAGGCCTCCTCGTCTGGCCTTCCTCCGCCCCTTATCACCGCTTCAGATTACGAATCCTTCGTGTGTCGGACGTGCGTCTCGAGGATCCCTGCCCTGAAACTGATCGTCGGAACACCGGGGGCGATCGCCGTGGTGCGTGACTCCCCTGAGGCGTCGTGGAGAAAGCTGGGTGTTCCAGACGACGACGCGGCCGCCGTGTCGAATCCGGCGAAGCGGGCTGCTGGGGAGGAAGAGGGCGAAAAGGTCATCAAACGGGCTCGAGCCGATTCATCTGGAGCGAGCTCCTCGACGACGACCACAGCGACAGTTTGCCGGGCACCACAGACCGAGCTGGATGTTGACGACCCAGCTCTGTGCTCTGGCGACGTGTTTCTCACTGATGGATTTCGCGAGCGATGGTGTCGCTGTGACTCGGTTCGTTCATTCTGCTCTGTGTGTTAGGCGAAGTGAAATGACCCAATCTATTGTAGTGTCTACCTTCTCTAGAGGCCAATCAGTACCTACTCGAAGAAGAAGAGACCTACGAACCACCCGAAGACCCCGACTCGGGTCTCTCTCTCGACGAATTAGGGATGCGAGCCCTCGAAAGGCTCCCTCGAGAACGTGCGATTGACGGCATACTTGCATTCAACAAAATGCGGGACGATCTCAAAACGTATCTGAAGCCGTTTGCGGAGGAAGGGAAAATCGTTGCACAGGAGGACGTGCAGAGTTTCTTTGAACGGCTGAAGAATGAGTTCTAAGATGGGAATGTATGCTATCATCTTGCTATCGTACTGCTTGACATGGATGTTCATCATTCTCTCTGAGGAGTACATCTCGGATGACCAACCCGATAGGCCGGTCCCCGAACAATCTGTAAGCAGACTGCGATCTGTTGGGGGATCTGTACCTACCCCGCACCCCCCACTACAAAGGGGGAAGACACCGGGCGCGCCCACTCTCACTCTACCATGGCTTCTCCTCTCGTCTGGTTCATAACAGGTGCTGTAGACTCAAGAAACCCCACGCCGAATCAACTAAGTGAATCTCGATCGCAGGCACGTCCACGGGACTCGGCAAGACGCTCGTCTCCACCGTCCTCGCACGCGGAGACTTGGTCATCGCGACCGCGCGCACCCTGAGCGACATCGACACGGTGTGGGCCGGCAACCCGAACGTCCGAACGCGTCAATTGGATGTGACCTCCGGCCCGGCGGCGATCAAAGCCGTTGTCGATGAAGCGGCGGGATTCTGGGGCCGGCTAGATGTCGTGGTGAACAACGCCGGGGCCGGGTTGCCCGGGCTGCTCGAAGAGGGAGGGTACGTGCATGTGCGCTGGGTCGAGCAGCGGATCTGAACCGTGAACACTACACGACAGCACGGAGGTCCTGCGCAGACAATTCGAGATTAACCTGTTCGGCCCGTTCGACGTGCTTGTCGCTTGTCTGCCGCATCTGCGGAAACGGAAATCGGGCACGGTGGTGATCGTGGGCAGTCGCTCGGCATGGAAGACTGAGCTCGTGGTGAGTCGCGTGCAGCAGCCGTCCGTTCTGCACTCGCGCATTTCTCATGTAAATACAGGGTCTCGGCAAGTCCACCTTGCTCACTCGCCCATGATCGTCGAGACTGATATGGATGCATGCGTGCGTGTACGGTAGGTCAATACTCGGCGTCTAAAGCTGCCGTCCACTCGATCGCGGAAACGCTCGCAGCTGAAATCGCACCGCTCGGTATCCGCGTCCTGCTCGTCGAGCCAGGCGCGTTCAACAACGGCATGTATCGCAACCCGTATTTCACAGAGAACCCTATTTCCGACTACGACACCATGCGCCAGACCAGCATCGCGCGTTTCGCGGCGGTCCCGGGCACGGAGAAAGGCGACCGTGTCAAAGCAATGGAGCTTCTCGCGGACGTCGTCCGGGGAGAGGGGAAAGCTGCGGGGAGGCCGTGGCCCGGGAGATTGCCTCTGGGCGAGGACGCAGAGAGGGACATGCGGATCAAGTGCAAGCGAGTTGTGGATGGGCTGGATCAGTGGACGGATCTGATCAGCAATGTCAATCTGGATTCTGTTCAGGAGTCGTAGTACAAATGGGGGGCCTACTTTTACACGTTCAGAATGAGAAATTTAAAGATGTATACATAGACAAATGCACGGTGGACTCAGCAGTCCTCGTCGGCTTCCTCGACCGTAGTTCCCGGGAAGCCCCACTTGGAGGCAGCATTCAGGTCGCGTTGAATCTCAGCATCAATGCTGGCACGTGGCCTGAAGCTTTCTCTTCTTGCTCGAGCAGCTTTGGTTGCCAATACAGCAGGGTTGTAGGCGGCCTGGCTGTCACTCGCATAACGCCCAGCGCTAGCGTAGGAAGTAAGTTAGTCTACACCCATTGTTTAGTGGCCTTGGAGTTTGAACCCAGCTAGTTAGAGGTGTATCCACATGAGGAAATGTGCTTAGTCACCAAAGCTACATGCACGCACGATACATCCGGTTTCCCGCGATGCCATGTGTGGGGATTCGGTTTGTCAGCTCTTTCTTGAGGAACATATGCCTGAGTGACTGGGAACCTGGCAGACTGCGATCTGTTCCGCATACCCCGCACTCCCCACTACAAAAGGGCAAGACACCAGCGCGCCCACTCTCACTCCACCATGGATTCTCCTCTCGTCTGGTTCATAACAGGTGCTGCAAGCCAATAAATGCACACCCACACACCGAATCAACTGAGTGAATCTCGATCACAGGCACCTCCACGGGACTCGGCAAGACGCTTGTCTCCACCGTCCTCGCACGCGGAGACTTGGTCATCGCGACCGCGCGCACCCTGAGCGACATCGACACGGTGTGGGCCGGCAACCCGAACGTCCGAACGCGTCAATTGGACGTGACCTCCGGCCCGGCGGCGATCAAAGCCGTTGTCGATGAAGCGGCGGGGTTCTGGGGCCGGCTAGATGTCGTAGTGAACAACGCCGGGGCCGGGCTGCCCGGACTGCTTGAAGAGGGAGGGTGCGTGCGTGTGCGCTGGGCTATGCAACGAATCTGAACCGGGAACTCGACATTGCAGCACAGAGGTCCTCCGCAGACAGTTCGAGATCAACCTGTTCGGCCCGTTCGACGTGCTCGTCGCTTGTCTGCCTCACCTGCGGAAACGGAAATCGGGCACGGTGGTGATCGTGGGCAGTCGCTCGGCATGGAAGACTGAGCTCGTCGTGAGTCCCATGCATCCGTCCGTTCAGTGATGTTTCTCATATGATGCAGGGTACCGGTAAGTCCATCTCGCTCGCTCACCCATGGTCATCAGGACTGATGTGAATGTATGCGTGCGTGTACGACAGGCCCATACTCGGCGTCAAAAGCCGCCGTCCATTCAGTCGCAGAAACGCTCGCAGCTGAAATCGCACCGCTCGGTATCCGCGTCCTGCTCGTCGAGCCCGGCGCATTCAACAACGGCATGTATCGCAACCCGTATTTCACAGAAAACCCTATTTCCGACTACGACACCATGCGCCAGACCAGCATCGCGCGTTTCGCGGCGGTCCCGGGCACGGAGAAAGGCGACCGTGTCAAAGCAATGGAGCTTCTCGCGGACGTCGTCCGGGGAGAGGGGAAAGCCGCAGGGAGGCCGTGGCCTGGGAGATTGCCTCTGGGCGAGGACGCAGAAAGGGACATGCGGATCAAGTGCAAGCGAGTTGTGGATGGGCTGGATCAGTGGACGGATCTGATCAGCAATGTCAATCTGGATTCTGTTCAGGAGTCGTAGTACAAATGGGGGGCCTACTTTTACACGTTCAGAATGAGAAATTTAAAGATGTATACATAGACAAATGCACGGTGGACTCAGCAGTCCTCGTCGGCTTCCTCGACCGTAGTTCCCGGGAAGCCCCACTTGGAGGCAGCATTCAGGTCGCGTTGAATCTCAGCATCAATGCTGGCACGTGGCCTGAAGCTTTCTCTTCTTGCTCGAGCAGCTTTGGTTGCCAATACAGCAGGGTTATATGCGGCCTGGCTGCCGCTCGCATAACGCCCAGCGCTAGCGTAAGAAGCCGAGGAGGAAGTAGACACATTCAGAGACGTGCTTCGGCCAAAGCCAGTGGTTGGTTGCCGGCCATGCCCCAGTGCCTGGTACTGTGCGTGCATCCCAGCACCCGGCTTCGCGATCCCCGTTGGCGGGCCAGTGCTCCGACCCGCTGATCTGCTTGTCGGGATCTTCGTCGGCGAGGTTGATCGGTTGTTGTTCAGCCCACGATGCGCGCCGAGCACAGTTGGCGGCTTATATCCAGGCGTCACTTCCGTCCGCTGGCGCTTACTGGGAAGCGAGTTGCCACTTGCTGGAGCATGTCGGACCGCGGGGGTGACGACGCCACCGGATTTCGGAGCATATGAGTGCGTTGGTGTGGTGGCTCTGGCTGGAACACTCGTAGCTCGCATTCCGGGCGATGGCTTACGTCTTCCGGGGCCAACGTTCTCCTGGTCCGATGCACCGACCCGTTGCATGAGGATTTGCAAAATGCTTTGGCCATGTACAAGGAACGGTCGGTCGTTTTCCTCTTCCCAGGAGGGCACACTCGCCATGAGATCCTGTTCAAGCTATGGGGGCACATCTCAGTACGGTCCGACCAATCTCACATATCAAACACTCACTCTCGGCTTTTCCTTGGACACGCGTTTGCGCATCTTCTCCTCGCGAAGAAGCCGTCCAGGATCTCGGGCACCGCGACCCAGCAGTCGGCTCTGATCCGAAGCCGATGCAGCCAACTCTTTTTCCTCTTCGCAAATATCAAAGTATCGCCGGATACTCGCAAGAAGAGGTGCCTTGATTCGTTTCTCCTCTTTCAGTCGACGGATCTCATCTTCGTGTACCGTGAGAAGATCTTCCGTGTGCTCATCTACAGACGGATGAGCGATAGCTCAAGAAAGCGACATGACACATACCGTCGTAGAATGGATGCCAATCGCTGCGTTCAGCCTCGCCTACCATGAGTTCATCCCAGAGTTTCTCAACTTCTTCGCGCGCGCTGAGCACAAATGTGCCCATGCGGTCACGCTTGAGTTCGAGCATGCGCTCGAGTTCCTCCTCGTACTCCAGCACGGTATCTTCGGTACTGCCCCGATGATGCTCGACGAAGGCATCCATGTCCGACTCGGCGATGCCCAGGCGCTTCCAGAGCCCCTCCAACTGATCATACATGGCCTGGATGTGTGCTTCCCGGCGCCGTTTCGTGTCTTCCAGCGAGGCCCGCAAGTCAGAAGCCCAAGAAACAAGCGTCGGAGTAGGGTCAACATCGAGACGGGGCGGGGTGTCTTGAGGTAGAGTCGCTGCTTGTTCGATGAATCCCGAGAGAACTCGGTAATGGAATGCCTCGGCGTCAGTTGGCGAGACAAAAGGATCATCCAAATTGCTACCACTACTTCTTGAGCGAGAGATCGAATGAGAGGATGCGGACTCGTCGATGATGGGAGGACCCATTCCCAATTCGGTATATAGCCAGTCGATTTGTATAAAGGTCTCTGTGAGTTGCGCCAGTCGCTTTGTCTGTCCTTGCTGTTAGATTGGATCTAAAAAGAGCGATTGCCACTGACCACTTCCGCTTTCCCCCGTACGAGCTCTTTCTCCAACTTCGAGAATCGGTCTGGGCTGACATCCTGGAATTCGCCATCGTCTACGATATCCGAAGAGAAGAAGTCAGGTCCAAGGATACGGGAGACGGCCTTCAGACGGCTCCCAAGGACGTTGAGCTGTTCGAGTTTGGTATGGTACAACTGCACACGGGTTCGATACATGGTAACAAGTGTCATGTTGACACGCACCTGGCGCAACTTTTCCTGATACTCTGTGACCATCTCAAAACGCATCGGTAGCACCTTCTCCTTTCTCAGCTCCCCGAGGCTGCTGCCCGTCGCCTTCGCGTTGCCACCCAGGGCTTTGGAATACTGCACGCAGTCGACCTCTACAGTTTCGCAGCGTTCCATCCATCCCTCGACTTCCTTCTGGCGTTCCTCAATCTGCGCCTCAACACCCCGCATGAGCTGCTCCTGGAGCGTCTGCAATTCATCTTCAAGTGCGGATGCCGGTAGCCCTAGCTGGGCGTGTAGCGTGGGTAGCAATTGGGTTTGTGTCTGTAGGTGGGTGTGCAGGCTGTTTAGCAGCGTTGTAAGCGTCAGGGTGTGGGACCCCGACATGGCGGCGTAGGGAATGTGGGCGAAAGATTTGCAGAGCGTCTGTCAGGTCTCAGTGAGTGTTGAAATGACAGAGTGAGGTTTGTGATGGGAAGCGCGTCAACATCGGTCACGTGTTCGTATTGTTGATGAGAGGCCGCCGTCCATGACATGCAGATAAAAGATATCCTAGATACAGCAGCCCCACTTCGTTATCTGCTCGGAACTTGGCTCCACACGGCGGTGAGTCCGGCTATTTCATTTCGTGCTTGGTCATTTAATTCCATCGTTTCGAACGCAGTGTGAAACGGCTCAGGCTGGCAGTCGGCTGCCCGTTCGAGATCCTACGATTTACATAATGGCAATTGGGCGATGGGCGGTGTGACGTGTGATGTGTGACAGGTACTTATTCAATTCGATTCGCGACTCTTACGTAAGTGAAATTCCATAGTTCAGTTGAAGACAGGAATGGCTCCCAAATAGTCCCACTTAGATAGCGGCTGCAGCGTCTCGCTCTCTTGCATAATTGTTCTTCAAAGCTTCAACCTTGTACAAGGTTTTCAGTTCCTGTCCGAGGGTCCGAGAATAGACGGGATCATCGATCAGAGAGATGGCTGTCAATCTCAATCTATCTCAGCTGTCAACTGCCACCAGGGACTGTAGGCATGTGGGACTACAAAACCTCCCCTGGTAGTCGGATCGACATCGTGTCCGCGCCCATCCTTGTCCAGAGCTCCCATGGACTGCCAATTCTCTTTCGGCCCGAGAGGCGCCTTCTTCTGCAAGTCAGACTCTCTCTGGGCATGGTGAACCATTTCGGAGATCATGGTCGTTCTACCATTGACACGGCCCAGGAGCGACAACAACACCCTCCCCGAACCTCTGCGCCTCATATTTGAGGATCCGAACCATCCCCAGGCCAATCAGTTCCCCTACGATGTGGCATTTCCTATGGAACCAGGCATGTTCAGCATGGCTTGGAAAACCAAGCGGGGAGACGATTACTACGAGGGTATGCATACACTGCCTTCGACGCGTCTCGAATCACATCTTTTATTTTCGCAGAACTCTTCCTTGGTCCCCGATATGAGAAACTAGCAACCTTCATGAAGACGATTGCCCAGGACGGGCAGCACATCACTCGCACAGTCTTCGGTCCCAATCACAGCTACTTTACCATCTCTCCGGGCGGCTTTAGCTGGCAACATCTCCCTGAAGAGCTCGAATCCAACATAACAGGTCGCGCAAAGAAAGCTCATCCTACAAATGTGGCGCTCGGTGCATACGGATCGTTCGTGGTGTTATTCAGCGACGGAATCGTTATCTTCGACGTGGCTGACCACTACCCCGATGTAGAGCGGATGATAAGAGATAGTGCCGAGACTAGCAAGCGGAAAGGGATTGCTGTGAGTTTACCATCTGCTCCGATATGGGCGCGACATACTGAATGACAAGGCAGTTCGTGGCGCTAAATCCTCATGCGGCTGGACAGTACTATGTCGCGTACGGAGACGGCTCCGCATCGTGGAACATACCAAATGACTGGGTTGGCGATGTGACCACAGTCAGTAAAACACTTCGTCCCGTGAACTCCTCCTCTGCGCCCCTTGGTTTCGCAGCAGCGGCCGGTGGGACTGCAGCGGGATTCGCCGCGAATCAGGGCGGTCTTGCGTCTCCCACCTCTCCCGGGTCAGGCGGATCGATGGCTACTTCGGCGATCCATGGACTGGGCCAGCTGTACCACACATACAGCCAGCAGCAGCAACAGAACATTCTCGGCGGCCAACCCCAGCAGAACTTTTTCCCGACTGGAAATACTGGAGGATTCGACCCGAACTCTCTCAACACCGGTGGCGTGGGCTTCAATCCAAGTTCGTTGAACACTGGCGGCATTGGTTTTGACCCGAGCTCGCTGGGTGTGGATCCAGGCACCATCGCATCAGGGCTGGTGTCGGGCTTGGATCCTAATACGGTCGCCAGCACCCTCGCTGGCGTCGCTGGCGCATTTTTTAGTTGATACATGCATAGCATCACATCCGCTTGTAATTGTACTCAGATGTCTCGCACTATTTGCTCCGGTCGGTGATGCGCTTGTGTAATCGGATCAGGCAGCGAAGCCACACACGAACACATCTGCCGGACGCGGTTATGAGCTCTGCAGCAAATGTTGCGCTCGGCTTGTCGTCTGCGTCCGAATAAAGGCAATCCTTCTCCTGGTGGAAATTACTGTATACTTGGTGCACGTGCCAACTCGGCGGTCGCCGCGCTCGGCCTGCGCTCCAACCGACCACCCGACTCGTTGCCGGACCCGAATCAACCGCCCCCGATATCTGACCAGGAATGGGACCTGAGAACAGGTGCGGTATAGTGTGCGGTACTTCATGGCAACGGTGGACTCAAAAGAGAGCATCCGCAGGACGCGCGATATTCGTTCTTCAAGAAACACTCCCACATTTCTTCACGACGGGACTGGTGACGTCGATCGACCACGCGACGGGGAGCCCCATTCCGGCCCGCATCGTGCAAGTACGGCTCCCTGGGACGTCCGCCGCGGGAGAGCGCGACAAGGAGGATCCCAGCTCAAACATATACAGCTCCAACATCCGCCTGTCGTACACGCCGCCAGTCGAACTCCCTGCGCCGTTGCCCAAAACGCTCACCATCGAAGGCATATATCCAGTCACTCTTGCTTTGAGACGCTGTTCTCTAATGGGCCCACAGGCATGCCGATGTACCTCGCGTCAGCGGTGTTCGTGCGCCACACGATGCACGCGCTGTACTCTGATCTCAGGGTCGTGCTGAACAAGGTGAGCGTCGTCGCCCCGCCGCCGTCGACCACACGCCACTCTCGTGAGAAGACCCTGTCCATCGGGCTCTCCGCTACGGGGGTTGCGCGCGTCAGTGGAGCCGCTGGAGAATGGGAAGTGTGAGTGGTGCTCTCCGGGACTGACTGAATGGGAACTCACCATTGGTCCCACTCTTTCGTTTCAGAAACTCAACCTACACATTCTCCCCCCTCACTGGCCTGATCCACATCCACACAATCAACTCGATCCATCCTGCGCCGCATCAAGCTGTGTACGATTCGCTACGCGCCAGTTTGGGCACCATGTTTGGTGCGTCGCAACCCTCGCAGACAGGTAAACCGACCACCTGCGCCAGGAAAGCAAGTAGCCTATAGGACATCAGATACTCATAAGGAGCGCACTGTACATTACATGCTGTATTACTTGCTCAACACACCCACACTCCACACCTCGCTCACGCAGAAAATTTATAGGATATACTACAGTAAGATGGTATGACATAGAAGATGGGTAAAATGGTAATGTACTCGGACTGAAAGCGAAGGGAAAACGTCTTTGCGGGATCGTAGCATAAATACAGACCACAAAACAGCACACGATATCGCACCGCACATGGCACGGCCACGGCAGATCACTCGTCCTCCTCTTCGCCTTCATCCTCCTCCTGAATCGCAGCCGGGCCATTCCGTCCACCGTGGTTCGGAATCTGCCGCCGCGACGTTGACTCGTAATGCGGCTCTGACGGCAGCGGCGCCGTATTGACCATGGGCGAGTGGCCCTTCCCAGTCTGGCGCGACCCAGTATTATTGGCCGCGCCAGTGGTCGTTGTACTGCCCCCAGTACGCTTGCCGGAGGCGCGGTGACTTCGGGGTGCAGGGGACAGCGAAACTGTTTCCATCGCCGGGTACGACGAAGAACCCGATTTAGACGAAACCTGGCCGAGACCTCCAGCAAACATGGGAATATCATCGTCGTCCTCATCCACCCAGTCACTCTCATCTCCAGCCGACATGCCCAGCGTCGGACCACCAAGCCCCAGACCATGCCTGGTCGAGTTGGAGAACACGTCCCGGATGGTCGTGCCATCTGAGATGGGCGACATGGCCAGCACCTCAACGGGCACCGAGCCAGTGCGCGACTGCCACCCGGGCGGCTCGAGACCCCACGACTTCTTCCAACTTGAGCGCCCGATGGACCCAGACGCGGATGCAAAGGCGCCCGTTCGTTTCTGCGCAATGAACGTCGTGCTGGTCGTCGTCGTACTGATAGTCCTGCGCGTCTCATCGACAGATGAGCCACGTGTCCGAGAATGCGGTCTTGAGTTGGGCTTGAACGGTGATCCAGTCCTGAAAGTCTCTACGTCCGATGCCGATCTCTGCAACTGAGGCAGCTCGTAGAATGAGCCTGGCCGCGACGACGCCGGCGAATGCGTTGATGATGCCCCCGAGTTGGAACGCTTATGCGGCGGGCGGGACGTCGAAGTTGTCGTCGTCTGGATGTGCCTGACAACTCGCGTGGATGAGCCACTGCCGTGCCGGTGATGGTACTTCTGGATCGGTGATGCAGTTCGGAACTCGCCGGAGCTGGCAGACGGCGATTTGCGGTGGCGTTGCATCGAGAAACTGCGGATGGACGACGGGCGGGACGAGATAAATTCCCCTCGCTCCGAGTTCGGGGTGTGACTGCCTAGCGAGCGGCGACCCGTCACTTGGGGCGAGTCTAGCACAATCATTTGGACCGACGTGATCGAGGAGCGGCGTGAGTTGACACTGCTTGATCGTCTAGACGATGCCGATGGCCTCTGCCGATGTCCTCGCGAATTGAATCGTCCCCCGCGCTTGGAAGATGGCGGATAAGCCTGCGAACTGCTGCGAGAGAGCGGTGGTCCGGTGCTCGATGCGACGGCCGATCCCTGTTTTCGTTTGCCCTTGCGCTCATCCTGGAACCAGAGCCGGAACGTGGTCAGCAGATTCGCCCGATGACGATGAGACCCTTTGCTGCCCGTCGATCCATTCTCGACAATGTTTGGCGCAGAAACTGACGGACGAACATCTGGGCCAGGAGAATTGGCAGGTGTGGGAGCGTGTTGTGGCAGCGAATCGCGTGAGCCTGTCAAGACCCAAGGCGAGCCGGCCATCGGGTGAATGTCGATATGCGGCGGCGGTGTCGACGGCTCTTTGTCCTTCGACGGCCTGAGCGGCGGAGACTTCGTCAGTTTTGACGATGTCGACGGCGCAACGCTAGCATGAGAGCTCTCGCCCAGACTCGACTTGCGCTCCGGCATCTCCCGTTTATCCTCTTTCTCCTTGATCACTTCGGCCGACTTTTTGCGGACGAGTCCAGCAGCCTCGAGGGCAGTAGTCGCCCGTTGCATGATGCTGACGCTTCCTGACCGCCCCTTGCGAGTTTTTCCTTCCTTGTCTTTAACACTGCCGGCGGGCGTTGACGGATGGGACCGCGAGGATGACTCTCCCGTCAGAATCGTCGAAGGCGCAGGCGAAAGCATGGGTGAAGGCGATGTGGCTCGTGGGGATATGACATGCGGAGGCGTACTCGGTCGCATGGACGACATGACAGTCGGTGTCGGAGGAACAAACGACAACTGGGGCGGGAAGCCATTTGTCTTGGCCCGCGGAGGTTCAGTCTGGGTGCCAACCGAGGCGTGTCGTTCGTCCAACAGAGTTGTGGTCTGTTTCTCCGACCGTCGTTTCAGCATCCACCAGAGGGCCCCGGCGGAATCGCACGCGTCACTCAACACAGAGTGCACGATCTGCGCCGTATCCAACCCTAGCACACTCAGCGAATTCAACAGCTCTCGCTCCAGGGGCGTCGAAAAGATCATCGGGGCTGGAGTGCCCAACATAGACACAAAACTGATCTGAGGCTGGGACGGATCACTGGGAGCCGCTGGGACATCGGGAGTCAACACCTGCGTTTCTTCCGGAGGTTCTTCCGGATCCGACACCACAGATGATACCGATCGCCGTTTCGTTCGTGCTGGGGTGCGCGTCACCGGCGGTGGGCCCAAGGACATGCTCGAAGGCTGTCTCGCAGGAGGCGAAACTTCGTCTTCTTCTTGAACAGTGGGCGAGAGACTGGCCACCAGCTTCGAGTGAAGCAGCTCCAAATCCGTCTTTCGAATCGTCAGCTCGCTCGCTGTGCGGTGTATGTATGTGGTCTTCTCTTTGTCTTCGGGCTTTTCGTCCGGCGTGGTGGGTGTCGACGAGTAATTCTCCTCCGAGAAGAAAGGATTCGGATCAGAAACATCCGACACAGAAGCGGTCGATGATTGATGCGAATCGACCGTGTCCGTCCTGGTCGCCACCGCACGAGTGAACCATGGGTGAGACAAGATCTGGGGAATAGCAAGACGTTTCACAGGATCACGTTGGAGGATGTTCTTAATCAGATCTCGAGAATCTGCCGATTATGAGAACGAGGTTCCAGAATTGCGGAGCCACCCACCCTCAGAGAGCCACTCAGGATCTTCGAATTCACCAACGATGATCTTCTTACGCATGATATCTTCGTCATCATCGTCAAAAGGGAGCGTGCCTGTTAAGAGAACATAGAGAATGACCCCCAAGGACCACACGTCCACCTCTTGAAGGGATTGGTCAGTCAAGGAGAGCACAGTAATCAGCGGTTGCACCTGCCTGGTCCTAGATACTTTCGGCCCTCTAACATTTCGGGTGACGCATACCCAGTCGTCCCACAAAATGTTTCCATATAAGCTCCCCTCTCAAACTCCCTGGTGAACCCAAAGTCACCCAGTTTGACCCGACACCGCTCATCCAACAACACATTCTCCAGCTTAAGATCCCGGTGCACGATGCCCTTATCGTGAAGATATGCCACCGCGAGGCATAGCTGGCCAAAGATGACCTTCGTCTCGTCCTCCGCGAGCCGGCCCTTCTCGACGAGATAGTCAAACAGCTCGCCGCCGAGACACAGCTCGGACACAATCCAGATGTGCGATTCCGTCGCGATGACTTCGTACATCTGGATGACATGCGTGTGATGCAGCTGCCGGTGGTGGTGGATCTCGCGCGTGAGCGACGCGGAGACCTCCTTCGGGATTTGCTTGATGGCCACGCGGGTGGACGTCAGCCGGTGCGTGCCCATGCGAACTTTACCGTAGGCACCTATGGTAGCGAGCAGGTGGTTAGAGCGGAGCGCGAGGCAGTTGGTGGGCGGGAGATGCATCAGAGGATGCGGTGCTCACCTTCGCCAATGACCTTCCCCAAGGTGTAATTCCCAACCACACGAATCCGACTCGAAGAGAGCTCTTTCCCGAGCTCGTTGTAGGCATTGGCGAGTTGGGCCTTTTGGTTCTGCGTTACAGAGATAGACCCAGTGTGCTTGTGTGCGGGACCTGACATCGCAGCATAAACAGTACAGTTATACAATTGAGTTGGTGCAAGAGAAAGGAAAAGGAAGGTCGTAGGCGCGAAGCCGTGAGTTATGTTATGCGGATGGTAGAGTAGGTGAGGAGATGGAGGAGATGGGCGGTGAGGGTTTCCGTTGAGTTTCCGGATGATTTTTGGTTGTCCCGGCGGTCACCGCTAAGTCACAGAGGTGGGGCAGAGCGTGACAATCTGTGATGGAGGTTGTCAATCAAAACGCTGTGATCCCATCATTTCGTATGGCTCTTGCAACGTGTAAAGTTGGGATCATGCACGTAATGTGGGGAGCCTGCGAGTGGGGAAACCGATGTGTCGCTTGCAAGACTACCCATATGTACACCTTGAAGCGGATCTAGCTTTAATCTGATCTCATTTGCTGCTGCACTCGATTAGAGGAACAGAATCCACCAATTCAGCCAGAGAAATTACGCACTGATGTGATTGGCTCTCTCATGGTAACCCTGCCTGCGGTTGCCGCTCTATGCCTGTAAGCATGTGCATCGACAAATGCGACCAGCCCCTTGCAGATAAATACGGGCACCTTGACAGATCGCCGCTGGGACCTGGCATACATTGTGCACGCAATCTGCACAAGCCTATAAGGGCTTGCTCATTGATGCTTACTGTATTTGGCAAGCATATACGATGTCAGTAAAATCCTTGCCAGAACCGTTCCCAGATCCTAAGCAAGATTATAATACGATCGATACCAGCAGGAGTAGGGTCATTTAGGCAATATGGGGAACGGGCGGCGGCCCATAGCAATGCTTCACGCTTTTCCTGAAAGCAGACGCGCCAGATAAGCTCCCACGGACAAAAGAGGTCAATCAAAAACAGTTGAAGGTCCAAGCTGTTGCTATCTATTTGATAGCGATCGGAAACGATTCGGATCGATGTGACCATCATCACAATCAATACCATATCGCTCTGCATCGTACTTAGTTTGTCGAACTCCCTCCTTACCACAACCTTGCCCACAACCACCCATGGCTGACCAACTCGTACGTCCCCTCTTTTGCAGCCCTTGTCTTTCTCACCTCGTTTCTCCAGTCTGAAGGTGCGATCCTTCCCGCATGATAACAACAGACCATTCACAATTTGGGCCTTCAGAGCAAATCTCCGGTGAGCCTGGTCAAGTGACAGCCTCTTCGATGCTTCTTACGCTCCACAGAGTTCAAGGAGGCATTTTCCCTGTTCGACAAAGGTACGTGGCTCGCCTCTGGGCGTGCGCAGCTCTGCCCACACTCATTTTAGACGGCGATGGCACCATCACCACCAAAGAACTCGGCACCGTCATGCGTTCGCTGGGACAGAACCCCACCGAAGCCGAGCTGCAGGACATGATCAACGAAGTCGACGCTGACGGCAACGGCACGATCGACTTCCCCGAGTTTCTGACCATGATGGCGCGCAAGATGCGGGACACCGATAGCGAGGAGGAGATCAAGGAGGCGTTCAAGGTCTTCGATAAGGACGGAAACGGCTACATCAGCGCCGCCGAGCTCAGACATGTCATGACCAACTTGGGAGAAAAGTTGTCCGACACTGAGGTTGATGAGATGATTCGTGAGGCTGACGGTTTGTGGTCTCCTGATATCACGACATGATGAAAATTTAAACCTTATTCAGTTGACGGCGATGGGCAGATCAACTACGAGGAGTTCGTCAAGGTGGGCGTTCTTCACTGACAGATGTTTTTTTCTCCTCTCATCACATCATCAGATGATGCTCTCCAAGTAAAGCGTCCTGGAACATAGTGGAAATCAAACCTTGAACTTTGTCTTGTACATCAGATACCAGTTTCCAGTTGTTGCTTGTTCGAACACGAGTTTACTTTGTACTACGCGGCGAATCCTCCTGTTTCCAGCGAGTCTGGGAGAGCATTTGGGCCCTTTCCACACCCAGCGGCGGCGGCAGCACTCGCGTCAGACGAAACAGTGATCTCGATCGTCCCCCCACCGATCACATCGTCGAAATTTATCCAGCACAGAGTCGGGGACGCCTTGCCGTTGATCATGATGCTTTTCACATACACCGCAGCGTCCGCAGGAGGCGATGCGGTGAGACTGGCGGGGTCGAACCCGGTCACTTTGAATGACGTCGAGGTGCCAAAGAAGTCATTCCGCAGCGTGTAAGCGGAAAGAAGGGGGGAGCCAATGAGCAATTGCTTTGAGGCCGGAACTGGATACAGTCCGAGCAGATGGAATACCAGCAGCGCAGCCATGGCACCCGAGTCGTCGTTGCCAGGAATGCTGGACTATTGCGTCAGACACAATCCGCGGGATGTAGACAGTTATTTTCACCCGCCGATTCCAGTACTGAAGTCTTCATAGACGACCTGTCTGACCCGCAGCGCACTCAGATCTGGGCGGCCCGCGTAGTGATACAGCCACGGCGTCTGAAAGCCAGGCTCATTTCCCGCATAGAAGTAGCCCTTTGAGAAATACAGATTTCTGCAATCGTGAACTCAGTAGATGGATAGATTCCTCAAGTGCGACCTACAATCGTGCAATGAATGTGTCGTCCCCACCCATCAGTCTGATCATGGTCGACATGGACTGTGGCGCAAAGAAGCTGTATTCCCAAGAGGAACCTGTGGAACGTAAGCGGTCAGCACTCATGGCCAATTGACTGGCGACGCACTTTCGTAAAATCCAACGTTGTTGTCCGTTCCTCGAGCACATGAATGCGCGACAGGATCGACCGGGCTGCATGCATCCGGGGGGCTAAAAGCGAATGTGCCATTCTATGTCTGGCATCAGATTGCGAGTCAGCGAGAGATCACCAGCCCTCACAGGATACCGCCGCTGCATGAAGCCAGAGAAGCCATTGCTGGTGACGTTGGGATTCCACATGTTGACGAAATTCATGGACCGATTGGAGAACGTAACGACATCTCCGCGTGCTTTGTCCAGAGCGATTGCGGCCTGGCGCACTGCAAAGTCTCCGACCGCGTACTTTAGTACGGTAAGTGGGCCGATGTATGCACTGGGGGCAGCGAAGAAGCTTACCTCCAATGCTCGGGAAGCTTCCCGCGTGGGTAGACCGACCGATCCGGTCGGGTCGACCCAGTCGGTAGGAATATATCCGAACTGAATCCACGCTGTGTTCTGCCGGCCAATAGTATACCAATCGGAGGGCTAAGATCTATCAGAGATGCCAGTATTTCGCAGAAAAGGTGAATCAAGTACCGTGTTCTGGGCTGTATCGAGCAGAGCTTGGAACAGATCATCGGCAGGCACTCCGAGTTTTGATGCGTGCGCTCCATACTTCACAGCAAAGTCACCAACCGGAACCATGCCATCGGAGCCGCCTTGGACGTATCCACTGTCCCAGTTGAGTATATGCACAATTCTGAAGTGTACATGACAAGACGCACGGCATTGTATTGGCCCGACACTCGGGAATATAACCTGTCGACGATCAGTGTCGAGTAGAAACTCTGGACAGAAATAAGCACCAGTATGTCGCCATCCATCGACATAAGCGTTGATGATTTCTGACCACTCCACGGGCGAGAGTAACGACAGAAGGGGGTGGACTGTGCGGAAAGTGTCCCAGGAACTGTTGTGCTATGAAGCAGGGATCCGATGCTCCCCCTCGCACTCACCAGAAAAACGCATCGTAGAACGGATACGGAGAGACCCAGTACGGGTTCTCGTCCGTCAGATTAGCGGGAACAAGCGATGCGCGGTAGAGCTGTCGGCAATTGAGGCTAATGGAGGAGGGAAACTCAGTGCACAACCACAAGAACTCACCGAAGAATAGAGTAGTTCGACAACAGTCGGGTCTTCCTTGGTCGTATCCACGCCCACGCGCGAGAGCACGTTCTCCCAAGCTGAGTCGGAAGCAGTCTGGACCGCGTTCCAGTCCCACTCCGGAATTTCCGTTTGCGCATTGATGCAAGCCTGTGCGGCATTGTGGAAAGACACCCCGAAGCGCGCCAGAACAGTTTTAGAACCTGTGAACTGGAACAGGGCACCAGCTTGTTCTGGACTGACAACAAGATTGCCTGATGGCGGAAAGTTGAGCGAGGTGCCGTTCCGGACGATCGTCAGTTGGCTAGGTGCAGAAAGTGTGGTTGAGTGATATGTTCCGTAAGCAGAGATCTTCTGGGGATGGTTTGGGGCCGCAAAGTCATAGCAGGCATACACGGTGTAGCCCGAAAGGCCATAACTCTGCGTGCTGGTCGATATATGCTGGTGGAAACGAGACTATCATCACCGACCTGAAGGAAACTCCCTCCAAGTTCAATGCGTCCTGTGGCACTAAGATTGAGCCCTCCACCGGTAAAAGATCGCCCGAGATCATTGGTGAGATCGACGACAACCGAATTGGGGCCAGTCGTAGGATAAGTAAAGCGTATGAGACCAGAGCGTCTGGTCGACGTAGTCTCCAGCTTGATTCCATCGGTGAAAGTAGTGGTAAAATAGCCCGGCACCGCCGCTGTTGCTTAGTCAGGCCCCATCCTGTCGAATGGAGACATGCAAGACTTGCCATCGGTTCCGGCTTTACGAAGCGCGGCACGTGCAGTGATTCCGACGGGGCAGGAAGTAAAGTTGCATCCTGTGAGAGGGAAGAGCGGAAAGATGCCGTATCCGCCGTTCGTGTTGCCTCCCGTTCCTTCGTCGTGCATCAAGGAGATTCCGGTGATTGAACTGTTATCGTGGACATAACCAGCTTGCCGTGGTGCGGTGCTGACATCGATTCCAACCTTCGCCATAGCATGTGGGACGGCAGCGCCTTTGGATCAATGAATGCCGGATTATGAACATAGTTGTGGGTTGAACGGACCTGGAAATGCATTGCCGCCACTGCCGCCATTGGCGCCCGAGGCCGTTCCGATGAACAGATTAACAAGAGAAGTCAAGTCGGTGGCCTGGGCCCGAGAAGCCACCGCCAGCCAGAGCAAGAGTCGTGCGCCAAACCGGGGCATCTTCTTGCTCAGTGTACGAAACAGTCGACATCTTATAGAAAAGCAAAGTGTTCATCCAGGAATGTTCTCCAAAGGATCCGAAGGTGGCTCGCGTTGACGTGCCTTCTTTGAGTGGCAGATTTCCAACACGGTTCTAAAATAGAAGATATACCTCGCTGAGGGTGGGGGATACCCTGAGACTGCAGCTGAGGGCATCTCAGAGATTCGTTGATATTGCGGATCGAAGGAGCACGCGTCGCTTCTCAGGGAGGTAAGAGGACCTTCAAGATGCGAGACCGATCCCAAAGATACCAGCGGAGGTTGAAGCTCACGCACGTTCGGGCCCGTCATGTGTTCCAGTGGGACGATGTGAATATTGTTCAAACATGATAGACCTAGCTTCGACTGAAGTCGTGCCCATGGTTCTTTTGCTTTCTTGATGACGTGCAGCGGCCAGGAGACTCTAGCAGTGAGAAATGGCCTCTTAGACGGTTTATGCGATAAGATTCAACGAGCGGTATCCATTTTTGCTTGACGCTGAAGGAACGATTGAGAGGGCGCACTCAGGTTGTCGCAAGGCATTGGTGCCACAACAATGATGCTCACAGTCAGCGACAGTGACTAATCATGTGCTATAAATAACATACACCGCCACAGCACTCCTCGATTCATTCAAACCTCCACCTGAACATTCGGACGTCATGGGTCTCGTCATGCTGTGGTGCCTGTCTTGCGCACCCCGTACTTAAGGAGATCGACATGGTTGCTGGACTCAAGCACAATGTCTACTACTACCACTCAACCCACTCAAACCACTCAAGCGCACGGTGTCCATCCGTCTGCTATCGGTTCCAACACCGTTCCGCCACAGACGTCGCGAGACGATGTCGCAGCACCGACACAAGAAACACCCTCCGCGAGTGGCCCTGCTCCTACAGGTAGCGCCTCGGGAGACGTGTCTTCGACAAATAACGCTGCTGACGACTCCACGAAACCACCTGGCTCTGGCGAGGTTTACCCAGAGCAGAAGCACGCAGGAGCTGTAGGCTACGGCCCGAATTACAACCAGAAGCCGGCGAGTCCCTATTCTGATCTGTTATGTATCCATCTCATGCTTTCCATCGCAGGGTTTCGCAGACAAGGTCACTGCACTCAAGGAACAGGTCGTCGGCAAGGTCACCAAGAATCCTGAACTTGTGACGAAAGGCCATGACCGATGGACTGGTGAACTGAAAAAGAAGGAGCTGGATGCCGATGCAGTGAGCTTACATTCCAAAGCCGCTGGATCCTTGCTGAGATCAGGTGAAGGCCCAGGACCCTTTCGCCAATCCTGAAGAGAAAGAGAAGGAGAAAGCGCAAGAGAAGGAAGGGATCGATGCTGCGCCGTCAGACGTGACGACGAAGACTTCTCCTACAACGCATCAGCTGAATCCGACTCCTACTGCGACCAGCACTGCAAGCCAGCCCGGAACTGCGCCATCTAGTGCTGGGCTAAGAATTTTTTTCGACTTGCTAGGATAGATTTTTAGCCGCTATGATCACCCGACCCCGTTGCTAGGCTTTATAGCATTGCTATGAATTGATTATAGCATTGATTTTTAGCGGCGTCAAAATATCGATTTCTACGGCTCTAATGGGCTCTAGTATGCGTTCTTTGGGTCTAGTAAGTGTGTATCTAGTCGTCGTCTTCAGCATTTGGATCCCAGGGCTGATTCACAGCGGTATGCTCGCTGACCTCCGGACTCTTGGGGCGTACGGAAGCAACCTCCGGGGATGCGCTCGGAATAATGAGCTTGCCGAGAGCAGGACTGTCAAGACGAACAAAGTCGGTGACAGCCCAGCGAGTCGACATTCGAGTGATGAAAGGAGTCTGGGTGGGGGCCACATGAGCGGGCTCAGAATTGACAGTGCTATCAACACGGTCGCATTCGTCAAGATCAAACGGGTCTTCCTGCTCAAAGAGCATCTTCTCGAGCGCTTCCTGGTCTTCTACAGTCGGATCTACATTCTGGTCGTTCAACAAATCCATGAGGGTGGGTGCAGAGAGTGTGACGGTGGTCTCAGTGGACAAGTCGACATTGGAAACACGAATGTTTGCAGTCGATGTGTGCTGGTAGTTGCCCTCGGACAGACCGTGCTTGTACCACTGTGAAAGTTGAGCAGAATGAACAAGGTTCTCGGCGGTCATAGAGCTCCGACGAGCAGCGTTCATCCATCCCAGAAGGGATGCTGTCCGTTCGTCGCATATCTCAGAAGGTGAGATCGAGAAGAGGATGATTGCGACAGTCTGTACTGCGTGATCAGTTTTGCACGAAACTCGGGTTGACAGAGGCAGACAAACCGCAAGAACATCTGCATTTGAGTCCTTCTTCACGGCCTTCCAGTAGTCTAATGGCTTGTCATCACGAGTGATATAGGCCCGTTTATGGAAGGGAGCATGACCACACAACCATCGAACGAGCTGTTGAGTTAGTCGGCTCGCTTCAGATTTTGATTCCATGTTGCAGCGAAGCTGCTCTCCATGCAGAATCGCTCGAGCAGAGAGACGGAGGGTGCGGAATAGATCCGTCCACTTGTCACTCGAGTATTTTTCCCCTTCACGGAGATCCGGAAGGAAAAGCTTCAAGCCGCCGTGCGTGAAATAGACTGTATCAGTAGTGAGTATGTGCTCGGGAAGGTAATACATTACACACGGGGATGAAGGTAGTATGCAAGAAGGAAGAGGTTGTGTGATGATTCGGTCATCATCTGCTCAAAGCGAGCATTATAAATGGTGATAATCTGTGAGCGATATTTTGAAAAGCCCTTCGTTGTGCTGCCGACGAGCCGTTCGAGATGCCAGGCAATGGTGACCCAGACATAGAACACATCGGCGCAGGTCACATTCTGGCCTTCCAATGTCGTGATTCCATTGGCACCAGCCTCGAGGAGCTGGATAAGTGCAGAGAGTCTCGATTGAAACCCTGGGTATTCGAGATGGTCAGGATCGAAATAAGGAATGAAGCGTTTGGTCTGTTGGCCAATGAGCAAGGAAGATGATGGAGACATCGTAGTAGAATCATACCGCTTTGGTAGTGAATGCGATAGTACCGGCCTGAATGCATGCAACAATAGCCGGGAAACAGAGACGGAGAGCAACAGATTGGATGAAGGACGTGCCAAATCGAGTGTCAGACGCTGACTTCATCCCACCCTTGATACCACGAGCCTTGCGCTCAACGGACAATGCATATGTGGCTGCGTTTGAGTGGGAAAAGTAGTTCGAGATGCCTGATACAATGCTCAATTCCTGTGTGACTAGTAAATAACGGGAACGGGAGCAACTAGTGAAGTCAAGGCACTTACCACTTTGAAGAGCTTGCCAATGTCCTTCAGGAAGAGATTGAGGAGATGACAGGGGTCATAGATGTTCAGGATCCAAGCGAACTCGTGCGCAATATCTCTCTTCAATGCACGGACATTACTTCCACCATCACCAACAACGGCACTATAGGCGTGCACACCATAGACGCCAAAGATCTGCACCTTCACGACAGTAAACAGGGCTTCGGCAGTCACAGAAACCCCTTTGAAGACGTGGCCAAGGGTGAAGATGGAACGCCGACTGGGGAGTGTTGTGTGGAACGTATAGATTTCATCCTTCCCTCGACTGCTCCATCCGTCCAGCGATAAAGTGAGAAAGTACCGGTGCAACAGGAATGCCTTGAGCTGCACAACGAACAGTGCGACTTGATCTGCAATCTGTCGAGTGAAGAACGCGCTGCGCTCAGGAGTGACGTAGTTGGGGACCATAACAAGGAGGAGGTTGACGAGCCACGGATTCTCAACGAAGGAGAAGGGGAGCGCACAACAGATGACGGCTTGGAAGAGAGCAAGGTCGATTGCCGCCTGACGTACTTCGGTCATCTTCACAGGCTCGAAATACTCCTTTATCGTGCCCTTGTTAGATGGAGCCGCATCTTCGTTGACATCCTCGTCATCGCTTGTAGCTTCCGACCCGGAATCGACCTCCATTGGCGTGTCTTCACTCAATCCAGGAGCGGCAACCGGCGAGACCGCAGCTACCTTGCTCTTTGTACGGACGCGAGGAAGGCTTCCCGTCGCTCTGCTGGCATTGTCTTCGCAGACTCGTTTGTAGAGGTTCGGAAATGTCTGCTTCAACATCTCAAAGAACAAGTAGATCAGAACGGAACCAGCCACCAACGTGAATACACTTACCTCGCACTCCAGCGCGTGTTTCCGGCTACGCTTTGGGTTCCGGAATGGTGTTACATTGTCACAAGCAACGCAGTAGATCCATATCTTCTTCTTCGGCTCCTTCCCTACGCCCTGGGGCTGCAGCTCAATCTCTTCGATGACCAAATCGTCGACCAATGTGTCGCGCGGCGCTCCTGCACCTTTAGACTTCTTCACGTTCTTCCCTCGTGATGGACCGGTTTCTCCTACAGGTGCAGCACCTTGGTCATCCAAGATGCGTTGCGCGCGAATCTGGGTGCGCTTCTGGGCCGCGTTGGTCCCCGACAAAGCGTCCGATAGGCTTGTGGCAGTTGGGACTGGTGCCTTCTTTGTCGCGCGTTTTTTGGGCTTTGGGGTGTCAATCACACCGGGAACCTGCAAGACGCGAGTTCAACACGCGTCCATCTCATTAGATGTCATTGTTACGTACTGGAGGCAGATCTGTCCCGTTCTCCATCGCATCGGTGAGAACATCCACGTGTGAGAACCATGCTGTGCGTTCTTCACTCTTCTCTTCCGTGTGAAGCTCGATAGCTTTTATGAAATCCGGAATACTGAAATCTTCGCTCTCAATGTAAGCTCTGCGAGCTATCACCAGTGCTCCGAGAGCTTCTGGAGGCAACGGCATGACGAGAAGTATACAGAAAAAAGATTCTCCGCCTTGTTCCGGAGTGTCATTTCTGACAGTGATTGTCAGACTTCTAATTGATGTAGATTCAGCTCCTTATCACCAAGTTATCACTGCGTTATCATAGGATCGAAAATTGATTATTAGCAATTCATAGCACGTGGTTCAGCCTCCCGACTGGCTAGGTTGATATTTAGCATGCTAAAAATATGCTATGAATTGCTATGCTATGAAATAATTCATAGCTAGCCCAGCACTAGCGCCATCACCATCTGCGGCCGGCGCACCTGCTCCGTCTTCGCGTACAGTAGAGCAGTAGAAGAATTTGTCAGTCGAAAGCCAAGGACACAAGTAATGTATCTGTAACGTGTAGTTTCCTGTAATTGAACACGAGACCAACCAAATTATCTGGATGCTCAGGATGGAACCGTTGAATTCTAGCCAGCCCGCTCTGAGCCAAAATGGGATACCCTGCTTACCCTATCCGCACGTACTGTACTTCGCACAACCTAGACCGGTAACCGAAACACGCACTTCGGCTTCGAACTCATTTGTTGAAAGTCTGATCGTCGTGATCTGGGAAAAGAGGTTACCGAACAAACAGCTGCAAAGTTGCCCGACTATTCTCTTGCCGTGATGGACGACGAGCGCCAACAAGAGGACTGGGCGAACAGCCGCAAGAACCGACTGCCTTCGTTTACCGAGGTTCTGTCGCGCCGAACGCGTCCACCCGTCGATCTCTTCATGTTCTAGTGCGTATCGCCCAGCTCTCTCATTTCGCAGAATTGTTATCGCCCACTCAGTCTTTTCCTCCAACGCGAGGGCGCCGAAGATATTCTCGACTTCTGGTTGGATGTCCAGCAACACGAAAATCTCTGTCGCGCATACTTCAAGGATGTGCGGAAGTCGGGGCGCACGATCAAGGAGGACTGGCCTCAGTACTGGGATTACGCGCGACGGCGGGGTTCTATCTACGGCACGGTCGTGGGAATGAATGGGGACGGGGCTGCCACCAAGCGGAGTACGGCGAGCACGAACGAACTCCTGAGTGAGGCGGACAGGCGATACTTGGCCGATACAGACGAGAAGTACGGTGCATCAACATCCCCGCGGCCAATCGGTTCGGAGCACACCCGCGTTGCTTCAACATCTCCAGATCCGTACGGTAGCCGTGCCCGCTCCGTCTCGCCGTTTGGAGTCAATGGCCAAGGCCGCACACCGACCCTATTCACGATGAAACGCGCATCGCGAGCGCCGACCGTCATCCCTCGCTCAGCCGCGATCACCCGGCTCAATCTGATCGCGAGCGCAGAGCGAATCTACTACCGATATCTTTCTCCAGCCGCTAACACCGTCAACGCCAGCGAGAACCACGAGATCTACCTCCCTCCGTCCCTCCGCGTCCACTCCTTCCCTCTCTCCTCTTCCCAAGAGCCCCGGAATGCTGCAGAGCTCAGCTTAATGGCACAAATCCCGGATCTCTTCCATGCACAGAAGGAGTATTGCTTCAGGGCAATGGAGCAAGATGCATTTCCACGCTTTTTGCGGGCCAAGGCTTTTGGAAATCTCACACCCATCTCCTCGCTTGTGCGGCTGGTCGTTGGATTATTGACTTTGTGGGTCGGTCTTGCCGCCGCCTTCTCTCTCCTATTCCTTGACGTGCAGCCCAAGTCTAAGCGATTCTTCGTGCGTGGTTCATGTTGCTTTCTATCACTTCATTTAACTGAATCTTTGCAGCTCTTCATCCCATTCACGATTGCTGTCTTGTGCTTGGTCTCTCACCAATACGAGCTGGACCCGATCCTCGTTTTCTTCGGGCAGTCTGAAACCACTCCTTTCCGCACTTTGCGGATTCGCGAACCCTACGTGAAGAAGCTGCTGCTGGGTCGAGCCATCTGGGTGTCCATTCTAGTAGCTGCTTTCGTTGCCGCCTTGACCCTCCTGTTCTGGGCTGTTCCAGGTCACAGGCTGTAGGCAACTTGTTGTTCCACGAAATTGATGAATTATTCCAATAAGATACCCTGCACGTACTCCGTCTTCGTCGTTCCTTTTGTTGTTCATATCATCTCCTCGCCTTGCCTAGCAGCCGTTTAATATCTCCTTGCTTATCCAGTACTTCAAGTGTGGATGATGGTTAACATAATACGTGTGTAGAAACCATACGTTGTACTACGGACGGCTATCTTCCTGAGAATCGGATGAACGGAATCATGAAGACGAATGCGAGCAAAACGACGATGATGGACACCATCGTCAACCAGAACGTCGACCCGGTCTTGCCTCTGAGATCACGCGTCATTATACGCGTTTTCTGCATGTAACCGAAGTTGCCCTCCAGTTTGGAGTCGACCTCCTCCATCGCCAACTTGTCCTTCTCCAATAAGTCCGAAAAATGAACTGCGTTGCGCTTGAGCTGTTCGGCCATCATCGCCATTTGTTCGCCCATAGCGCGCTGTCTGGCGGTCGTCCCGGCTTCCAATGCGGTGCTTGATGCGGTCGACTTGGTGGGCTTCTGAGACGACAGTGTTGACGGTGTGTATGCTGGAGGGGGAACGTCCCGCGCCGAGTCCAGTAGATTGTCCAGGACGGTGGCGGTAGACAGCGAAGCAGAAGCTGAATCGAGTGTTGGAGATCCCTCGGAAGGGCCAGGGGGCGGTTCTGTCGGCAAAGGATCTGCGGGAAGAGGGAGCTTGGGAAGCAGTTTCACAGGTCTTGTAGATTTGGGTGTCGTTGTCTGCGCGGTGCTCGATCCAAATTATCCTCACGCATGATTCGTGAGACGCGTTACCTGCTCGTAGGTCTTCATCAATGCATCCAGACGGTCCAGCCGGGTCCTCCACTCCTCGTAACGCAGGGCGGAGGTGCTTTACGAGATTATCAGTCGCGGAGCCGTCGAGCGCGACTGTACACACGGGGTCGGATCGAAGTCCTCCAGCTCGACATCTGCAAGCAGCTTCTTGGCGTGCTTCACCTTCTGTGGACATCCTTCAGGGACACAGGTGCAAAAGACGGGGGCCACAGAAGCGGTACCTGGAGGGACCCCTGCACTTCTATCCACGCGTTGAACGAGTTGTCGCTCCAGTGAGCTTCGGATGCAGACTTCTCCAGCCGGCGGAGGAGCCTCTTGAGGTTGATCTCGTTGTGTAGGGACATGCTTCGTGCAAGACTTGTACGGCTGGTGGCGTGTCAGTCAAGGATCACGCGATCACCGGGAAGGGTGAGCTGACGTCAGCAACCACAACAATTTTGCGTTGTGCTGTCGTCAAAGGTGGTCGACGAGCGCAGACTTACTTAGAGGGACACTTATTTTGAGCGGTCCTGGGTGCGTGATCTCCCGTCGCTGACACTGGGGGCTTTCTCTGATATCCCACAGGTGCTGATGCAGACGGAGTGAGTTCTGTGGATGCAAGTATCTCGCATTCGTTGCGCCATCGGTCTATTCAGGCATAGCAGCCGCTGGGCTCCATCCAGTAAGTTTCGTGCTCGGATGCGCCCTGTTTGCTCAAGTCCGACAGATCTAAAACGCGTCCCGCTTCCTCCAAAACCTGCACCCCCCATTCCGGGGTTGTTCGATTCGGTCGCGTCCCTTTCTCAGAAGAACTTTGACGAATATGTGGACCCGCTCTACCAGTACCTGTGGAACGTATATACCGAAATGCCGAGTATTGTCTTGGCGGGGGATACCTTGGAGAGACGGACACGCACAGTCCCCGTCCTCGGCAAGAAGTTTAGATTCTTCAACCGCACGGGGGCCATAGAATTCATGAGTGATGTGGCGAAAATTGCCGTCGAAGAGAAGGTGAGAGCGTCGGTGTCCATTTCCATACTCGATTCTGACTATTTATGCGAAGCACGAGCCCAGAATCACGGTTTTCCTGGGAGCGCAGAGCCAGCACGTCCTGGTCCGCTCATATACGCAGCGAACGTTGTCTCTGAGCGAAGACTCTACCTGTATCAAGCCGGACGATGTAGCTCCGGGGCTGTCTGGCTACGACCTGCGACTGGCGCTCGGGACGGAATTGCTATTCCACTCGAGTATCGAGGCTGGGGACGCGTTCCCTCTTCCGGCCATATCGTCTGCACATCATCCCCCCACTGCTCAGGCCATCCAGTCGACCTTGAAGCGCAGCCGGAGCCGTTCTGCTGAGGATCGGCTAGACGATGCCTGGGAACCCTGCGCAACTCAATTAGGGACCTTGCCTCGCTTCTCTTTGGGCCGCGTTGACAATGGCCCGTGCACGGACGAAGATATGGCCAACTACATGCAGCCACTGTATCTACGAGGCTGGCGGGCCGCGTTCGTCCCCATCTTGAACCGCATGCAGCAGTTCCATCCGACATTGTGCCTGACGGGGTTTTTCCGCTTCACGACGCTTGCGGCGGCCGTCTCGTTTGTGCAAGCAGCGAACCTGGCTCGAAAATCAAAGGACCCGGTGCGTGATGCCCAATCCTGCCGCACTCGTGACGCCGTCTGAGTCTGGTGCGATCGCAGGTCGACCTCCATTTTCTGGTGGAATGCCGCACCGTGCAGGCGCAGCTGATCTTTCCGAGCACACAGACTGCGCTGTCGATGCGTGACATTGCACGTGCCTGGGCACTCCAACGCATATTCGACACGGAGTTCTTCGAAGTTGCGTGTGTCAGCGATGTACATCCGTTTAGAGACGGTGGACGACACCAGCCGCGGACGGTGCAGGCGCTGCACGACACCCGGAGGCCGTTGAGAGGATTTCATGTCCGGCAGAATTCCAGGAATGTGGCGCGATGAGTAGCTGGCTCTAGTAAACGTCTAGATTTTTGGTGGTAATCATGTCAGTAGGGAATTGGACGGAAGGTTGTTCTGACTATTATGATTCGTGCGCTCTCAATGCTGCCGATGCTTCTATGTTCTCCGACCCTGTGCAAGGTCGATTTGAACAAAGCTTCGGGCAGCCTGACCGGGAAGTACGTACTACTTACTCGAGACTGCTCGAGAGTTGATGAAGGAGGATGACCCCAGCCCGCCCAGATTACGCGAGAGTGATTATCGCCAAGACAGATCGCGTGCGTCGGGCCGTCGGCTGCCGCGGCTTTTGAATTCTTATTTTTGGCGAGATTAGTCTTCTCCTGGAGGCTGGGAACACTGTGCACTTTCAGGCTTCCTCTCCAGACTCGATAGACTTAGCTCGACCTGGACATGATTTCTCTCGATTAGCCCCCAAGCTCTGGTCTGCTCTGCTTGTGTGTGCCCTTCAAGTTTGCGCATTCAGCGTGCATGGCCGAGTACAAACATCAGTCCCGTGCAGGATTTCGCATTTGCCGACAGTTCCATGGACAATATCTCATCAAGGCTCGGACCCTTTGGGGTTAGGCTTGTCCTTATGGTCCAGCGTGGTCCTCCCGACGCTGTCGCCATAGCGGCGCACTGTGCAAATCTATTTCTCCGAAGCCCGGGAAGGAATTTCAATAAATAACTAGCAGGCGCCCAGTTATCGTATCGACAACGACCTCCCCTTGTCTTCGTCTTTGCTTTTGTTTCTTCCTTGCCATGTTCGCCCAGATCTCCGCTGCTGTTCTCCTCCTCGCCCATCTGGCTGCGGCTGTTCCCGTTGAGACCTCGCTGGAGTCGCGTGCTGTCGACACCTCGAAGCACTGCGGTGAGCATTTGGTTATATGTGCGGTCGGCTGTGGCCTGTCCGGCTGATTGTGATGCAGGTCAATACGACTCTGTCTCGGCCTCCCCGTACACTCTTTACTTGGACCAGTGGGGACTCGGCCCGGGCGTCTCCGGCTCGGACTGCGCACACATCAGCTCGTTGAGCGGTGGTGCGATCGCGTGGGCCTCGACCTGGTCGTTCTCTGGCGGCAACGGCATCAAGAGCTACACGAACGTTGGCCTGAACCAGGGCATCAACCGCCAGATCTCGGCCATCCGCTCGATTCCGTCGACGTGGAAGTGGCAGCAGGACCACACCAATGTGGTCGCTGATGTTGCGTACGATCTGTTCACCTCCAACAGCGCCGGTGGATCCAACGTCCACGAAATTATGATCTGGCTCGCCAACTTCAACGCCGGGCCGATCTCTGCCAAGTACAACGCGCAGGGTCAACCGGTCCCCATCGCCTCCGGCTTGTCGTTCGCTGGCCACTCGTGGAACCTCTACTACGGCTCCAACGGCTCGAACGACGTCTACTCGTTCCTGCCCACTTCCGGCGTCATCACCTCCTTCAGCGGTGACCTCTACACCTTCATTAATGTCTGTCACACACCCTGGTTTCTCCATATGTTGTATTCCTGACAGCAACATCAGTACCTCACCTCCAAGGGCCACTTTGCCACGTCGCAGTTCCTTACCGTCCTCCAGGCCGGCACCGAAGCCACCTCGGGCTCCGCTACCTTCACTACGTGCGTGCCAACCATGTTTGCAGACGATCTGCGAGGGACTGACCGTTTTTCCCAGCACCTCTTACAAGTCTACGATCAACTAATTCATTGAATAATTCGTACATAGTCGTATGAATCCCATTCTATGAGAGCACCTATGCTCTACACTGGCTATCTTCCCTTTCGGCCACTTGTGGCGCGTCAGATTGAACCTAATCGTGAGAGGAAATGACTGAAACAACAAGCTGCGCGGACCGGCTGATTCCGGTCCATGACGTCAGGCGCGGACATGGAATGACGATGTCGACGGCGGTCTCGCAGCCACGATGATGGAAACGGACAACGGAACCTTTCCATTCATCATCACGTAGTCGCCATGGGACCAGCGCAGCGGGCGAGGCACGGCCTGCAAGCACGGAAATTGCGGGTACACATGGTCATGCATCATGCGTAAGGGGTGCGATGCGTCGTAGAAAATCGCACGCGTGGATCATCTGCGGAAAACCAGCGGCAAGTATAACATGCGAGCGTCGTAACGGCGAGATGCATCTCGGCCAGGAGAGAGGATTCACGCTTGGCGGAGAGTTCCGCAACCGAGAGACGCATTACCGCACTGCGGCTCGCCCCTTTGACAGGGAGCACTCGAAGCTAAAAGGATTCTGTCTCGCAACAGTCAAGCAACGTCAGGCAACGACCCTTACTTGTACAATTGAGACAGACAACTGCAATGGAAGAACACAACAACCATGCAGCTCAAGGTTTGATGCTGTGATTAGATAATTTTGGATTACTGGAAGCACGTGGATTGTTTTCATCGACGTCGATCACGACTTCATCACAACCACACTTTTCTGCTGTTACGGCCTGCGCGTGCGGCATCCCCTCCACACCTACATGGTAGTTGGGATCGACACCCCGCCCATCTCTCAACATAATCCCCTACTTGTGTGATGGCTGGCTTCCTCCGCAAAAAGAAGGTGGACCCGGGTCCGCCTCCAGCCGACAATCCCCCGCCGCCGCCCCTTCTGAACGCCGCTCCGCCCCCCTTATTCGCCCGCTTCGCCTCAAGTCTGCAAGCCCAGGATGCCGCTCCGAAGACGACAGGGCCGCGTGTGTCAGGGCCGATGTCATTGGCGTCTGCCTCTCAACGCCACAACAATCACACGGGCAGTAGTTCGAAGGCGGCCACGGGACAACAGCGTGATGAGATGAGGCAGTCACGACGGCCGGGTGAAACAGTCTACACGCAGCCTCAAATACACTATTCGCAAACTTCTGCTTCGAACGGCGGCGTACCTCCTCACTCGCGGCATTCTCCGCCTCCCCGTTCACAGACGCTTCCCCAGCCGCCATCCGCCTCGCCTGCCCCCGTGGATCTTCCAAATCGACGCCTCTCGCATGTAGCCGACAAGCCGCTGCCCGCGTTGCAATCGCGCAGCCCCGATCCACTGGCAGCCCCTCCCCCTTCGTCCGCACTGCCCCCCAACCGACGTATCTCCGCGCGTGGCTACCCGCAACCGGGCTCGGCGCCCCAGAGATTCACGACGACAAACGGACGTGTCCAACCGGAGTTCTCCTCGCAAGGCCCGATGGGCCGGTATCCCAACGAGACGGGGGCACCGGATTTCCGAAATGCACACAAGCTCCCTGACGCAGGGGGTTCTGGTTCTGGTGCTCCGGTTGAAATCGTTCCTGCTTCTGAGGCCAGGACCGCCCCGGGTCTCGGCGCAAGCGAACCCCGACTTGGATCGTTCGCGGCTTCAGGGACTTTGCGGACAGCCCCATATGAGGTAATGTCCCTTCCATTCAGCGGTTGCTCTTCGCGCGCGCGTAGTCGTTGTCGTCTACGCCCAGGCGAGACTGGCGGTCTGCGCCGTCGTCTATGACTAAGCGCGTCGCTATCGCGGCCTGCCCGATTGGGTGGATTGGCGCTTCTCTTCGAATTCACTTTATGCTTTTGCTTTATTAACTCGGTGATACATTTCGCAGGAGTATGACCCCTCATTATCATCTGCTACGCAGCCAACAAACCCGGTAAGCTGTCAGACGTCATCCCCGCAGGTGTATTAAACCAATCACCTCACCAGGGATACGCCAGTCCGTCTCCTGCTGCTGCTGCTCCCGACACACCCATCAAGAACAACATGGGCGTCACGCTCAGCTCGATCGATGTCCAGACCTATCACGCTCACGGATCCGCCAGAAACAAGCGGGTCTCTGCGCCCCCTGTGCGCGGGAAACCGCTCATCTTTGCGGCGATGGAACCCGCGACCGAGAAACCGCAGCTCACTCATGATCCGCGCATGGCGTATCCTTCCCCCCCTTCTGAAGCTGCCATCCACCGCATTCCTCCTTTGAAACCAGAGGACAACAACGCCAACCTGGGATTTGACTTTGACTTGGACTATAACTTTTCGAGGGCGCTGGATGATTGGGGCGACGCACGGCAGCAGGTCCATGCACCACCACCGCTGAGGATACCAAACGGATTCCCAGCGAACGGGCCGCCTCCAGTTAGCCAGACAAAATCAGGTGACAAGCTTTCGTCGCCGGTAAACGGATTCTCCTCGCCCATCTCAGCACCTCCCCCACTCTCGGTTCCCGTCTCATTCATCCCGACTCCTGCACCGCCTTCCCCTTCACCCTCCCCTCCTCGGCGCGTTTCTGTTGCCCGATCTCCGATGCGTGTCGGACCGCCACAAATGCCGAATGGATTCGGTTCACCTCGCTCGCCACCCCAACAGAACTTGCCAGCACGCAGCCCCTCGCCTCCACCCAGGGCAGTAGATGTCAGGCCACTTGATGTCAGGCCAATCGAGGTTAAACCGATTGACGTTAAGCCGCCGACTGCGCATCGCACGCTGGTGAAACCTCGGTCTACCACCCCGCAACGCAAGCCGAGCATCCCGCAGATCGTGCCTGAGGTGAACAGGCAGTCTATGCTGCTGCTGGACGAGGATCCGTTCGCCAAAATCGAGGGGGTCAGGGTGATGGCCCCCAGCGTCTCGTCGCCCGTGTCTTCCTCCGCTGAGGAGTCGCTGGATGCCGAGGTGTCCGAGAAAGCAAGCGTGTCCGAGAAAGCTGCTGACCTGTCCGAGAGAGCAACTGTCGTGTCCGAGAACGCAACTGCTCCTTCGACCCCAGAGCGGACTGTCGCGTCGTTGCCATCGGCACCGAGTTCTCCGGAAGATTATCGGGCGGCCCGGTCGCAGCGGCGCGGGAATGTGCTCGATAAGGCGCCACCCCCTTCGGTCCTCGGCGTCGAAGTGCGCGAAACCAGGATCCCAGGTCCGTTTCCATTAGCCTTGTTTGTGGCCGACCCCCAGCTGCTCACGGCACTGCTGCCGTATCTGTCGTTCTACGAGTGGTGCATCCTGTCTGCCGTCTCCAAGGAGATCCGAATCACATTCGTCGGGACGAAGGATCTTCGCGAGGCTGCTCTGGAGCGGTATCTGAGGACTGTCGGTTATGCACGGTGGACATGGGCTGATCCGGACCCTCTTGAGCTGACCCTTCTGGTGAGATTGATTACGTGTAAGCTTATCAGCCATCTTGTCTGACTTGATTGCTGCAGGACTTGCATGACTACATGCGCGGTGTTTCGTTGCCCAGTCACGAATATTCCAGGGTTGCAGATGCTTACGTTCAGTCGTTCAACCTTCCTCCAGATGTCAGGGATCCTGTTCATCTCACGATGGCTCGCAGCCTGACTTCTTCGACGAGGGCCTACACCCGTGTTGTGCTGCGGCTGAGAGCACAGGCTGAGAGGGAGGCGAGCGATGCTGCTGCGCTCAAGTACTCGATGCCTCCTCCCAGGAGAATCGTCAGCAACGGGTACTCATCCAGTCGATCCAGTCCTTCGAGAACCTCCAGCCGCGCACCCTCGCCCACTCCCTTCGGGGGCAGTCACCACTCCCACCCCGGACACGCTGCTCCCTTCCGTTCTCCTCTGTTCAAATTGCGGCGGGCCCCGCTGTTGAGGGTATTCGTCCCCTCGCCCGATGGAGATTGGTTGTCAGACAAGAGCGTTCTGGAATGCGAAGCGGAACTGAAGCGCGCTGGTGTGCTCAACTTGCTGCGCGTCGGGGATGTTGTGTGGGATATTGCAGTCGGCGATGAAGGCAACGTAGGAAGACTAATCTGGGATGGCAGCTATCTGATTGTGAGCGCTTTCGAGGCCAGGGTTTGCGCTTGCTAACACCCCGCAGGATCTGGACTACAAATACTCTGCGGTCGGCGATCTTCCCCAGTATCTCCCCACTCTGGCCTTCCCGCCGTCCTACTTTCACCGTGTCATCCGCACGGGACCGACGTCCACCAATCCCGTCGCGCACATGGACATTTCACCCTGGGGACACGAGATTGCGGCCAATCTGCAGTTACTACAGGATCGCATCCGCACGGAGACGTAAGTACATCATACATGAACTGCGCATCGAGCTCACCTCCTTCGCTTTTGCAGCCCACAAGGAAACGTGCACAACGTCGTTCGATGGGTGCACCGATCCTCGTTCGTCATCCGGCCTCCCGCCAGAAACCGTGCGTCGATGTCGCCCAGCCGCGGCTCACGCCCAGAGTCACCACGGATCCCGATTCCCGAGTCAGCTGGTCTGTTTGTTGATCCGGGATGGTACGGGACGATCGTCGTCGAGACGGAGGGAACGAATGAAGCGCTCGCGGACCTGCAGGACCGGTGCCCGGGTGCATTCCCCCCGCGAGCTGGCGGGCAGCCGACGGTCGTTCTGAAGGAAGCCAAGGATGCGAGGAAAGTTTGGAAGATCCTAAGAGAAAAGAGGTCAGTGCTGTTGCATCCATGTGCGAGAAATGTTGGTGCTCAAGTACCCGCAGTCGCCCAGCGGAAATCTGGATCCGTGCGGTTGGCCCGAAAGAGCGTCTTTTCTGAAGTGAACGGATACATATCCGAGACTGTATTGCATCTGTTACTTATCATCTTCTTTATATCATGCACGGACTGTACTTATACACAATGGTGTAATGACCGTAGAGAGTGTATCCAACCGCAACGCTTCCATGGCCGCACATAGCCCCCTTTTCGTTCGCTACGTTTCGAGCGTGTATGTGTTCTTCTCGAGCTGCAACCGTCGCGTCGTGTTTGAGCACGAGGCCGACTGGGAGTATGAGCGGATCGTTACGCACCTCGACCTCGAGTTCGCGTCTGACGCGGTATTCCTCATCCGCCTTGATGACCAGATGGTACTCGTCCAGGTCCTCGATGATGAAACTTTGTTTTTCGTTCATTGAGAGGAGGATCTCCTTGACGGCGGGGTCACTGCAGCGCAGTGCATAGAGCGCACGGTCAGGCGGGGGCACAGACAGACGATTGGGCAGGGGCGGACCATGTTAGGATGACACCTGTGGGTGGACTCAGATTTCGGAGTGTGGGAGTAGAAACGCGTCGCTAGTCGTACTTACTCTTTATTGCTTTCATCTTCCGGCAGGCATGAAAGTCGGGACAGAGGAATGATGGGACGCACAGCCACGCATGTCAATCAGGTCGAGAACTTGAAGATTCGGAGGTTGCGAGTCCTAGTCATCTGCCATTGAATCAGGCTTGGGACTGTTGAAATACGATAATGGGATCGCCAGACACCCGTGGTATCGACCTTGGCCAATTATGGTATCTGCGCCTCATTCCGTGATCAGTGGCTGGCTGCTGGTGGATAGTGCTGGGCTAGCTATGAATTATTTCATAGCATAGCAATTCATAGCATATTTTTAGCATGCTAAATATCAACCTAGCCAGTCGGGAGGCTGAACCACGTGCTATGAATTGCTAATAATCAATTTTCGATCCTATGATAACGCAGTGATAACTTGGTGATAAGGAGCTGAATCTACATCAATTAGAAGTCTGACAATCACTGTCAGAAATGACACTCCGGAACAAGGCGGAGAATCTTTTTTCTGTATACTTCTCGTCATGCCGTTGCCTCCAGAAGCTCTCGGAGCACTGGTGATAGCTCGCAGAGCTTACATTGAGAGCGAAGATTTCAGTATTCCGGATTTCATAAAAGCTATCGAGCTTCACACGGAAGAGAAGAGTGAAGAACGCACAGCATGGTTCTCACACGTGGATGTTCTCACCGATGCGATGGAGAACGGGACAGATCTGCCTCCAGTACGTAACAATGACATCTAATGAGATGGACGCGTGTTGAACTCGCGTCTTGCAGGTTCCCGGTGTGATTGACACCCCAAAGCCCAAAAAACGCGCGACAAAGAAGGCACCAGTCCCAACTGCCACAAGCCTATCGGACGCTTTGTCGGGGACCAACGCGGCCCAGAAGCGCACCCAGATTCGCGCGCAACGCATCTTGGATGACCAAGGTGCTGCACCTGTAGGAGAAACCGGTCCATCACGAGGGAAGAACGTGAAGAAGTCTAAAGGTGCAGGAGCGCCGCGCGACACATTGGTCGACGATTTGGTCATCGAAGAGATTGAGCTGCAGCCCCAGGGCGTAGGGAAGGAGCCGAAGAAGAAGATATGGATCTACTGCGTTGCTTGTGACAATGTAACACCATTCCGGAACCCAAAGCGTAGCCGGAAACACGCGCTGGAGTGCGAGGTAAGTGTATTCACGTTGGTGGCTGGTTCCGTTCTGATCTACTTGTTCTTTGAGATGTTGAAGCAGACATTTCCGAACCTCTACAAACGAGTCTGCGAAGACAATGCCAGCAGAGCGACGGGAAGCCTTCCTCGCGTCCGTACAAAGAGCAAGGTAGCTGCGGTCTCGCCGGTTGCCGCTCCTGGATTGAGTGAAGACACGCCAATGGAGGTCGATTCCGGGTCGGAAGCTACAAGCGATGACGAGGATGTCAACGAAGATGCGGCTCCATCTAACAAGGGCACGATAAAGGAGTATTTCGAGCCTGTGAAGATGACCGAAGTACGTCAGGCGGCAATCGACCTTGCTCTCTTCCAAGCCGTCATCTGTTGTGCGCTCCCCTTCTCCTTCGTTGAGAATCCGTGGCTCGTCAACCTCCTCCTTGTTATGGTCCCCAACTACGTCACTCCTGAGCGCAGCGCGTTCTTCACTCGACAGATTGCAGATCAAGTCGCACTGTTCGTTGTGCAGCTCAAGGCATTCCTGTTGCACCGGTACTTTCTCACTTTATCGCTGGACGGATGGAGCAGTCGAGGGAAGGATGAAATCTATACGTTCCACACAACACTCCCCAGTCGGCGTTCCATCTTCACCCTTGGCCACGTCTTCAAAGGGGTTTCTGTGACTGCCGAAGCCCTGTTTACTGTCGTGAAGGTGCAGATCTTTGGCGTCTATGGTGTGCACGCCTATAGTGCCGTTGTTGGTGATGGTGGAAGTAATGTCCGTGCATTGAAGAGAGATATTGCGCACGAGTTCGCTTGGATCCTGAACATCTATGACCCCTGTCATCTCCTCAATCTCTTCCTGAAGGACATTGGCAAGCTCTTCAAAGTGGTAAGTGCCTTGACTTCACTAGTTGCTCCCGTTCCCGTTATTTACTAGTCACACAGGAATTGAGCATTGTATCAGGCATCTCGAACTACTTTTCCCACTCAAACGCAGCCACATATGCATTGTCCGTTGAGCGCAAGGCTCGTGGTATCAAGGGTGGGATGAAGTCAGCGTCTGACACTCGATTTGGCACGTCCTTCATCCAATCTGTTGCTCTCCGTCTCTGTTTCCCGGCTATTGTTGCATGCATTCAGGCCGGTACTATCGCATTCACTACCAAAGCGGTATGATTCTACTACGATGTCTCCATCATCTTCCTTGCTCATTGGCCAACAGACCAAACGCTTCATTCCTTATTTCGATCCTGACCATCTCGAATACCCAGGGTTTCAATCGAGACTCTCTGCACTTATCCAGCTCCTCGAGGCTGGTGCCAATGGAATCACGACATTGGAAGGCCAGAATGTGACCTGCGCCGATGTGTTCTATGTCTGGGTCACCATTGCCTGGCATCTCGAACGGCTCGTCGGCAGCACAACGAAGGGCTTTTCAAAATATCGCTCACAGATTATCACCATTTATAATGCTCGCTTTGAGCAGATGATGACCGAATCATCACACAACCTCTTCCTTCTTGCATACTACCTTCATCCCCGTGTGTAATGTATTACCTTCCCGAGCACATACTCACTACTGATACAGTCTATTTCACGCACGGCGGCTTGAAGCTTTTCCTTCCGGATCTCCGTGAAGGGGAAAAATACTCGAGTGACAAGTGGACGGATCTATTCCGCACCCTCCGTCTCTCTGCTCGAGCGATTCTGCATGGAGAGCAGCTTCGCTGCAACATGGAATCAAAATCTGAAGCGAGCCGACTAACTCAACAGCTCGTTCGATGGTTGTGTGGTCATGCTCCCTTCCATAAACGGGCCTATATCACTCGTGATGACAAGCCATTAGACTACTGGAAGGCCGTGAAGAAGGACTCAAATGCAGATGTTCTTGCGGTTTGTCTGCCTCTGTCAACCCGAGTTTCGTGCAAAACTGATCACGCAGTACAGACTGTCGCAATCATCCTCTTCTCGATCTCACCTTCTGAGATATGCGACGAACGGACAGCATCCCTTCTGGGATGGATGAACGCTGCTCGTCGGAGCTCTATGACCGCCGAGAACCTTGTTCATTCTGCTCAACTTTCACAGTGGTACAAGCACGGTCTGTCCGAGGGCAACTACCAGCACACATCGACTGCAAACATTCGTGTTTCCAATGTCGACTTGTCCACTGAGACCACCGTCACACTCTCTGCACCCACCCTCATGGATTTGTTGAACGACCAGAATGTAGATCCGACTGTAGAAGACCAGGAAGCGCTCGAGAAGATGCTCTTTGAGCAGGAAGACCCGTTTGATCTTGACGAATGCGACCGTGTTGATAGCACTGTCAATTCTGAGCCCGCTCATGTGGCCCCCACCCAGACTCCTTTCATCACTCGAATGTCGACTCGCTGGGCTGTCACCGACTTTGTTCGTCTTGACAGTCCTGCTCTCGGCAAGCTCATTATTCCGAGCGCATCCCCGGAGGTTGCTTCCGTACGCCCCAAGAGTCCGGAGGTCAGCGAGCATACCGCTGTGAATCAGCCCTGGGATCCAAATGCTGAAGACGACGACTAGATACACACTTACTAGACCCAAAGAACGCATACTAGAGCCCATTAGAGCCGTAGAAATCGATATTTTGACGCCGCTAAAAATCAATGCTATAATCAATTCATAGCAATGCTATAAAGCCTAGCAACGGGGTCGGGTGATCATAGCGGCTAAAAATCTATCCTAGCAAGTCGAAAAAAATTCTTAGCCCAGCACTACTGGTGGAGCATCATCCAACGACGTAGGAGGTTTCCAGCTCGTATAAAAGCGCCAAACCCGTCAGCGAGAGATCCTCATAATGATATACCCCCAAACGCTCTACTAATCTTCCTACACGACCCAATTCTACGACATGTTTACGAGAAATTCAAGCGTCCAATTGCCCCCGCCGGCAATGGCGCGACACGACTCGGGATTCACTCCCACACTTCCGACTTCGCGGCGGCGGCAGACCCTCCAGCGGGGCGATAGCCAAAACACGCGCTACATGAACATGCTTCTGGCGCTGGACGGCATCCCACGGCTGCACAACATGCTTGCCTCGTTCTTCACGTGGATTCTGCTCGCTGGATTCGTCCTGCTGCCCGGAACGTTCACCAGCCTGCAGAAGGCGAACACGAGCACGTCGAGTGAGGCCGAGAGGCGGTTTATCGGGGCCATTCAGCACACGCCGCTGTGAGTATCGGCCGTGCGCTTTGGATGCGCCATCAACTCATCCGCATGTCCAGCTTCGTCATAGCATTTCTGTGTGCTGGGATAGGCGCTGCGGGAATGGTCTGGCTGTGGTGGAGATGGAACAAGAACTTCATCTGGCTCAATAACCGCATCTTCCTGTGAGTTCACAAGTGAACAAGTTCAGTGGTGTGCGATGCTGACCGGGTGGCAGACCGGGCACTCTCAACTCCCTTGCGGGCATTGTCTCGACGCTTGTCAACGTCTACGGTGTGCAGCACGGCGAATTCATCGGCTCTTCGAAGGTCACACTCATCGTCACCGTGGCCGCAGCGCTCATCTGCGGGACCTTGACCCTGTTGTATAGCGCCGTTTTCCTGAGGGGCGTCAAGAGGATGCATGACAGGGAAGTCGGGCGAGAACGCGCAGGACAACACGGCGAAGGAATCATCGAAGAGATCAAGCGTAAGGCTGGAGAGATCGAACCTGAGGTAAGGGTAGTGTGAGATGAGAATGAGCACAAGGACATTCGCGCGTACCTGTATTGTTAACTCCGCCCCGTAAATATACCCCAAGATAATGGACACTTCTGAATGCACAAACTGAACTGACATCGCACCAAGTTGGTCTATCCAAAGATACATTCATGGCAAGGTTCGCTTGCTGTAGCTGATCCTTCCTCTACAACGTCAGCAGGGACGCAACCTTCGTTTCTACGTCTTTCGCCGACAAGTTATCCAGCTCGACGTGCTTCTCCACTCCCATTTCTGGCCGCAAGTCAGACTCCCACCACACGTATGGGAAACACCGAGCAGAGGACGCACCAAATCGAGCAAATACTCGTGCAGGTGTCCCGCTAGCCTCTCGTATCAGCACCGGAAGGTCGGGGTTGTGTTGCTTGATTAGCGGGTATTTTGAGAGGATGAATTCTCTACGCAGTGTGAGCATGTCACCGGCGAGACGGCAATAAACTATTCACCGCGTTCCGGCGGAAGGCGCCCCGCTTTGTGAGCAAAGTATGCGGATTTCTCGGAGCGCGGGAGAGAAGGCTTTAGAGAACGACATGAACGGCAGTGTCGGAGGAGGAGGATGTTCACGTGACGTGGACAGCACTTGCTTCTTCAAGAAGTTTCATGACCTACACACCTGGCTTTATTCCCGTGGAATTGCTGAGCGTATAATCTCCTGCGCAATCCAGTGGCTGCAGCGTTCAGCGTTAGGAGCACGTATGCTGGAGAACACGTCGACGCGTTTGAGAGCTTGTTTTTCCGCATATTTGAGAAGCCTGAGCCACTCTCCTAGAACACATTTCGAGTTGAACATACATAGATCCAGTGTCAACATTCGCACAGTCATTCTCCTCATTGCGACTTCGCACTGGTATCTCTCCTGTCCCTTCCTTTAGAACCTGTCTATTATTTGTGAAAAACCGGTTGTTTCCATGAGCTCAGCAAAATCTCCCGTGACGAAAGTTCCTGCGGATATATCGTCGGTGCTATCGCACCAGTCACTTTGACAAGCCGATAGCTCATTTCAAATGGCAGGCTGTTGGGGCAACAGCGCCGCAACTATGCGCACATGCTGTGATGCGTTCGGGGGGATCCCCGCCTCCATCTCAAACAACTCAGGCAGGAGCTGTGGGCACAATGCTAAGATGGGCTTCGTCTCGGACAACGACTCGGTCGCGGCCGCGCAGGTGGGCTCACTCGCAGAGCAATGGCAGACTTGCATTGAGACGAACTGGATCGCAGCGCAAGACGGTACCCAGATTCTGTCCGCGTGCGAAACTCGCGCGAACGAGACAGCAGTCCGCATCGTCTCGGGCACCCGCGACGGAACTTCCGCCGCTGCTGGGTGACCGCTCGGAAACAGTATCTTCATGGCTGGGACATTGGCCGCGGCTTTTGCCCTGCCTGCTGTGTTGTTCTGCCTCTAGACAACACGCGACTTCATAAGTTTGCATCCGCTCTCTCACTAGGTCACATAAGATGAATACTCCCTGCTGAAGTTTCTGAGATGGGAAAAACTGCATTGAGAAATATCAACTGGTGAAGCTGCAATAGGAAATCAAGACGGAGCCTGCTTCTGTTGCTGAGCAGCCAACATTCGCCTTGAATACACGTCAATCAAACCGACATGAAGCATTGAAAGTTCTTCAACGCACTGTCTGGCCGCAAGAATCATCTTGGCCTTACGTTCTCTTAGACTGGCTTCCCTCTTCTCAGCACTATCTTCCCACACAGCTTTACCCCCGACGTCACTCTCCAGTGGAGACTCAGTGTCCGCCTTCTCCTCGGTGACGCGTTGTTGCAGCCCATAGCGTTCGATGAGACTCTGTTGGGGTTTCAGAGCGGTCGAGTTAGCAGAGCTTGTTTGAGAGTTTCTCGATGCCGGATTCAAAGCAGCGGGTGGATTCCGAGGATAGAGGGTGAAGTAAGCGGCCGGCGGCTGGCAAGAGATTACGAAATCAGATGTTTGGCGCCGGTCAGTGTGAGCTAAGCGCCACGCACGGCCTCCAAGAACCCGCGCTCTAATATCTTGTTCGACGTCAGCTCGATGCTTCCAGTCCTCAAGAGGTCATAGCGTATGTTGTCTCTGGACCGGGCCTTGGAATCAGGGGTGAACAGTTGGATGGGAGGTCAGGACACACGGAGGTATATCGGGAAACATATTCGATATCGTGTCGATCTGTAAGGCGACCAGTTCAGCTTCGAACATTGGGAAGGAGCAGCATACGAGGAATTTTGAAGCTCCACATACCATATCCTGCGACACATTCTTTGGCCTGAACCCGAGCGCGTCCGCCGCAGTGGGTGAATCATTGCTGCCTGTATATACTTTCAGGACACGAAAGCACAAGACCACCAAAGGACTTGCCCGTCGTCAGCCATCGAACAACGAACACAATCACCGCAAATGCGACAACGACGTTGACGACTTCGCCCATGATATGACTGCTGGCCGACTGGCGTTGATGTGGGGTTGGAGAAGAATGTGAATGGGACACGTGACATCGCGGGTCAGATTATCGATTAGCCTCAGGCTCGTAATCGAAGGTGACCGGGCCCGGGATGTTCAATACATCCACCATGGCTCCTCCTACGATCACCATTGAACAAGCACAGGCTGTCGTCGATAAGCACCTTTCGTCAGAGAGTGACACACCCGCTACCATCGTCAATTTCATCAAGGTGTCGCATGGGTTTAGGTGACCATTAATTACTGAGACGCATGAACAGAGTCGAGTCTTACTCGATCGTGTGCAGCTACAATCCCCTGCTCACGACATACCTGCTCGATCTGGCTATCTCTACCAATGCCGAACCGACGCATTCGACTTTCCTGGTTGTTTCGAACGCCGATGAAGACCAAGCGTCCGAAGTCTACAAACCGAACTCCTTGGCTCTCTTTCCCCAAATCATCTCTGTAATCCGACAAAACACAACGATCCCCATCCCCGAACCGAAATTCTCCGATCCCGATGACATCCTGCCTTACATGTATCTGACCACTCCCATATACCCGCTCGTCTCTTCCCGCCTCATATCACTAGCCGATGCGCGCGCCGGAAGAGCCCTGAACGCGAAACAGCAAGCGTACATCGACCTCCAACTCGGCAAGTACCTCGGGGAGCTGCACAACGGCGCCATGAACGATTTCTTCGGTCTTCCCTCGGCGACGCCCCCTTCGAACCCGTCCTACGAGTGGCAAGAGACCTTCACCTCATTGCTCGAGTCTCTTCTGGACGCTTCGGCAGCCGGCATCGAAGAGCCCGTTCTTGCGCAGCTGCGCACCGCCCTTGCTCGTGCCATCTCCGCCTTTCTGTTCGCAGACGTCGAAGTTCCTTCGTTGATCTGGTTCACGGGCTCGGCGGACGATGTCTTCCTGGCATTCGCGGCCAGCGGCGAGCTCAACGCCTTCGCAATACTGCCCTCGGTCGCTCATGCACTGTGGGGTGACCCACTGCTCGAAACATTCTTCCTCGACGCCAGCGACGCGTTCTGGGAAGCTTATCGCGCCACCCGTGGCGCAGATGGCAATTTAATTGTGTTCCCGCGACAACGAACGAAACGGGTCTGGTACGATGTCTTCCTGGCCCTTGTCGTGCTTCGAGAGCACCGCGATTCGGATGGCGAGAAAAATGTTTGGGCTCGTGAGCGTTTGAAGCAAAGTGCCGCCAAGCTTGTCGATGCGCCGTGCTATTAGTGAGGGGGGAGGGACTTTCGATATGCCAAAAGATTCAAGATATGAAATAGCTGCAAGCGCCGGGAATCGTTGATAATACAGGTAGAATTTGGTAGGATAGGATATGGTGAAGTAGGAAGCTGATAAGTCGATAACAGAATGTGTTCAAGCATTGGATTGGGCTGCCTTCCACTCGTCCAAGGCAACTTTCGCTTGCGCTTGGTATTTCTAGAAACCATTCAGCCCACATTGCGTTAAACAGATAGAGCCCGCACCTGTCGCTCTGCTTCAGACAATTGTCTCCAACCAGCACCAGCCGCTTTGCCTCGTTCAGCGGGAGTGCCCTCCTTGAAGTTATCCAGGAAATATCTAGAGAACGATGAGCACAGGAAAGAAAAGGGGTTAATGGATACTTGCTGAATGTAACCAGAAACAGGCTTCTTGACACGGTTCTTATCAACGATTCTGCGCTTCTTCGACGCTTTGAGCTGCTTGTTGAGACGACGAAGGAAGTCGGGGTCAGCCTCTTCAATCCATTTCTGATATTCAGCCTGTCTCAGAGCAGTTTGCTCGCGCGCCTTCACCGCATACGGCTAAGACGGCATGAGCGCGTGACCACCACAAACGATGAACGCGCACCTCTTTCTCCGCGTCAGACATGGCACGGTAGCGTGCTCCGGCTTCCTTGCTGAAGTCTATGATCGATCCTCCTCTCTCCGAGCCATGCTTTTCCATGTATTCCTGGAAGAACACGAGGAAAGTCGATGACCTTCGAGACGGCGGGCCCTGCGATTTGAGGATGCGCGGGGCTGAGCAAAGCAAGATCAGAGATGCGATGAGACAGCGAGAATAATTGACATACCTTTCTTGGGCACAACCTTCTTCTTGGGCTTGCGTTTCACGGGGGTCTTCGGTTTCTTCGCCGCGACGCGAGATGCCTTGCGCACAGGCTTTTTCGCGGCAGGCTTTTTCTTCGCAGCAGCAGAGGCTTTAGCTTTCGTCGTGGTAGCTTTGGCCTTAGGCTTGGTGGCAGTTCCGGCGGGGAAGGAGGCGCGCGTGGTTGTCAGAAATGTACGACGCGTCGCTGCAGACAAGACGGCGCGAGAGACTGCGACCGAAGAAGGGTACAGGCGTGAAGACAGCAGGGGGCTGGCTGCCGCGCCGATTCTCGAGGCGAGACGACCGTGCAACATGGAGAACATTCTGCGTGCGGTGGAGAATAAAAACGAGTTGCTGGATTGTTACCGTCACCGTGACTAGTGAGTGACGATAAGTGACTGATGGTGACTGGCGGTATGTTCCCCCATGATGTGTGGGAGATTCTGCACAAGGCACGGGGAAGATATCCCTGAACTAATACATGTTTACATCCATGAGGACGGTTGAGCCATTGACTTCGGGCGGACCCCCACCACGCCGTGTAGAGTCACCCCCATCTCCATCGTCATCCTCGTCATCGCTCATCCCTTCGTCGCCCTCATCCATCTCCGCATCGGCCTCAGCCCCAGTTTCCATCGGCATACCCAGTCTCGGGTCCCAAGTCAGCTCCTCGGGCTCCTCTTCTTCAACTTGGACGCGCTGCTTGAGCTCGAACTTCTCCCGCAACATCGCCACCGCCCTGACCGCCCGCTCGACGCGCTGGTCATGCATCCCCCGAATTTGATCGCATTCCCGAAGAACGTCCTCGTATTCTGGCTTCGGGGGAAGCACCCCAAGGGCTGTCGGGGCTGGAAGAGCAGCCCCAAGCACCCCGAGTGAGCCCCGCGTGGCCATGTGCTCTGCGAGACGCCTGACGGTCTCGTTCTCCGCCCGCAGCACCTCCGTTGTCTGTTGGTTCCGGAGGAGCGGAATCACCTCGTTATCCAGCTGCGTGTCGGGCATGCCGACACACGGGTGCAGAGCAATGGACTCGAAGGGGTTGGCGCGATTGACTTGGGATATCTGAGGCGCGCCGGAGGAGTCGAATGTGAGGGATGTCCCCTGCACGGGTGCAACAAGCGCATTCGAAAGATTGTGAGTCTGAGAGAGTAGCATGTTATACTTGGAAAGGATGTCTGGCCATGGGTGCATATAGTTTGAGTACCCCGCCTCGATAGTTCTCTGGAGACCGATTATGGACTCGATGATCTGATTGGTTTTGAACCTTAGAGATTCCAGCTGATCCACAGGCAGCGCGGGAGTCAAAGCAGACATGGTGATCGCGTCCAAGCACAATCGTTGTGGTCACGCGGGAGTCACGCGCAATTTGACACGGTCACGTGCTCACGAAGCTCTGTTTCAAGTTTTCCGGTGCCAAGTCAAATCCGAACATGACAGATTCTGCAAATGCAGAAACATTGCCATTTTGCCTTTCCGACACTCCCATCATTTCGAACCCTTCGCACATTCCAAGCACTCCAACGATGACCTTCACAGTGACGTCGCCAGTCTATGAACAGCTTGATTCTGTGACGGATTCCGATCCGTGCGCTCTACAAATGGACGGCATTCTAGCTAGTCTTTTGGTCACGTGTGCGTTCTGCTACATACAGGATCTGTGATGGCGGAACAACCTGAGGTTGGTCCGGAGGACAGCCGCCTCCAGCCAAAACACCCACTCGGAACATGGAGAGCAGCTTTCGGAGGTGAGATCAGAGACACACCCATCGCGCGTGATGATGAGCCACACACATTATGAGCGGCGTTTGAGTGCCGATAGACGCCTCCGAAAAATGCAGCGGTCATGTCCTTCCCAGCATTCTTCGTGAGGTACAGCGGCCCTCCAGGGTGATCGCCCACGAATTCGGATAGGTCGTGAATGAAGCCCGAGATCTGGAGACGTTGAACATGCCATCCCGAGGGCAGCTCAACTCGACATACCAGAAGCAGTGAACGGGTTTTTGACTCTTTCCGGACTGTCACCGTACATTCAAGAAAAAAGCTTGGAAAACAGCAAAAACCACTCACAGGTATCCCAAGTCACAACAGGAAGGTCCTGGGGCTCTGTCGGCCAGCGGATAGCGTCTTGGTCGAGTTTGAGTTGCTTCAACTTCATAGTGAGCGCGCCCTTGGCAATCTCGTTGCTCGGAAATATCCGGAGATTACTCGCGAGCCGGCAATAGTAGACGAGCTGGATGAACCACTTTGTGGGGTCCCATTGATACCAGAGATAAGCATTTCTGTAGTCCATGGGGAATTGATGGTGAAAGTTGTGGTATCCTTCGCCCATCGTCAGGATCGCTACACACAATCTGGATCAGCATGTGAAATTGTGCGCCAAGCCACAACGCACCGGACAAGAAGTGATCTCTTGGACTGAGGGTGTCGTCGTACGGAGTTGTGCCGAGGTAATGCGCAATCGAGTTGATGGCAAAGGTGCACTGGCCCAAATCAGCCGGCGTTCTGCCTGGAGTGGAGATGAAATTACATGGTGGGCAATAGTCAGCCTGAGAGCGGCCGAGAAACAGATTCCGCCCTAGAATGGAGCTTGATTCACGCTGGCTGGATCGATCGAGGCGAGGGCCCACTCACCAGCACATCGTCCCACAAGATCGGTACCAGAGCGGGCACGATGTAGCCAAACAATGCAGCGAGCGGGAAGTAGTAACGATGCGTCCAGCGAAGTAACGGGTCCCGCCCCAAGTCGGATATATCGACCGGGCCCGAACGCAGCTTGGACTTGAACAGAATCCACCCGATGTGAGTCCACAGGAGGCCGCGCTGGATCAATCAATGAGGTAAGCCGCTCGATGGGTTCGCAAGAGCTGGGTTTACCGAAGCATCGTATGGATCTTTTTCCGTGTCGGTCCTATGCAGCTTCGGTTCGGGTAAACGCAGTGCGAGCGATCGGGGAGCGGACTCACCAGCGGTGGTGGGAGCGGTGGCCCCGCGCCCACCAGTAGCAAGAGCCCTGCACGGCACTGGTCCCGCCCAAAATGAGGAACACTTGGAGCGGAAACGACGCGTTATAGGACCGATGCGACCACAGACGATGATACCCTGCGCGTAAAGGCTTAGTCCACCAGCGAGCCGAAAGGAGCGCGTCGCTTGCCAGCCGTGATGCCTGCCAGGGAGCGGTCAGCAAAGCTGCGGCAGCGGCAGTCGCACGCTCGGCCCAAACCCACCGATCATAGAGAAAAAGTAGTACAGAATCGCGAAAACGGCGGTTTTGAGCGTGACGGGCACATACCAGAGTCCGTACGCAGCCGGCATCGGTGTGAGGAGCAGCACGGCGACATTGAACCATCGAACGCCGACGATCTGCGGGAACATGGTGCTAGTGGAAGGCGAAAGAGCTCGGGACGGGCTGGTAATAGTATCACAAGATGACGGCCTAGTATTTTACGTCCCCAGGACACATTTAATCCATGCGGATCTCTTGACTTCTGTGGCTTTAAATGGCATCTGGAACTCGGGAAACAGGCTATGGATGGCGTGGTCCGCACCCGAAATAGACATGTCGACAGCGGAGACTCCCTCGTATGACATGGGGCTCGCAAAGCAAGCAGTTGGGAATCCGACAGTCTTCCCACCGTCGCTCATAGAATCCATCAGAGGGCCACTTTGCTTCCACGCCAAGTTGGCACGCGATGGAACACTCGGCACTGACGGCATGGTACAAGCTTCGGCAAACAACAGGCCACCCAAATGGAAACCAGGTCGCAGGCCATATGTGTGTATCACACAGTCAACTTCCAAGAGATCTGCGCATTCCCTTCACCCCACAAGATTTTTTTTTGTAACTGCCGGCGACTCGGTGCATGAGAAACCACTAATTATGGCCGTCTGGAGATGAAAACCCGGTCTGACGACCACCCCGCGTGATGTCTGACGACCCTCAAGCGTTTGCCGGTTGTCGCAGTCTCGCGTGGAGCTCATGACATGATTCGCACCTTTAAATAAGGCCCTGCCTCCATGAGTCCAGTGGAAGTGAATACGATCGCCGGCGCCTCGACCTCCAAAACTTCTGCGCGATTCATGATGCTTTCCGTCGGCGCTTTGGCTATCGCACTTGCTTATCATATCAGAGACGCAGCTGGGAATGATTCTATCACACTCGCAGTCCCAGCGCAATCCGTGGTAAGAGCCGTTTCCCGCGCACTCACATTCTGGCTTTTTTGACCCTGTATTCAGTTTGTTAGCCCTGCCTCGTTCGCGGTGCTGGGCAACAATGGCACCTTCCGCGAGGACGCATTCGCTGCCTTCAACCCGACAGGCACCACGCCGCCGTTCTTCCAAATATTTGACGCGGGGTTTCTGAAAATCTTGGGCCCGAATCCGAGTATCACCGAGATCGCTTCGAACGCCACGTTCGCGTTTGCACATGAAGCTCCCATCTACGATGCGGCGCAGGACGCGATGTTCTTCGCGAGCAACTCGGGTGGTGCGCTTGGCATGAGCGACATCAATCACAACAATCAAGTCGGGCGCTTGGACCTGCAGCATCTCCCAGCCAGCTTGAACGGCACCGCCATCAATATCCCCGTCACCAAAGTAAGTCAATGCAGGATTCAGATCTCCCGCGCGCGGCGGATGCTGCTTGGGCTGGGCTGAACCGCGCGTTGCAGCTCGATCTCCCCGACACTGTGCAGATGACGAACGGCGGGACGGGGCCGTACCAGGGGGACCTCCTCTTCGTCAACTCCGGCCGGGGACCTCTCCCGCCGTCCATCGTGCGCGTAAATCCGGCTGCGCCACACAACACGACTGTCCTCGTGGACAACTTCTTTGGCAGGCAATTCAATTCGCTGAATGATATCAAAGTGCACCCCAGCGGCAAAATATTCTTCACCGACACGGTGTGAGTTTTTCTTTTTTGCTTTCTCCTTGTGGGAGTGCTTCCGAAATCCGGTGGCTGACTGTACTTGATCTGCCCAGCTACGGCTGGCTGAACCACTTCCGGCCCCTGCCGCTGCTGCCCAGCCAGGTCTACGTCCTCGACCCGACGACCCGCCAAGTCCGTGTCGTGGCGACCGACTTTGACAAGTCCAACGGCATTGCGTTCTCCGGGGACGGGAAAACAGCGTTCATGTGAGCAGCCAATCAGCCAAACGTTTTCCGCATTCGAAGCCGACGATTAATCTCCTTCCTTCTTTCCTTCTCTGCCACAGAACGGACACAGGCGCGGTCGGCGGCTTCTTGGGGACTAATCAGACGCACCCAGCGACCATGTCAGAAACCTCTTCTTATCCTCCATGCGGGCTGTCATCTGATTTCCTGATTCCCGCGCTCGCTCCAGTTACGCATTCGACGTGGACTCCAAGTCATTCGCGTTTACCAACCGCCGGATATTCGCCTACGTCGACACAGGTTGGTGCAGATTCATAATCACGCGCTTCCCGGTCGGCTGCCGTTGTTCTGACCGCGCGAACAGGCATCCCGGATGGCGTGCAGGTCGACACGGATGGGAACGTCTACGCAGGCTGTGCTGATGGCGTCCATGTGAGATTGACAAACAGCGGTACTGGGCATCCAGTCTTATGCTGATGCCAACCAATCGCAGGTCTGGAACGCCGTCGGAACACTGTTGGGCAAGATTTTCCTGGGCGTGAGTTCCGCCAACATGGTCAGTTCCCTCGAATGGCTGCGTCTTCCTACTTGGCTTGGCTTGCTGACTACATCCTCCCAGGCTTTCGCAGGCAAAGGTCGCCTCGTCATCATGGCAGAGACCAAGGTCTTCCTCGCCGAGCTCGCAACGAGCCCCAGCTTGTTCACATCCTAACTTCGAATGAATGTTTCATTATTGCTCCTTTCGTCATTACAGGTTTGGATGAAAAAGTGAAATGGAATAAAAACAAATCGACACTTTAATCTAGTTTCCCTTAGCCTTAGCAGCCATCTGCGTAATAAAGAAACAACATGACATGAGTATTCAAGGAGCTTAGAGACCAGGCAATGAGCAACGCACCAAGTTGAGTGCAGAGCCAGCACGGAACCAGGCGATCTGGCCCTCGTTGAACGAGTGAGCAAGGGCAATCTCCTATCAAGCGCATTCACGTGGTTAGAGGACCGCACAGGCTACAGAAGCACAAAAACGCACGTCGGATGATCCATCAGCATGCTTGGCAACAAGCGTCAGGTTCTTGCCCGGAGCGAACGACTCCAAGCCAACGATGTCCACACGGTCAGTGGGCTGCACTTTATCATAGTCTGCCGGATCAGCAAACGTCAAGGCGAGCATGCCCTGCTTTTTCAAGTTCGTCTCGTGGATGCGAGCAAACGACCGGACGATAATGGCCAATCCACCCAAGAAACGGGGCTCGAGCGCAGCGTGCTCCCGAGACGAACCCTCGCCGTAGTTGGAGTCACCAATGACGACCCACTTGACGCCCTTCTCGCGGTACTCGGCAGCGACCTGGGGAACACCGCCAAACTCGCCAGTGAACTGGTTCTTGACCTTGTTGGCCTCGCCGTTCTCAGCGTTGATGGCACCGATCAGGCAGTTCTCTGAAGAACTGTGTTAGCAAAACACACTCCACGAATGCACCAAGCTACGCACGGGAGATGTTCTCGAGGTGGCCACGGTACTTGAGCCAGGGTCCACCAGCACTGATGTGGTCGGTCGCTGCAGCACGGCCTCAGCAAAGGGCACCGGACGACGCAAGGTGAGACACGTACTGCACTTGCCCTTGACCTTGATAAGAATGGGCAGATCCTTGGGCTCGCCAGTGAAAGGAGTGAAGGGCTTCAAGAGCTGCAGGCGGTCGCTCTTCGGGTCAACGGCAACCTGGACGGAAGCACGGTCCTCAGGCGGTGCCTGGAAAGTGTTCTCGCCAGGGTCGTATCCGCGGGGAGGGAGCTCGTGGCCAGTCGGGTCGGAGAACTTGAAGGGCTTTCCCTCAGAGTCTTTCAGGGTATCGGTGAGCGGGTTGAAGGTGAGGTCACCAGCGAAGGCCATGGCGGTAACGATGTCGGGCGAGGCAACAAAGGCATGGGTGGCCGGGTTGGCGTCGTTACGTCCAGTGAAGTTGCGGTTGTACGAAGTGATGACTAGTTCAGTCAGCAAACATCCAAGACGACGACGAAGGTAACGCACTCGAGTTCTTCTCGCCCTTGGGCACATCCTGACGGTCCCACTGGCCAATGCAAGGTCCACACGCGTTAGCGAGAACGATACCACCGACTTCCTCGAAGATGCCGATCTGTCCATCACGTGCGATAGTGGCCCGAACTTGCTCAGATCCAGGGGTAACCGTGAACTTGCTCTTCATCGTCAATCCGTGCGAGGCGGCCTCCTTGGCGATAGCAGCCGAGCGGGACATATCCTCATACGAAGAGTTGGTGCAGGAACCAATCAAGCCAACCTTCATCTCTTCCGGCCATCCGTTCTTCTTGACTTCAGAAGCGAACTGAGAAATGGGGGTGGCCAAATCAGGAGTGAAGGGTCCGTTGATGTGCGGCTCCAGCTCAGAAAGGTTCTAGCGCGAATGAGCAAAGAAGATGGAAAGAGGACACGGATGAACGCACGATGTCGATGACCTGGTCGTACTGGGCACCCTCATCAGCCTTGAGGTTGTGGGCGAACTGTTCAGCGTAAGCAGCGATTTCCTGGCGGTTGGTTGCCTTGAGGTAGTCGGCCATCCGGCTGTTGAAGGGGAACATCGAGGTGGTTGCACCAATCTCAGCACCCATGTTGCAGATAGTAGCCATACCCGTGCACGAGAGCGACTCGACACCAGGACCCATGTATTCGACGATAGCACCAGTGCCACCCTTGACCGTGAGGATTCCAGCCACCTTGAGAATGACATCTGAATGCCGAGACAGCCATCAAAAAGAAGTTCGAGAAGAGTATCAAGTGGAGATTCGTACCCTTGGGAGTAGTCCAGCCGCCGATCTTGCCAGTAAGGTTAACACCGATAACCTTGGGGCACTTGAGTTCCCAAGGAATGTCCGCCATTACGTCGACTGCGTCGGCGCCTCCAACACCGCAAGCGATCATTCCGAGACCACCCGCGTTCGGGGTGTGCGAGTCCGTGCCGATCATAAGTCCACCGGGGAAAGCGTAGTTTTCGAGAATGATTTGGTGAATGATACCAGAACCGGGTTTCCAGAAACCGAGACCGTACTGCGAGATTGTTAGACTGAAGCGTGTTGTTTCACGACGTCCAAACGCACTTTGGCGGTAGCCGTAGCAAGGAAGTCATAGACCTCCTTGTTGATGTTGATCGCGCGCTGCAAATCCTTAACGCCGCCAACCTGCGCCTCGATAAGGTGGTCACAGTGCACCGTGGTCGGGACCGCTGCCGTAGGCATGCCGGCAGACATAAATTGCAGCAGGGCCATCTAGTGACGTCAGCACAGTATAAACACGAGGGTCAGACAATACTGACCTGAGCGGTGGCATCCTGGCAGGCAACACGCTACGAAGGTCACTGTCAGCTTTGGGAAACAATTTCAGGGCAAGAGAGAGAGAAACAGATTGGTCGCGCGAGTCATAACGAACAGTAGCTAGAGCGCGAGCTAACGCGGGATAGACGATAAAAAAGAAGGATTTGGAGAAGAGAGACGACGGAAATGAAGATACGCACGTCGGGACGCAGCTTGAGGTAGCTCACACCTCGCTCGATATCCTGCCCGTGAGGGTCGTCCAAATGGCCGTAGAGAATCTTCTCCGATAGCGTCAATGGACGGCGCAGCCTGCGAAGCGTCAGCAGCGCACCCCAGAGACGGGGCAGAGCGCGACACACCTCTCGCGCACGATGGCCAAGTTATCCTCGATGCGCTGGTAGTTGATGAAGGCGCCCTTCTCGAGCAGCGACATGGCAACTTTGGTATCACCGATTCGGGGAGCAGCAGTGGCCATACCGGCGGCCATGCGCTGCAGCGCGCGCATGGCGGCCGCAGGCCTGTTGGAGAAATTGAGCATTGCTCAAAAGATGGAGCGGAGAAAGGTGAGGGGAGGGGGCGGTCACGCTGGCATTTTTATCACAGACGCACACGTGAATTGATCAATCGGCCGGACCAATCATATCCGCTCCTTTACGCGCCGGTCCGAGAAAAATCGCACAAAATGTGTGAAAATTGTGGTAGACGCGGATTAGATTATCACAAGTTCCGGGAATACTCCCAAATGAAACTAATATTTTATACTGCGAAACGCAGTGCAGACGGATGCAAACGCCCTCAGTGCGGTGATTACACGACGGGCATTACCGGCTTTGTGGCGGCGGATGACATCACCGTCTGATGCTTGCCGAGGTCTGCAGACCGTCCCGGGTCAAAGTAGAACATCAGCCGATATTTGATCCGACGGCTCGGGACCAAAAAAGGCAGGTATCGTATTATGTATTTCGGTGGCTACGTACAAAGAGTGCAAAAGGTGACAAGACGAAAAGAGCGAAGGAATGCAGAGTTTCCTGCATCCAAGTCTATACAGAATTCAGGCGAGAAAAAACATGCGTCACAGTTTTAGAGATCAACGCGGAGAAGCTTGAAGCCGTTGACGACACTGCTCGTCAGACCAGACGAAAATAGACCGAGCAGGGCTGCATTGCCGCAGTTGCATGTGCCCGCGTGCAGCAACTGAGTCACAGCCGGCCCAAGTGCATTCACATCGGCAGTGATGCTGTTGACAGCAGAATTGCATCCGCAGTGAGGATCCGCGCCAGCAAGTCCCAGCGCAGCGAGAATCTCCTGCACGAGACTGTCCACAGACACTTGCTGCAGCTCCAACCCATCGCTTCCGCTCAGAATACCACCCAGCGCACCGCCAACATTGCCGAGCGATGTGGCATGAAGCAGATCGTCGCCTACAAGGTACTGCAGCAGCGCATTCACCGCTGCATTCAGATCGAGAACGTTGTCGGATGACTTGGCCGGGAGGTTTCCGCAAGCCAGGTTGATCTTCAGAGCCAGTGCCAGGACTTGGTTGGCCGACACAACGAGAGCGTCCTGCGGATCAGCCGATACCGCTGGCGACGAAGCAGTCGGCAGCAACACAGAGGTGTCCACCACCAAGGATGGTACGGTCAAACACGTGGTGGACGCAACACCGGACAAATCCTGGATCGCGCACCGGACTGTCGAGCTGAGATACAGCCCCGGGAGCAATCCACACACAGCTTGTTCTTCAGGGCACTTCCCAGTCGACGAAACCGTCGGAGAGTTGTTCTTGCAATGGCCCAGCATCTCGTTCAGACTGTCGACCAGCTGCTGCACCAGCTTGCTGAGCCCAGTGCTGTCGCACCCACAGCCCTCCAACTCGGTCAGGTACGTCTTCGCCGCCGCCAATGAGATGTAGATGTTCGCCGTCAGCGTCGTGGGAGTCGATCCAAACAGCGAGTTCAGACTCGACAGCAATGTGTCGCATTTCGGGGCACCGGCCGGGAGATCGTTCGTCAGCGAGACGGTCACAGTCAAAGCAGTCGTCATCGGCCCAACCAGCGCCGGGGCCAGCACCGAATTCGAATCCGCCCGACGAAGTTTATGATGACGGCGAGGAATCTGAGCGCGGGCGGCTCGGCGGACAGCCCGCTCAGCGCGTGCGATGTTGGCAGTCCCCGCCGCGGTCGCGTTAGCCTGCAAACCAGCGATTGCGCTAGTGACCGCTGGACTAGATGCACATCCGCACCCCGCTGCACTCCCGAGCAACTTTTGGACTGCACTATCCAAGTCGTCGAGCAACGGGCCAAGATTGAGCGAGCCCGCATTGCAAGAACTGGGAGCGAGACCCAGGGCGCTCACCACACCATTGATCGTCGGCGTCAATCCACAAAGACTGAGGGCACAGCCAGCCGAACCAAGTCCCAGATCGGACGTCAGACCATCCAGCGAGCCTCCACCGAGACCAAGACTATCAAGTGTCCCGTCCAGACCCAACAGATCACGACTGATGATGGCGCCCTTTCCAAGCAACGGCTTTCCCAGAAGGCTTTTCACCAGGTTGTTGATCAGTGTGATGAGATCACCACCGCAGGTGTTCGGATCGAGAGAGCCAGCAGCGGCACTAAGCTGCAGCGCCAAGTCGATAGTGATACCAGCCAGGTAGATGACAATGTCAGGCGAAGACGGATCAACTGGCGTCGAAGGAGGGGCCGGTGTTGAAGGCGAAGCCGGTGTCGATGGAACCGACGGGGTAACAACTGGGACAGCGGGTGCTGAGACTGCGACCGGACCCGATGCAGGGGCAGAGACGGGAGGAGCCGCAGGCAAACTGCCAGTGGGGGGCGCGAGTAAACATCCAGGCGCATCTCTCGGCTGCAGCCCCAGTCCCAGACCGTTGACAATGTTCTGCACGTCTTTGTCCAACTCGGGGCCCAACAACCCACAGATAGAGATCGGAGCAATGTAGAGGTCCGGATCAATGTCGCAGACGAGTCGATGAGCATCCGCATACAGGCAGTTCTGGTCTCCAGGAACCGTCGGCGCCGATCCACCTGCGGAGTTGCAGGCACCCTGCAGGTTGAGCAAGTGGTTGAGCAGATCATCGACATCTTTGAGAAGGCTCCCGAGGCTGTCAGAGCAGTTGCAGGCCTCGATCTGTGACTTGAGATCGGTAGTCGCGTCCACCGAGGCATCGACGTTCGACGCGAGGCTCGACGCGGTCGTCGATCCGAGCATGGTGCTCACCGACGACAAAACAGGTGCGACGGCGTCAGACGCGCTGGTGCCCCCGATAGAACCGCTGGCCCCTTTGAGAGCCGCAGCGCATCCCATCGTACCGACCATCGATGCTCCCAGCGCGGGCGCGATGACCTGCGACGAGCTCGAAGCCGAGGAGCCAGTGTCCACCGTGAGGAGACCCAGGACGTTAAGCGCACGCTTCTCCGCGCCGTGGGGCACGCATTCATCGCCGCTAAGGACGTATCCTTTACGGCAAGACTGAACTGCGCATCGACTTTGGTGGCAACTGACATGGCGAGCGTTCAGGATGCGGCCGCAGTCGACGCCACGGGCGAGCACAGTTTGTTCACCCGACTGGAAGGGGTGCGGGAACACACAATCACCGCCTGAAGCGAAGAGTCAGCGAGGAAAGACAACACATGCCATAGGGACCTACAGCTGTCGAAGTTGGATGTGGTGTCGACACAATCAAACTCGTACTTGGAGCTGGGATCAGCAACTCCACAGACTTTGAGCGATCCACAGCGCTTTTGAGCAGCTTCCAATGTCGTGATCGGCTCATCGCGTGCCTTAAGTGAGCGGGCCACGGGAGATGCACCAGAACATCCCGCGCTCTGAAAGTACGATCAGCGACGCGCAGGGACAGGAGCCCAGATACATACAGCGGAAACACATTGCCCTTTGCAATCTATCGTGCCCCAGGGACAAACACAGCTGGCCTTGTCGTCGGACAGCACATACCCATCGAGGCAGGTGATGGCACAGGGGTCGTCGGTGGTACAGGCGTGCTTAGCGTGCGCAGGGAGCGGCCCGCATTGAACGTGGTATCCGTCGCCGTTGATCTGCAGGATGACAGTCAGCGACGAGTGACGATGGGCAGAGCGAGTACTCGCGAGAGCGTTGACTGCCAGCAGAGCGTTGTTTTGAAGCGTCACATTGTCGGTGGTTTCCAGATACAGGTCGAGATCCTAGACATACCTCATCATACCATTCGAGGATCCTGAACGAAGATATCGCCTACCTTGAGACAGAGACAAAGTTGGACATTTAGGCCGAGCGTGTTGAGAAGATTAACGGCGAGCTGAGGAATATTGACGCAGATGTCAATGAGGGATCGAGGCTGATGATGCTGGAGACGGGCGATGGTACGCGTGGGCGAGGTGTGCAGACCAGCACCATGAGACAATGCCGCAGTGGCTGGGGAGAAAGGAGCGAGGAGAGCCGCAAGGAACGGCAGAAGGAGTGTCGGCGCGAGACGCATCGTCGCGAGAGCAAAGAGTGGGGGGTCAACGAAAAGAGAGACGTGACGATAAATTGGACGCGTCGAGGTTTATATATGCTGGTCACATCGAGATTGCCAAAGCGGGGCGGAGATTTATCTCGGTTCGTTATACGGAGAAGACCCAGAAATGTCAATTGATTTCTCGATTTGGGATTCTTCTAGTTCTCTGCCAAAGCTCGACACCCGCCGCTGATTCGCTCCACCGCAAATCCCGTCTGCCCCAGTAAGAACAAGTTGTCCGCCGCGAGTTTTTGCTGTTTTATTTTATCCTTGAGCAAGCAGCAGACCCGAGTTATCTCTAGACCAAGTGCCAGATATCCAGACCGCGCTCGACGGTGGCAAGCGAGGAGACGGAGCTTCTCAGTGCCAGGGCGCTGGACGTCGGCCTAGTTCTGATCCCAACAACTAGGGATCCAGTCTCAGCCGAAATCTGGGCGAGCGGAGGAAAAAGCATCGCTCGTTCGAGCTGAGTTTTATCTTGCGGGGTCGCAGTTGCAGTTGCGGGATCCCGATCTGGTCTCTGCGCAGATCTATCGCTCCCTTCCGCGGCCCCGCCGATGCCGCTCTGAGGCAGGGCCCACTCGTAGTTTCACCTGGCACTTGACTCGAGGAATTCGTTTCAAAAGTCATGGAACAGAGAGAAGGCAAATAGGCGCGTTGCTTCCGCTGCCACATTTTGGCAACTGCCACCCGGGCCTGTGGCAGTGCTCCCATATATGTTGGTGTTCCTGCATCTACAATCGAGCATCCAAGCCATATCTCATGGCACTTGCATACTGGCAGAATTGGACGAACGGCTTCACTTTGATTTCGCGTTCTGCAAAACGAGATCCGCACAGGGTGGAATATTACGACGACCGCATCGACGGCCTCCCTTTCCGTTTCCGTTTCCGCAAGACACGGTCACGGTCCAGGTCCAAGCCCTTCGACTAGTCCGGGCCCCAGTCCGCCACATCTCGCGCCCGTGAAGGATGAGTTACGTCTCTGTGCACCCAAGTCGCCGGGCTCCAAGGCCGTTTAATTGATAAGCAGTAACATGCTTTGGCTACTGTTCAGCATCAGACGAACTGCGCCTTACTGACAAGCTTGCGTCTTGTATAATCATCGTAATCTAGTAACTGACCAAACCAGCATCCCGAAATCTGACGGGCCTCCGTCTTCACCCTTGAATACTGCGTCCACCACGACCGTCGACTCCGGAAATATCGACGTCCACAGCTCAACCCACGACTCGGCACTGTGGCAGAACATGGGCCGACCGGCACTCGTGTTCGCCTCGGAAATCCCCTTCTTGCTGCTCGCTCCGTGATGACCGAAGATAATCGATCCAGGGCGCGGAGAGAGCAACCCCGCCAGAGCACGCGCGAGTTGTTCCTGCTGAGGCTCGGAGAACAAATGGAATACCAGCGACAGGTGAATCGCAGAAACATGGCCTCGGAGCGGTGTCAGAGTCGTCAACTCTGCGAGCGTCGGGACGGCAGTATCAATCTCTTTAAGATCCTTCAGTGGCGGCAACGGCTGCAAGAAGCTAGCATCAAACGCGTCTCCTGCCAAGAATTTGACGGGGAGGGTGCTCGGACTCGTCTTGAATAGATCATGGCCTAACGGCCAAAATTCTGGAGAACATCAGAGCCACACCGACCGACATCCGCCCCATCACTACCTGCGTTGAGGTCGCTCGCTACGATGTTCTCGGCCGGGAACCCATCGCTCACGATTTTCCGGACATCGGCCCCAACTGCTCTGGGGTGAGACTGAGACAAATTATCTGGAAAGCGCATCCGCACAGCAACATCCGAGTTCCAGGAGTATCGTGTCTGGGCGCTCACGGACCAGATCCAGCACTTTCGAGTACCCCGGCAGCATCGAAATCTTCGGTCTGCGACATCGTCAATATCCATCTCCCCCTTTGAACCAAGCCGACGCTGTCTGTCACCACTCACCGCGTGAAGCCGAAGTTCTGGACACAAAAATATGCAGACTGGACACATTTCATGATCACTCGACAAACCCGACCGACGACTCGATACCGCACTCACATTCGCTCTGGCCCGAACATCAAGGATGTGTTTCTTCAACTCCTCGTCGTCATCGATCTTGGTCTGTGCCCTGACGAATGCCGTATCGGCTGTCTACTCGCGTGTCAGCCAGCGAACGCGAATCCGTGCTATCGACTACGCACCTCGTAGACGGGCAAGTTGAGCGGCAGTTTCAGCTCGACGGACATGGAGGTTCCAGGCAACAGAGTGAAGCCCAGATGTCGGCCCCTCGACAGTATTTATCTTCTCTCTGCATGCGATCAATTCGAACTGGTTCTACTATTCAAATGGGCTGACGACAGCGAGAACGTTGAATAATCAGCCAGCCATAAGCACCAGAGAAGGAGTTCTCGAGACCAGACTCAGAAGACCCTACCGACCATAAGCGAGTCTGTTATTTTGAGCTGCTGACATCGCTAGGACTGTCGACATGTCGAAAGGCACACAGATGCAGGAAGATAGCAACGGCTGAGTCGTGCTTATGTATATAACACATTCAGCGAATGTTCTACAGCGTCTATGGCTCTAGCGGGACGACGACATTAGACATACCGGGATCCGACATTGATAGAAGTAAGATAGAGTCTATGGTCTTGCTGATATCACGAATCAATCTATCGGGTCCATTCCCGACTCACGTCACTAGTCAATGGTCAGCGCGGAAGCGGACACCAGAACGAAATGCTAACCGGCCGAAGATCTTCGTCCGCAGCCAATCTCCCGCTACCAAAGCACGATTCCTCAACGAGAATAGAGAGCTGAGGTAAGCGCTTCTCCAGAAGTAATAGGTCAGCAAGCCACCGCTTGCAAACTAGCAGCGAGTCAACCCAGAGATAGAGACGGGAGACGGAAATCACATACACTCCTGTTGAAGAAAGACAGATCGGCAATGGCTTTGTCAGAGCCAATGTACCTGCGAAAATCATCAGCAACTTGTCGTCGCTGCGTGACGGAGTTCCCATACGCCAGAGTGCCCTGGTGCGAGTAGGTGAAAGGCCGAATCTTCATCTTGCTCAACTGGCGCTGGACGTTGTCGGCCTCATCCTTGACCTGCTTCTTATCGTCCTCTTTCAGAATAGTCGCAAGGCCGGATTCCAGCTCGTTCAGATTGGCCTGCAGCTCGTCGCGCTGAACGATCTGCGGGAAGATTCTGGCGAGGTAGGCCCCTTGCTGGTTGGCAACCTGGGCAGTCGGGGCGTGCGAAGAGGAAGTGCAGTCTCCGATCGCGAAGATGCTTCCATTCGAGCCTTTCATCTGGAGGTATTCTGATGCGGGGTCAGGTCCAGAGTGACGAGAAGGAACGGATGGCGTCGCACCATCGATTGTGATACCGCGCTTGTTAGTCTGGTCCGCGGGGAGTTTTGCCATCAGGTCCTGGGTAATCTTGCGGCCCTTGTTGCCCTGATGACGGAATCAGTGACTACCACCCATCCCTCAACCGTCTCCACGCACACCAGCCCAGACAACCAAACCACACGGCAATTCAGCGACAGTTTTGTCCGGCAGTGCCACTACAACACTTTTGGGCTTGACTTCTTTAACCATCGTTTGTGTGCGGATGTCGATCTTGTCCTCTTTGAAGGACGATACCGTGTAATCAATCAAATGCTTGCTGAACATGGGCAACACAGAGGGCATGGCCTCCACGAGCGTGATCTTGATCTTGCCAGCCAGTTCAGGGTACCAGGATTTCAAGTCCTCCTACAGATCGCGGATTAATCTCGGCCACTTCAACTCATGTCGGGACGTACTTCGAGGAAATCGTGGAGCTCGCCACTGAAAAGGGTCAGCGAGACCATATTTAGTATCGGACAACCTTACCTGAGCTCAACACCAGTGGGTCCACCTCCAACGACAACCATGTGCAAAAGCCGATTGATCTCCTCTTCAGATTGTCCGGGGAAGGCAGCCGATTCGAGACCTGAGAGTGTCGGTGAGCCGAAATGTAGGATGTTCAGAACGCAAGTCATTACAATCAAGGAAGACGCGCTGGAACTACACAAAATGTTTGAGACAGAAACATTGCCTCGATGAAACACCGTACCTTTTCGGCATCCTGGAGCTCCTTCATGAAGCAAGCGTGCTCTTGAACACCGGGAATGCCGAAGGTCTGCACTTCGGCACCAACAGCGTAAACAAGATAGTCATAAGGAATCGTGGTCGACGAGACAGAGCCCTGGATGTCCGAGTTATCTGCCGTTCCGATCAGCTCCCATCAAGTAGTCCTGAAGCATGAAACTCCACCTATGAAAGAGACCGTTTTGTTGACGGGCTGCGCAAGATTAGAACACGATCAGAGCAATTCAGGGTCCCGACGAACATCAACAGATTGAGCCTCGGCTTCGATGACTTTGACGGAACGGGCCTTGTGTCGTGTAACGTATCGTGTAGGTTGGAGAAGGGACCGTGGGCTCAAGGTGCCGACAGCTACACTGGGCAGCAGGGGCGTGAACAAGAAATAGTTGTGCGGGCTGATGACGACCTGGAAACGCAATCAATAGAAGAAATAATTGTCGCAGAACGGGAGAAGAAGAGCGCACCACGTTGTATTCCGTCGTATCCAGAGTGTTGAGGAAGCTGGTCGCGCCCCACCCACTACCAAGCACGACAACCGTCTTCTTGGTGGGATCGTGCGCCAACTGAGGGCCGGGGTTGCGATCTTTCTGCAGCGAAAGTTGTGGATGTGAACACGGACGCAGGGACACCCAACATACTGTGGTGACGTAGTAGAACGATCCGAGACCGACCACAACCGTGAGCCAGAAACCGCGATTGGCATACTTCACTGCAGTGGTGAGCCGCGAAGGAGCGGGTGCGCCGGCCTGTGTAAACAAAACGTCAGAGCATGATCGGCGACTGAAGGAGATAGCCGTACGCTCGACTCGGTCGAGAGCAGACGACGAGCGGTGGGCTGAGCCCAAGCTCTAGCCCGCGTGGCATTTGCCATCGGGCGAGACCTGGAAGCAGGCCGCAACATGGCTAGTGAACCAACGTCATTTTCATCAATGTGAGAAAAAAGCAGGATTTACCCCGACTGGAAGACAGCATTGTCGTGGTCGAGTCGCGGAAACCGAAAGGCAGGCGATGGAGCACTGACGGGGGGCTGGCTGAGGACTAGCCGCAACAGTAGGGTCCCAGCGGGAGGAGGAAATAGAAAATTACACAGGCACTGCCACAAGATCCACATTGTACACTGCCACCTTCCACAATGATACGGGCCGAATAACCGAGGAGAAGAACCAATCGGATACAGCTAATCAGACCGTTCCATCCCGCGCGATAGCAGCCTTGGGTTTGGAGATCGGGCTCGTTCGGGCTGAGGCAGGGTAGTACAATGCATCGTTGGATATATGCAAGTTCGGAGCGCATCAACGACCCGCATTCGCCCGCGCAGCAAACAAACATCGCATATGTTTCTCTCAGGAAAAGTAGGACCTCCAGCCTTTGCATCGATTTGCCATCTTCCGAAGGCATCAGGAAGGTGTGCGAGGAAGCCCAGCGAAGCAGTTTGCCAAGAACCAGATCACACCGACGCACACAGGCTTCTCAGCGATAAGTCTTGCGAGCCTCGTCGCGGGTGACATGGAATTCAATCTCTGATTCCCACTTGTTCCGAGAGCGACTTGTTTTATCTTTGGTCGGAAGTTACAAACGGTTGTATCTACATGCGAGCTGGCTCGAGATATGATTACCACTGGGGCCAGCGTGCTCCAGTCACGGATGGTACATATTGAACACATAAGTCAGTAGGGACTTGCGTTGGAACAGGTCTACAGTCCGAAAACCCTGGAACTAAGCATCAGCGATTGTAGGAGGAGGGATGAACGGATAACCCACTCTTCATGGATCTCCAGACCCCCGACCTGATCTCGCCGGAGAGGTTCGATTTGAGAGATGGCTTCGGAAACGCTATCAGCAAGACTGCACGGCCCGCAGACAGCAACAAGCATCCCGGAGAGAGGCTGATCATCCTTGCTCCCTGCCCCTAGCTTGACTGTGCGCCCAATGCTGTTCTCCAGCATGGTCACAAGACGCGGCCGACCGGGACTGAGGGAGAGATTCGTGGTCGGGAATGCAGATTCCGCGAACGGGAATTTGCCGACGGGCGCACGCGTATAGAAGACAGATATGCGCAGGCGGGTGAAGACAGATTGGTCAATCATGGCATTGAATTGTTGGTATAGCGGAAGCAGCGTGGTCGGATCCTGAACGACCCAGATGAGTTCAATGAGCCGAACGCGTGATTGCCCGTGAAGATCCTTCTGAATCAAGTCTTGGATCCCCGACAATGCGAAGGAGATGCCCGATCCCCCGGCGACGAAGATGGTCGATGAGTAGCTGTTCCACATGGCATGGCCAGGGCCACCATACGGCCCTTCAACGATGACAGAAACATTGCGGCCGATCCCTGCCTCGAGATAGCCACCGCTTTTGGCAAAGTCGAACAAGCGCGTCGTCCATTTTCCGCTTTTCTTGATCATCAGGACCAGCCCCTCATTCGTGCCGGCGACGCCAGCAATAGTGAACGGATGGCTTTCGGTCCAGCCTGTGATGCCCATCGAGCTGCTCAAAACCCGGAGTCGCACATGCTGTCCAGGACGCCATCCAGCTGTCGCCTGAGGAACCTCGACACGTGTCACGCCCATGTCAGTCAGCGGCCGGAGGATGGCGTTATACATCCGGGTCTTGACGAGGCGAAGCACGTGATCGAGTGCATAGAATCCAAGCGCAACCAGAATGTAGGCGTGAAGCGCGGCATAATGGAACCAGAGCATCGGGAATAGGACCGCGAAGCAGATGACGTGGGTGGAGAGGAAGAAGCGATAGTATTTGGAGCGGAAGAACGACGTCGAGAAGACGTACATCACGTTCACCGCAACCAGGCCAGCCGTCCCATACGTGAATGAAGGAATCTTGATTTTCGCCTGGAAATCGCCCGCCTGCGCCCAAACAAAGATGTGGCCCAGTCCATGGGCGTTACAACCCAGGACGAAAAGCCGGGCAGCAAATCGGTGGAAGAAGTTGAGCTGTTTGAACGGACGACGAACGATGTCAACCAGCTGTCTCAACTACCTCACGCGAAACAACGCACCCTCTCGTAGCTCGTCCCCAACAACATCGCTAGGACGTTGTTCTTGGAAGCAAAAAGTATGACCAGCGGCAATTGGGAGATAGCAATCCATCCAGCGCGTTCGAGGTCAACAAATGGGCCAGCCGTGGCAACCGATAACGGATAAACCAGGATAGAAGTGTACAGTAACAATACAACAACCCGGGCCACAGTGAAGCCAGGGGATATACGGATGCTCAACGGAGCAGTGAGGGGTCGTAAAAGTGCAGGGACATTGGGGACATGAGGGGGGTACTCGACACGGATCGGCGCGCCGTCGGCATCAACACGCCTCGCATGCCTCGAGCGCATGACTGCGCTGTGAGAGAGTTCCGAATCCAGCTCCTTGGGCGACACGATAGCACCGCGCGACGACATCACGACCTTGGGGGAGGGTTTCGGTTGTACATAGTGGAGCCAGTGTCCCGTTGACCATTCAGAGTAGCGCCAGAATCGAGCAGCAGCACGGGGCAACCGATACAGCAAGACAGTCGCCGCAACGGCCATGAGAAAGATGTCGACATGGTAGACGAAGCCTGAAGCATTGGTTGAAAAGGATGCGGCGGCGACGGCGCTAGCTGGAGCGGCGAGGGTGGAGTTGACCATTGGATCGGAGAAATGACAGGCGTTGGCTGGGATACAAAAGAGCGAGGCGCCAGAGCTGGACGGTCAATCGCACGTCCTCGAGTAAAAAACGTGGAGGAGGAACGGATCAAGCTCAACAAAATCCTGAACCTCGAGGCACTCCTCTTTCCTTTTGAGGTTTAGCTCCAATCTGGAATGGGGCCGGTTGCTACTTAGACAGTGCTTCCGCTCCTGGCGCTTTATGTATGCCCGGTTCACTGAAACCGAGGCCTTACGGCTCCTGACCGTCCCAGCGTTTTGTAACTATCCCAACCGCACGCCTCGGCTTCTTCCGACCCAGCCCTTCATTGTACCTGTAGGTCACATTATTCCCCCCTCGATTTGGTTCCGGAAGGCTGCTTCCGAGGCCAATTCTCCGCCACTGTGCAGTCTCACGCCACGAACCGACGTTCCTCCGAGGCGCTCGAAGCAATCTGCAGCTCCCAGCAAGTTGTCGGTCTCTCTTTCTGTGTCTCCTGTCGCTCGTTGACGCGCACACAAGACCTGTTTGCTTGCTATGCTTTTGCCTATCCGCGCCCCGCAAATTTATGTGGTGAAGCTCGTTCTGGAACATTCACCCGGTTCAAGAACCTCGCAACCCCACTTTTTGATCTCTTATTTCCGTCCACTCGTGAACTATCTCGTACGAACTGCGTGATGTCTAAAAACGTCCCCTGGACGACTAAGCACAGACGGTCCCGCTTTTAAAAACGGAAGCTGAGGACACTGTACTCTGATCGTTTGTTCTCTTTCTCTTTCTTTCCGTTCTGCCGCTTGAACCTTCGACACGGAGATGAATTTGACCCAAACCGCAGGCGGAGCTGCAGCTGTTCATCCGTTGGACGTGGGGATGCTGGTATTCCATGTCACCATCGTCCTGTCTGTTCTTATCGTGCTGGTCGCACTGTTCCGTCTTCCCCGTGCCTTCGCTCGTTTCTGGCGCGCTTCTGAATGGACGCAGGGCCATTTCCTTGGCTATTCCGCTTCTAGAAAGGGCGGCCCAGTCGTCTTTCCCGGTGTTCCGGACGAAGTTTACGCTGGTGGAAGCGCCAAGGACGACCAAGCCTTCCAGTACCTTGCGCGCTCTGGCCCGCAGTTCGACACTCCCCCTCCTCACATCCCAGGAACGCCATTCTTTCTCCGCAGTGTCGTCTCAGTGCTGCATTCTCGCGTCATCTCCGGCTTTTCAATTGGGCAGCTCATCGTTTGCGCATGCTGGCTGGATGTCGTGCTCTACGCTGCCATCTATAGGTCAACGGGGCCGTTTACCGACTTTGGTCGATACGGGCTCATCGCCACCGCCCAGCTGCCGTTTGTTTTCGTCTTCGCTGCGAAGAACAACATCGCTGGCGTTCTGCTTGGGGTTGGCTATGAGAAAGTACTTGAACGATCGCCATGTTTTGTTCGCAACTCTGCTGATCAACACACAGCTCAACTTTCTCCATCGCCATGTCGCCAGAATAGCGATCGTGGCCGCCAACATCCACAGTTTCGGATATGTCTACAAGTGGTGCCTCGCCGCCACTTTCCAAGAACGCATCATGGAACCCCAGAATGCATCTGGTCTTCTCATGCTCATTGCTTTCAACGTTCTTCTTCTCGCGAGCTCTCCGTTCGTCCGGAATCGCGCGTACAACTTCTTTTTCTGGGTGCATACTCTGTTCGTCCCAGCATGCATGGCGGCGGTGAGTTTTTTTTCGCACATTGGCCAGGCCTCACCCTGAGTCTAATTCACAGGGCTGGGCCCACTATCCTCCACTGCGACCCTATCTCATCTGTGCCTCTGCTGTCTACGGGTTCGATAAACTTCTCCGCATCGCGAAGACGCGTATCAGCACAGCTACCATCCAAGCCCTGCCCGGGCTCAATGCGACCCGAGTGGAACTGCCGTACATCAACAAAGGCTGGCGGGCCGGCCAACATGTACGAGTCCGGGTTCTCTCTTCTTCAATGGGCATCATGGGCTGGTCTGAAATCCACCCATTCACCATCGCCAGCTCGTCCCGTAGTGGGAACGGTCTCGTGCTCGTCTGCAAGCAGGCGGGTACGTGGACGAACAAACTATACAGAGCGGCAGCGGCGGACAATCACGTCGGCGAGGCTTGCCTGTCGCGCCACGTGAAAATGATCGTTGAGGGACCCTACGGTAAGGAAATCTGCTCTGCTCTCCCGCTCTTGCACATGCTCAGTTGAGATTCCAGGCGGGCCGGGGTTCATGATGATGCACAGCTTCTCCGCCGCGTTGTTCGTCGTCGGGGGCAGCGGCATCACTTTCGCCCTAGGGGCTGTCCAAGACCTCATCGAGCAGGACTCGTGCGGGCAAAGTCGCATTAATGTCATTGGTACGCCCGATGTTGGTTATCGACCTCGCCTATTGTAATCTCTGACCGTCCGACGCAGAACTCGTTTGGGTCATCCATGACATCGAGTCCCTTCGCCCCCTGGCTCTCCAGCTGACATCCATGGTTCGGCGGAGCCGAGCGCGCCTGAGCGTGTCTGTCTACTGCACCAAAGCTGCAGAAGGAGATAAAGAGGGGGTCACACCCAACCCGGCATTCTCCGTCTTCCCCGGCCGTCCCGAGGTGGCGGCAATCATTGAAGGAACGATTGCTCGCTCTCTGGCTTACGGGGCAGGCAAGTCTGGGCTGATCGTCGGCGTCTGTGGCCCGGTTGCGTTGGCGGACGATGTCGTCCGTATCACCAAGTCTGTGGGCTCAGACAAGCACGAGGCAATCGGGGGGATTGAGATACATGAAGAGTACGTTCATTTCTGTGGATTGTTGTGAGTATCCTGACCCCGGTAAACAGAACTTTCGGTTGGTGAAAGTTCAGGAGGGATAGAATACTATAGAATATTCGCTTGTTAATTGTTGTACAATGTAGAAGAGGCCTATCGTTCAACACTTCTTTGTTTCTGTGAGGATGGAATGTTCTAACTAACTGTGTTTAGTTGCAATTGGTGCTGGCTGGGACAGGTTACACGTAAAACATATGTGTAATGTTTTATTTGTTTCTGGCATCAGAACTCTTCCGCTGCTTCTTCTTGGACGAAATGCGCGACCGTGCTATTACGAGCATAAAGCGCGCGTTGCCGCGGATGGTTGGGGCCCCTTCACGTAGACAGCGTCGACGACACTGACCTTGCACGCAGAGCTGGGCTCCCAAAAATCTCTTCAACTTGTGGCGCCGCACCGCCGACGAAAAGAACGAGAAGATGAACGAGATCGTTTTTCGCAAGGGCTCCAAGACCATTTTCCAACAGCGATGGGTCGCAAAATCCGTTGTTCGCGCCTACCACGGCGACCTCATCAACGAGAAACTCTTCAAACGATGGTATCTGCCAGACTACCTGCCCGACGTGCGGCCCAGGCGTGAAGTCCTCGGAGATGACAAGACACTCCTCCAGAATTTTGCCGGCAGAAAGAAAAGAGGGGCAAACAAGGAGGAGGAGCAAAGGGAAGAACTTGCACCCATTGCAAGTTTGATGTTCGCAGAAGTGGAACGGCGACTGGATACCCTCATATTCCGAAGTTGCTTCGCCCACAGTATCTATGATGCCAGGCGGCTCGTGGTGCATGGGAAGGTCCTCTTGAATGGCAAACCAGTGAGTGGTCTCACCTGCGTGGCTTCCAACTCTCATTCTCACAGCACTACAACGCCAATACCCGCCTGGCCCCAGGCGACATGTTTACCGTGAAACCAGATGCTATTCGTTTCTTGCGACCTCAGGAGAAACCGGACGAGTCTGACAACATTTCGCAGCGTGAAGGGGCGCCAGAAGATTTGACACCATTCAACCTCCCCTTCTACGCATCCCCGTGGCTCTTCGTGCCAGCGTACCTCGAGGTCTCGTATAAGACGTGTTCTGCAATCTACGTCCGCCACCCCACTGCTCGTCCCCACTACTCGGAGATCCCTACGCCCTATGATGCAGACGGCGAGGTGATTCGTGCCGCGTGGGAGTGGTACATCCAGCATCGCCCACAGAAGCGGACGGCTTCGCAGTGGTCGAAGATGCCGGACGATCGCCTGCGCCAGCAGATGGAGGAGTTCCGCTTTGGGAAGGATAGCTTGAGAATGGCAACAAGGGTTTAATATCTACTGGTCCTATGCTAATTCGATCCACTCGTTCACCCACATATAGCGCGAGAACATCACATACAGCCAGCGGAACCAAACGAGCTGAGAAGCATGGGCTCGCATTGCAGCCAGGGCGGAGACATACTGGTGGGGGGAGGACACAAAAGTAATTGTGTTTTTGGTGGAGAGGAGCGATCGAAGCTTTTCCCAAACCGGCGCTATGACACCGATGTACTTGGTGGGCAAAGGTGTTGTGATGAGAGTGAACGCGCGGAAAGCAGTCTGTGTGCTCGATTGAAGTACCAAGACGCCCTCCGGTAGTGAACGATGGTTGGGATGTCCAGAGACACCTCCCGCGTCAAAAGTGAGGATGGTGTCGATATTCCATTCCTTGAGAACCGGAGACAGAACATCCGAGATAGATTGCGCATTCCAGATTTGCGTAAAGTTGTCCTGCAAATCAGGATGATCGAGGACGCGTCGTTGGTCGCGGCCAACACCGAGAAGGTCTAGACTGTATTCAAACTCGCGTTTCCGCGTCCCTCCTAGTCCGTCGGCATCACCAACAGAAAGACATAGCGCATGCACTCTGGAGCTACGGAGCGCAAGTAGAGTCGGCGCGAAAAACATGCATTCGTCGTCGGGATGTGCAGTGAGTAGAAGCACGTTTCCGTGGAAGGCATCGGTCCATTTGGGGTGGGTGGGAAGGACCAGGATTACAGCCAGCAGCAGGATCAACGCATGACCTCGTCTCAGCAGGATCTCCAGGCCAATCATAAACAAGAGGCAAGACCGAGTGAAACCGAGATCGTGGTAGAAGGGTAGGTCCGGGGACGTCGGTCCGGGGACTGACGGGCGATGCGTCGATCACTCACCGCTTTGCTCACTCTACGCTCGGCGAAGACAACCATGCCCCTGCCTAGCACTACATCCGTCGCGTACGTCATTGGGCTTGTCGACAGAGAGCCTGTCTGTAACATTTCCTGTCCTTTCTCTATGTTAGCTCGGCAACGCAAGTTCGGCCGATCGTCCGGGGTCGAACAGGACAACGTATGTCGTCCGGCTCTCATTTAGGGATCGCAAGCCGTTCTCAACCGCGTATCAGCAACCGTTCTCGTCTCCCCAATCACTGAGAAGAACCTGCCGGTGTTGGAGAGATCGAAACAGCTCGCTGCATGGACTGCTGTAGATGAGCACGTCAAATCAGAACATAGGGTACGTCTCTAACACTCGTTCCATCGGCTTAATCGCAATCTGAGGCTTCTCCGGTCTGGTAAAGGTCATCGGCATCGGATCGGGTGAGTGACGCTCTCATTCGATGTTAAGGTTTCCGGAAGTGAGGGAATTCTGCAGGATCGACCGTGCCATACGTTGTAGAACGCATTGTTCAATTGGGCGCGGAGGCCAACCAGGAGCGCGTGTTCATCCCCACGGGTGAGTGGTCGCGCTGGGTGCCATGCATATACCCAACCCCCGCTAGGCTTCCAGTCCAAGGAGCTGATCGTCTCGTCCGGTTTGAATCTGGGCGACGTGGATCAGTACCCGACCATTGACGTTACTCTGGACGGGGCTGACGAGTGCGTGTTTTGTCACTGCGGGGCGGGCTTCGTACTTAGCTATCAGAGTGGACCACAACCTGAACTGCATCAAAGGCGGAGGCGCATGTCACCTGCGAGAAAAAGTGCTCGCAGAAGCGGCGACGACGTGCGTTCGGGATGTTTCATCTCGTTTCTGAGATGCTCATTGGCGTGTAGCTTCATTCTGGTCGCCGACCACCGCAAGAACGTGGAACATCTTGGCACGAACTTTACCCCCGGGATTCCGATTGAGGTGGTTCCCTTCGCCTATGCCAAGGTGCTGCACAATCTGCACCATGATCTCAAATGCCCTAAGGCGACTCTGCGGATGGCGGTGAAGAAAGGTTCGCTTCTTCTCTTGGATCGACGGCAGTTGTCATGAATGCGCTCAGCCGGACCGGTCGTGTCGGATAACGGGAACTTTGTTATCGACGCGCCCTTCGATCAGGAGACTATGAAGACGCCTTACACGGTAGGCGATCCGAAAGATATGGCAGATATAACTTGGCTTTCTCACGATTTTATTCGAGATTATGGCGCAGATCAAGATGCTGACGGGTGTTGTGGAGGTTGGGGTCTTCTGCAACATGGCCAAGGCGGCGTATTTTGGCAATGCGGTCCGTAACACAAGGGGGCCACATGGATTTGATGAATGCTTACCAGCGATTAGGATGGAACCGTAACCGTCAAATGGAACGACGGGCGAATCGAACAGGTTGCTGCTAAACAATGAGCCTCGTACCGAAGGCGGAGCGCTACGTAGAAACATTAGAGAGTTCGCATACTCGATCAGAGCGGCTAGATTGTGTGTCAGCTGATGATCTAATCCATCAAAGCATCGGGCATTTTGAACCTGACTCGGCTCTCCTGAGTACATCTCTTGGTCTTTCGCCCTCACTTACCCCAGGTAAACGAGGTAAACGAGGATGTCGGACACAGACATTACCAAAGTCTCCATCTTGGGACGCGATTCGATTCACTGCGGTTTCCACCTCAAGTCGTACATCGCAGAAACAGTCGTCTCGACGTTGCCCTCTTCTACTTACGTTCTCGTCACTGACACGAATGTTGCCAAACACCACCTGGCCGACTTCGAGACGGAGTTCAATGGGGCTTTGAAGACCCATTCTTCTGCGGGTAAACTTCTCAGTCTCACGATCCCTCCCGGTGAACCTTCCAAGAGCCGCAAGAGCAAGGCCAGCATCGAGGATTTCCTTCTTTCCAGTGGATGCACGCGGGACACGGTAGTCCTTGCACTCGGTGGAGGTGTTGTCGGCGATCTCGTGGGATTCGTTGCCGCGACCTTGTGAGTTGTCCTGCCTACAATTCCCCACCTCCTTTCTCCGCAGTCCCCTGAATCTCCCCACATCTCCTTTTTTCCGAGCTGACAACCGCTTTTTTGCGTAGCATGCGCGGCGTCCGCTTCGTGCAGATCCCTACTACGCTTCTCGCGATGGTCGACTCTTCCGTTGGCGGAAAGACCGCCATCGACACTCCGCACGGCAAGAACCTCATCGGTGCATTCTGGCAACCGGAGTACATTTTCATCGATGCTGCCTTCCTTGAGACTCTTCCGAGCCGAGAATTCTCGAATGGCATGGCGGAAATCGTCAAGGTTTTTGTCCTCTCGGCCTCTGCTAGAATGCCTAACTTACGTCTTGATCCAGACTGCGGCCATCTGGGACGAAGCTCAGTTTTCATCGCTCGAGCTGCGCCCTAGTGAAATCTTTGCTGCAATCGAGACTCCGTCTTCAAATCTTTCCGGCCGTGTCAAATCCACTCGATCTAGCGCGCAAGCACTACTTCTCTCGATCATCATCGGCTCCCTTTCTATCAAAGCCCACATCGTGACAATCGACGAACGCGAAGCAGGACTGCGCAACCTCGTGAACTTTGGCTACACCATCGGGCATGCGATCGAGGCTGTCTTGACGCCGTCTGCCCTGCACGGGGAATGTGTTAGCGTCGGGATGATCCTCGAAGCCGAAGTGGCAAGGCAGATGGGTGTGCTCTCGCAAGCCGCTGTCGGGCGTCTCGCTCGCTGTCTCAAGGCTTACAACCTCCCTGTGTCCTTGACGGACGCGATGTTCGCGGACATCCCTGCTACAGAAGATCTCTCCGTCGAGCGGCTGCTCGACCTGATGCAAATCGACAAGAAGAACTCGGGAGACGGCAAGAAGATCGTGATCCTCTCCAAGATCGGTGCGACGCACGAGCCTCGAGCAACCGCAGTGCCTGATGCGATCATCGCCAAAACGCTTTCGGGCGCCGTCGGAATCGTGAGCGGAGCTCCGAGCAAGAACCCCGTGTCGATGACCACTCCCGGGAGCAAGAGCATCTCAAATCGTGCTTTGGTTCTCGCTGCCCTTGCGAAAGGAACCTGCCGGCTGAAGAACCTGCTCCATTCGGATGACACGCAAGTGATGATGGCAGCTCTGACTGAGCTCAAGGTTCGTTCCGTTCGGTTCACTTTGACGAGGCGAGTATGTAATCGATTTGATCAGGGAGCATCATTCAGCTGGGAAGACGGCGGAGAGACGCTTGTTGTACAGGGCGGCGGCGGACAGCTCAGTGTGCCAAGCAAGGCTTTGTATCTCGGCAACGCAGGCACCGCCGCTCGCTTCCTGACGACTGTATGCACTCTTGTTCAGGGGTCTGCCTCAGAGCACACAGTAATCACCGGCAACGCCCGGATGAAGGAACGGCCCATCGGGCCGCTTGTGGATGCTCTGCGGGCCAACGGATCGAACATCGATTACCAAGAATCGCAAGGGTGCCTGCCATTGGCGATCAAACCGCTCGGACTGAAAGGATCGGTGATCCAATTGGCGGCCAGCGTCTCGAGCCAATATGTGTCGTCTGTCCTGCTCTGTGCCCCATACGCCAAAGAAGCGGTCACCCTCGAGCTGACCGGCGGGCAGGTGATCTCCCAGCCATACATCGACATGACGATCGCAATGATGAAGACTTTCGGTGTGTCAGTGAAGCGCCGCACGGATGCCTCGACGGGCAAACTGCTGGACGTGTATGACATCCCGACGGGTGTGTACCAGAGCCCGGCCGAGTACAGCATCGAGTCGGATGCCAGCAGTGCGACCTATCCGCTGGCCATCGCAGCCATCACCGGGACGACGTGCACTATCCAGAACATCGGGGCCTCGTCCCTCCAAGGCGACGCGACGTTTGCGATCCGAGTGTTGCAGCCGATGGGATGCACCGTCGAGCAGTCGGCGACGCAGACCACGGTCACGGGCCCGCCCATTGGCCAGCTCAAGGCTCTGGAGGAGATCGACATGGAAGTCATGACGGACGCGTTCTTGACGGCGACGGTACTCGCTGCTGTTGCTGTAGGCAAGACAAGGATTGTCGGGATTGCCAATCAGAGAGTGAAGGAGTGTAACCGAATCAAAGCCATGATGGATCAACTCGGTGCGTGTGCTCATATCCCCACTTGTCATCATGCTCATGAAATTAGCTAAATTCAACGTGCAAACGAAAGAGCTGGACGATGGGCTGGAGATCGTTGGGCGCCCTGTGAAGGAGCTCGGCACCGGCGTCAGCGTGCACTGCTACGACGATCACCGAGTTGCGATGGCCTTCAGTGTTCTTGCGTCCGTGGTCTCCGGTACCGTGCTCGAGGAGAAGCGATGTGTCGAGAAAACCTGGCCCAATTGGTGGGATGACCTCGAGAACAAGGCAAGCAGTCTCACCACACTGCGTTTTTCTTTCTCACCTGTTGACCAGATTGGCATATCCGTGCAAGGCGTTGCACGCGCCCCGAGCGCTGCGAACACCACTCCCGACTCTTCGGCATCGATTGTGTTGATCGGTATGCGAGGCTCGGGCAAGACTTTCACTGGGCAACGGGTGGCGGCGAACTTGTCCTGGACGTGCCTCGATGCGGACACCTACTTCGAGACCAAACACAACACCGGGGTCCGTCAATTCGTCAAAGACAAGGGTTGGCCTGCGTTCAGAGCCGCCGAGACCGAGATTCTGGCTGAACTTTTGAGCACGTACGGTCGGGAGCACGTGATCAGCCTGGGCGGTGGCATTGTCGAGACGCCTGCGGCAAGAGAGATGCTCAGGTCATACCGCGGGCCTGTTGTTCACATCATGCGCCCCATCGATGAGGTCATTGAGTACCTCGGCGTCGAATCGGCTCGTCCAGCCTACGGCGAGCCGGTGGCCGACGTTTTTAAACGCCGAGCGCCATGGTTCAAAGACTGTGCGACCCACGAGTTTGTAAACCACGTCGGGGTGGACACGCGGTTGGCAAACAAAGCTGGGACGAGGCACGAAATCAACCGGTTCTTCAACCACATTACTGGACTGCAGCCCAATTTGGCGCCCAATATGGCTCCAGGCAAGCGCAGCTACTTCGTGTCCTTGACCTACCCGGACATCATCCCCGCGCTGCACCTGATCAACGAGATTGGCTACGGAGTCGACGCGCTGGAGTTGCGAGTTGATCTATTGAATGATGGCATCTCGAAGACACCGACTCGAGAGTATGTCGAGGATCAAGTAGCCGCTCTCCGTCGGACGACATCGCTGCCGATCGTTTATACGGTCCGCACTATCGCGCAGGGAGGCGCGTTCCCCGATAACTCTCCGGCAGAGGCCTTCGAGTTGCTCAAGCTCGGTTTGGCACTGGGCATCGAGTATGTCGATGTCGAATGCACGACGCTTCCAATGGAAATGATCCGCGAGCTGTCCAGTCCCCGGCGCAAGTGGCATTCCCAGTTCATCGGCTCGTGGCACGACTGGAGCGGGGCCATGAAATGGGACGGGGATCTCATTCAGCGGGTCTACGACCAGGCATCCAGGGTGGGTGATATCGTCAAGGTCATCGGGCGCGCAACGACAATCCGAGACAACTTCCTGCTCTCTGATTTCGTTGCATCCAAGAGCACGAAGCCGATGATTGCAATCAACATGTCGGTGGAGGGCCAGATGTCTCGTATCCTGAACCCGACCTTCAGCCCCGTCTCACATCCTCTGCTTCCGTCAAAAGCGGCGCCCGGCCAGTTGTCCTTTGCCGAGATCCAGACCGCCCTGCACTTGCTCGGTTTATTGCCGAAGAAGACGTTCTATCTCTTTGGCACTCCGATCGCCTATTCCATGTCGCCCACTCTGCACAACACTGCGTTCGAAATCTTCGGTATGCCCCACGAGTACAAGCTCCTCGAGACGACCAGCATCAACGAGACTGTGAAGGCCGCCGTCACAAGCCCCGAATTCGGTGGCGCCTCAGTGACCATCCCTTTCAAGCTGGACGTTATTCCCATCCTGGACAAACTCACTCCCGCTGCCGAGGCGATCGGCGCCGTCAACACCATCATCCCAGTGTCAGGGCAGCTGGTCGGAGACAACACCGACTGGCAGGGCATCCGACAGTGCGTGCATGCGCACATCGCCACCGGAGGCATCAAGGCTGGGCTTATCATCGGCGCTGGCGGCACCACCCGTGCGGCGATCTACGCGCTGAAGAGTCTTGGCGCGACGCACATCTATCTGTGGAATCGCACCCGCGCCAACGCGGAGAAGCTGAGGGATGCTTTCGAGGGAGTGCAGGTCCTAGATGCGCTGGGCGCCTGGGACCAGAGCCCGAACGTCGTCATCTCAACTGTCCCGGCGACTGCACCCGTCGTCGGTCCCGTCGAGACATTGTTCGAGTACTCTGACGGGCCCGCCGTCGTCATCGACCTGGCGTACAAGCCCGCGAAAACACCCCTCCTCGCGAAGGCCGAGGCGGTCAACAAAGGGAACTGGGCTGTGGTCCCGGGCCTAGATGTTCTGCTCGAGCAGGGCTACGTGCAGTTCGAGCTCTGGATGGGGCGGAAGTGCCCCAGAGAAAAGGTGGCGCAGGTCGTGAGGGCGCGGTACGCAGCCTCCGAATCGTAAGAAGTATGTGCGATGTAAAGCAATAATGTAGACACGAATATGTAGATCAATTGGAATTTCGTACACCACTCGTCACGCCCACTGATTTGACCCATGTCCGCAACCACCGCACCATCCCGCCCTCGGGTTGCAGTCGCAGCCTTTGCATTGAGGGTAGCAGCGCGCGCGCGGGTTCGAAGAACGTGCCAAGAATCGCCCTGCTTGCAGTCAGACTCATTGCAAGAGAGAGGGAGAGGGAGGGAGACTTGCAAGACGGCACCCTGCACGAACGGACTCAAGACCTGGCTCTTAAGCGTGATCCACGCAATGGACGGCCATTCGATTTGTAGCGCCAACGCCTTGGACTCGGTCTTCTCTTCTGGAGCAGAAACGACGCGGTAGTGCTGCCGCACGCTTTTGAGAAAGGACTGCTCGAAGCGCAGATCGGGAATGGGGAGCGGAAGATGTGCTGCCATTTGGCGCGAGACAAGATGCGGTAGATGATGACATCAATGATGAGATACAATATAGTGATTACATGCGCTTAATACTGACGTTTAATACTGACTAGGTAGCGGGGATAGTACATTTGCATCGCGTTCAATCGAGAGGCAAGACGCACCCCGAGAGCCACTCGTCTTTCGTGACGGATGTCTCCGCCCGACAGACGCTACAGGCCACTTGGACCGTCGCATCCTCGGCGCCGGGCTCGCGCCACCCGCGACTGGCTCGCTGGGCCGACACCAGACACGACGGATGGAACGTGTGCTCACAGCCGAGGCTGATCGTCTTACGCGCCGATTCCGGGACCTCGACAAACGGATCGTCGTCCGAAGGTCCGACACCACACGAGGCATCCCAGCAGCGCAGTCCCGCTTCCCGCTCCCGCCGTTCGATTCTCTGTCGCAGTGTCAGTCCTGGGCCAGCAGGAGCATTCCATTCTTCTTCTTCTATCGGTTCTTCGGTGGGTCCATGCAAATGAGATGGCATGTGGCTGGGGACACTCGGGGCCCACGGGGGAGGCCCGGTCCCAATAGCGAACTGGAAATCAGCCCCGTCGACAGTGAATGGCAGGCCCGTCCCGTTCTGGCCCACTCCCAGAGAGTTCAGGAAATTCGCGAATGATTGAGCAGGGGATATATTGGGCGGCGGCGGTGCACCCTGCGCTTGAGGTTCTGCTTGAGGCTGCTGCTCTGGTTGGGCTGGCTGAGGCGCGGTCGCCGTGGTTGCATTCTGGGGAACTGCGACATTCGGGAACAACTGCGCCAGCGATGGGGCACCGAAGTTGACTGGTAGACGACCCCCGTTCAGTCCGACAGCGCCACGGAGCAGAAGATTGTTCATCATATCTGACATGGGATTTGGCACTCCTGCTGGAGGAGTAGTTCCCCCCGCTGGGCCATTAGTTGGAACCACGGTTCGGAATACAAAGTCCAACCCCACAGTAAATGCTCCATGGGGTGCCGGAGCTGGATGGGGAACAGGCGTCGCTGCTGCCAGAGTCTCTTGCGCTGTTGGAGGGGTATCGCTTGCTGTTGTAGTCGAAGCAGGTGGCGGAGGGAGTGATGCCACGGCAATAGGCTCGAGTGGCGGCATGTCGTCATCTACAACACGATCCCCAGGCATTCCTTCGAAGAAGTCAATACCCGCAGCATGAGAGAGTATCAAAGCGAGTGGCAGCGCACCTCCTATGGGAAACGCGAACATGGGCTCAATCTCGTCATTTCCATCGTCTACTTCCTCAAAGCCCACAGGAACTTGGAATCCTTCCGGCACCTCGGCACGGGCACCATCTGCAGGCCCACCGGGGACGTCCAAGTCAAAGGGAAAGAATCTCGGCCCGTGACCGCGTCCTTTTCGACCGCCGAACCAGATGATCCCTTTCGGGTCTAGATCGAAGCGACACGTAGGGCAGGTCGTTTGCCCACGCCGAGAGAACCAAGGCACCAGACATGCTGCGTGGAAGACATGGGCGCAGGGAAGCTCAATGACGCCTTCGGGTGGTGCGACGTCCGCAGGAGTGTCGTCCGCCGCCGTTTCCGCCGACGGACCACTGGCCGCAAACTCGGCACCGTCACCATCAAGCAGCCGGTCCCAACATATTGCACATCCGCTGTCCCCGCCAACGGCGCCCAGGTCGTCTAGGGGTCCGCTGTGCCCTATGTCACTGAGGCGTTCCAGACGACGTACAAGACCGTCGGGCACCCGCTCCAAGCCCGCGATGATCCGTTTCGCGTTCTCGGCGTTATCTTTCGCCGGTGCTGCAGCAGCTCTGAACAGCACATCTGCGTTCGCACGGAAGCCTTGGGCTAGAACGGTGAATAGCTGAGCCATTAAGAATGGGGACTGTTGCGTCTGCGGTGGCGGATCCTGAGGTTGAGCGGGGGCAGCAGTAGTCCCATTGTCTTCGGGAGGAGGTGCATTGACTCGCTGGGACGGGGGTCGTCGGTCGCGGTCCTGATCCTGATCGTCATCTTGTGCACGTTGTCTGCGAAGGCCAGTAGGCTCCAGAGGCGGTATAGGGCCGTTATCATTGTGGTCCTCATCGGTCCAGACGTCGCCCTCATCGTCATCGTCTACGACAGCTGTCATCACTTGACGCCGTTCCTCCAAGTCCGAGTCGCTGGAATTGGAAACAGACTGGAGTTCAGGCATGTCTTCGTCGGAGTTGTGTTGCTCGTGGTCGACTTCCATGGTGATGGTGGAGGACGAGATGCAAGCGAGGCTTGTGTTACACAGCTTGGCTTAGGCATTGATCCCACATAATATACGGATTCCGAAGGTTGGGGAAGGTGACCGAACGATGTGTACATGCCATCGTGACGACGTATTTGATGATGACACTTCCTATGTTGCACGGAATCCATATTCGCGGGACTGAAGAGGCAGCGGGAAACTAGCATTGTACGGCGCGGATGATGACCCGCCCGAAGTCGGCCTCTCGCGGATCAGACAATAATCATGTGTGCGCATTCGCGGATGGTGGTGGCGCGCTATCAAAGCTCCTGTCATCGTCAATCAAATCAAAGCCGCATCCAGTCTAGTGCTGGGCTAAGAATTTTTTTCGACTTGCTAGGATAGATTTTTAGCCGCTATGATCACCCGACCCCGTTGCTAGGCTTTATAGCATTGCTATGAATTGATTATAGCATTGATTTTTAGCGGCGTCAAAATATCGATTTCTACGGCTCTAATGGGCTCTAGTATGCGTTCTTTGGGTCTAGTAAGTGTGTATCTAGTCGTCGTCTTCAGCATTTGGATCCCAGGGCTGATTCACAGCGGTATGCTCGCTGACCTCCGGACTCTTGGGGCGTACGGAAGCAACCTCCGGGGATGCGCTCGGAATAATGAGCTTGCCGAGAGCAGGACTGTCAAGACGAACAAAGTCGGTGACAGCCCAGCGAGTCGACATTCGAGTGATGAAAGGAGTCTGGGTGGGGGCCACATGAGCGGGCTCAGAATTGACAGTGCTATCAACACGGTCGCATTCGTCAAGATCAAACGGGTCTTCCTGCTCAAAGAGCATCTTCTCGAGCGCTTCCTGGTCTTCTACAGTCGGATCTACATTCTGGTCGTTCAACAAATCCATGAGGGTGGGTGCAGAGAGTGTGACGGTGGTCTCAGTGGACAAGTCGACATTGGAAACACGAATGTTTGCAGTCGATGTGTGCTGGTAGTTGCCCTCGGACAGACCGTGCTTGTACCACTGTGAAAGTTGAGCAGAATGAACAAGGTTCTCGGCGGTCATAGAGCTCCGACGAGCAGCGTTCATCCATCCCAGAAGGGATGCTGTCCGTTCGTCGCATATCTCAGAAGGTGAGATCGAGAAGAGGATGATTGCGACAGTCTGTACTGCGTGATCAGTTTTGCACGAAACTCGGGTTGACAGAGGCAGACAAACCGCAAGAACATCTGCATTTGAGTCCTTCTTCACGGCCTTCCAGTAGTCTAATGGCTTGTCATCACGAGTGATATAGGCCCGTTTATGGAAGGGAGCATGACCACACAACCATCGAACGAGCTGTTGAGTTAGTCGGCTCGCTTCAGATTTTGATTCCATGTTGCAGCGAAGCTGCTCTCCATGCAGAATCGCTCGAGCAGAGAGACGGAGGGTGCGGAATAGATCCGTCCACTTGTCACTCGAGTATTTTTCCCCTTCACGGAGATCCGGAAGGAAAAGCTTCAAGCCGCCGTGCGTGAAATAGACTGTATCAGTAGTGAGTATGTGCTCGGGAAGGTAATACATTACACACGGGGATGAAGGTAGTATGCAAGAAGGAAGAGGTTGTGTGATGATTCGGTCATCATCTGCTCAAAGCGAGCATTATAAATGGTGATAATCTGTGAGCGATATTTTGAAAAGCCCTTCGTTGTGCTGCCGACGAGCCGTTCGAGATGCCAGGCAATGGTGACCCAGACATAGAACACATCGGCGCAGGTCACATTCTGGCCTTCCAATGTCGTGATTCCATTGGCACCAGCCTCGAGGAGCTGGATAAGTGCAGAGAGTCTCGATTGAAACCCTGGGTATTCGAGATGGTCAGGATCGAAATAAGGAATGAAGCGTTTGGTCTGTTGGCCAATGAGCAAGGAAGATGATGGAGACATCGTAGTAGAATCATACCGCTTTGGTAGTGAATGCGATAGTACCGGCCTGAATGCATGCAACAATAGCCGGGAAACAGAGACGGAGAGCAACAGATTGGATGAAGGACGTGCCAAATCGAGTGTCAGACGCTGACTTCATCCCACCCTTGATACCACGAGCCTTGCGCTCAACGGACAATGCATATGTGGCTGCGTTTGAGTGGGAAAAGTAGTTCGAGATGCCTGATACAATGCTCAATTCCTGTGTGACTAGTAAATAACGGGAACGGGAGCAACTAGTGAAGTCAAGGCACTTACCACTTTGAAGAGCTTGCCAATGTCCTTCAGGAAGAGATTGAGGAGATGACAGGGGTCATAGATGTTCAGGATCCAAGCGAACTCGTGCGCAATATCTCTCTTCAATGCACGGACATTACTTCCACCATCACCAACAACGGCACTATAGGCGTGCACACCATAGACGCCAAAGATCTGCACCTTCACGACAGTAAACAGGGCTTCGGCAGTCACAGAAACCCCTTTGAAGACGTGGCCAAGGGTGAAGATGGAACGCCGACTGGGGAGTGTTGTGTGGAACGTATAGATTTCATCCTTCCCTCGACTGCTCCATCCGTCCAGCGATAAAGTGAGAAAGTACCGGTGCAACAGGAATGCCTTGAGCTGCACAACGAACAGTGCGACTTGATCTGCAATCTGTCGAGTGAAGAACGCGCTGCGCTCAGGAGTGACGTAGTTGGGGACCATAACAAGGAGGAGGTTGACGAGCCACGGATTCTCAACGAAGGAGAAGGGGAGCGCACAACAGATGACGGCTTGGAAGAGAGCAAGGTCGATTGCCGCCTGACGTACTTCGGTCATCTTCACAGGCTCGAAATACTCCTTTATCGTGCCCTTGTTAGATGGAGCCGCATCTTCGTTGACATCCTCGTCATCGCTTGTAGCTTCCGACCCGGAATCGACCTCCATTGGCGTGTCTTCACTCAATCCAGGAGCGGCAACCGGCGAGACCGCAGCTACCTTGCTCTTTGTACGGACGCGAGGAAGGCTTCCCGTCGCTCTGCTGGCATTGTCTTCGCAGACTCGTTTGTAGAGGTTCGGAAATGTCTGCTTCAACATCTCAAAGAACAAGTAGATCAGAACGGAACCAGCCACCAACGTGAATACACTTACCTCGCACTCCAGCGCGTGTTTCCGGCTACGCTTTGGGTTCCGGAATGGTGTTACATTGTCACAAGCAACGCAGTAGATCCATATCTTCTTCTTCGGCTCCTTCCCTACGCCCTGGGGCTGCAGCTCAATCTCTTCGATGACCAAATCGTCGACCAATGTGTCGCGCGGCGCTCCTGCACCTTTAGACTTCTTCACGTTCTTCCCTCGTGATGGACCGGTTTCTCCTACAGGTGCAGCACCTTGGTCATCCAAGATGCGTTGCGCGCGAATCTGGGTGCGCTTCTGGGCCGCGTTGGTCCCCGACAAAGCGTCCGATAGGCTTGTGGCAGTTGGGACTGGTGCCTTCTTTGTCGCGCGTTTTTTGGGCTTTGGGGTGTCAATCACACCGGGAACCTGCAAGACGCGAGTTCAACACGCGTCCATCTCATTAGATGTCATTGTTACGTACTGGAGGCAGATCTGTCCCGTTCTCCATCGCATCGGTGAGAACATCCACGTGTGAGAACCATGCTGTGCGTTCTTCACTCTTCTCTTCCGTGTGAAGCTCGATAGCTTTTATGAAATCCGGAATACTGAAATCTTCGCTCTCAATGTAAGCTCTGCGAGCTATCACCAGTGCTCCGAGAGCTTCTGGAGGCAACGGCATGACGAGAAGTATACAGAAAAAAGATTCTCCGCCTTGTTCCGGAGTGTCATTTCTGACAGTGATTGTCAGACTTCTAATTGATGTAGATTCAGCTCCTTATCACCAAGTTATCACTGCGTTATCATAGGATCGAAAATTGATTATTAGCAATTCATAGCACGTGGTTCAGCCTCCCGACTGGCTAGGTTGATATTTAGCATGCTAAAAATATGCTATGAATTGCTATGCTATGAAATAATTCATAGCTAGCCCAGCACTAATCCAGTCTCCTTCTCTCTCCAGTCTCTTCTGACAAGTACTGGGCCTGCGACATGTCCAAGTCCATCGCCCTCCTGATATGTGATACTCCGATGGCCTCGGTCCTGTCTGTACATGGCGACTATCACGTATTCTTCACCGATCTGCTGCACAATGCTGGGATGCAAGCACAGATAGACGATATCCAGACTAAATGCAGAATTGACGCGTATGACGTCGTGCATAAGATGAACTATCCGACTGCAGAGCAACTGGAGCAATATGACGGGATTATCATCACAGGATCCAGTAAGTCCTCTGCGAACCTCACACGATTCTGAGGATCTCATGCTACCGGTCAGAGGCATCTGCCTACGAAGAGATTCCCTGGATCAACAAGTTGGTCGACTTCGTGGCCCGCACGGCAACTATGCACGCCAGAATCAAAATATTCGGTACGCCACAAGCTTCGATTGCGGGTGCGAGCGAAATTACATCTGGAGTCCAGGGATCTGTTTCGGGCATCAAATTGTGGCACGCGCGTTGGGAGGTGAATGTGTCAAGAACGGAGGGAGATGGGAGGTTGGGCCAACACCCATAACATTGACCCCGCTGGGCCAGTCCTTATTCAGGGTCGAATCCGCTACCCTGGTATGCTGCGGATTCTCTCGATGGACATAACGGTTCTCACACAAGCACCATCCAGCATCTGCAGGAAATGCACCAGGATCATGTTCCCGAAGTACCGGAGACGTTCCACCTGTTGGGCTCGACCGATGTTTCGAAGAATCAGGGTATGGTGCGGTTCACCACATTGGAACCTCCCAGTTCTCTGGATCTCTCGCGGGTCCACATACTTACAGTGCAGGGGCATCCGGAATTCACGGAAGCTGTTGTTACTAAACTAGTTTATGCACGCGCCCAGTCTGGTGTAATCACCCCCGAAACGGCTCAAGATGCGATACGGAGGTCAGGCTGGCCAAACGATGGAGTCAGCGTCATCGGAAGAACGATATTGGGTGTCCTAGGCTTGACACGATGAGAATGAGTATATATCGCTGTATAATTACATATCCATGGATGTGTTATTCGGAACGCGAGAAAAGTCTAGGATACTCATGTCTTGAAGACTATGATCAGAATAAGGAGAATCAAGATGAGTGCTGCAATCGTGACCGTCGAGCCTGGAGGCACATCAACCTTGTAGCGAAGAAGCGCTCAGACATTAGCAACTTACCGTTCCTCTTGGCTCCTTGCGCGACCCTATCTAACCTTCTTCGAGCGCCACCCAACCTGGTCTCGGTATGGTTCAAATCGGTGTCTAGCTCTTCAAGTAGTCCAGTGTGAACATCCAGTTCCTCGTTTATCTGAAGGGATATATCGCGCTGTCGATTGATTGAATGTGATAGAAGGTCGAGCTGATTGTCTTGTTCTAGGAGAAGGCATTATTGTCGGATATCAGCCCAGAGAAAGTGCCGCACGATCCATCATGAGTCGTTGAGTTTGAAGCATAGTCGCGGGCTCAGCATCTGGATCATCTTGGTAGGGCGTGTAAATTGGTTCAGGAGGAGACGATGGTATGAGTTTCGCGCGCAAATTCCCTTCAGGTTCCAAGCTATCGCAAACTGACTGAGCAGGGCTGTTGCGACGCGTGAGTGAACAAGGACCGACCTTGTGACATCCTCATCTTCACCGGGAGCTAACATCCCGCGCATACGTTCATGCTGATTCCTGAGTAGTGTGAGCGCTTCTGACGGCCCTTCCTTGGCCTCGAGCGCCAGTATCCCACTTCCAAGAGAGTTGAGGTTTCGTACAATCTGTTCGAGATGAGATTTTGGCGGTGGTGGGGGCGCCGTATCGTCCGAATAAGAAGGTAAAGTTTGACTCCGTTGACGCTCTAAGAGTAATGAAAGCGTCTGCGTTGAGACCGACGTAAGTTTCGCTAGAGACATCCTTAATGTGCTGGTGAGAAGCGCTGCGTGATGCAATGCGCATAACGTGATGTGATCACTATGAAATTTGATCGGAGATGTTAAGTCTTTCAGTCTGTGCACTGTGCATCTGGTAATTAACAAGAATATAGATGTAGCTTGCAACTTGCATCTTTCAGCACAAAGATATGGTTTCTTCTAGTGCGAGCCAAGACCGTGATGGTGTAAAAGGCACTCGTTAGGTGCCAATCTCTACATCTACACCCTCTTCCTCTGCTTCGTCTTCCGAGCCGTCCCCACCGGACCCCTTCTTCTTCCTAATCTTTTCCAACACCTTATCTGCACGATTGAATATTCCGCCCGTTGGCGCCCCGCATGCGATGCACTTGGGGGTCTTCGCAAAGCGCTTGATTGCACATGCAGAACAGAAGTAATGGCCACAGCGTGTGACGACTGGATCTGTGTACGGTTTGCGGCAGATCAAGCACGCAAATGGAATGTCCTCGTCGTCGGAGTCTGAGGAGTCCCCGTCACCGCCTGCAGCAGCATCTTTGGCAGCTGTTTCGGCGAGTTTATCGAGCTGCCACCCCGCAAGGTCTGGAAAGAAAGTCAATTAACGTTTGAATGAAGCGGGATTGATGAAAGGAAAAAACCCACATGTCCCTCGATCATGCAAGAACTTGCAAGTATCCCCAAAGCCGCAATACCCTGTCTCCTTATAATCCTTACACACGTCTGGCTGGTAGTCCACGATTGTAACTGTGCGGATTGTGCTTGTGCTGCGTTGAGGGCCGACTCGCATGGCCTTCGGCACTTCCGAACTCTTCTTCAAATGCGTTGTATAACCTTTCTGCCCGTGGTACTTCCCGTCATCGGCTCCACCTGCGTCGGCATCGCCTTCGACATCAGCGAGCCGTCGCCTTTTAGCGAGGACTTCCTCAGCCTCATCCCCGGCGATAATTTCCAGGGCTGCAGCGATATGCGATTTGCTACCAGCAGAGGACCAGTTCACCGCCGGCCCTTGATAATCCTCCCTTCTCTTCCGCTCATTCTCATCTTCGTCCTCTACGTCGTTATCATCCGCACGCTGCGACGTGGTACGCTTGGAACCTGCGCTAAGGACACTGTTGCCTGTCTTGCGCGTCGGATGCACTACAGTGGTAGAAGACGTGGATGCTACAGGCTGTCCACTGGGTGCGGGGGACTGAGACCGTTTGCGCGCAGTTGTCGGTCGTGTCTTGCCCTTTTTAAAGAAGGGGACCTTGATTTCGGAGGCGGCGGACATTGTCGTAGAGCGCGGTATTGGTGAGAGTGTGAAACTGGGTTAATAGTGCTTAGTCAGAATGATGTGATTCAATTGTCGATACACCATCACGGGCCGGCGCACGTCGCAACTTGAGTTGGACGAGGCTATTCGCTCAGAGTCAGCTTTCAGCGAATCTATTATAGTACTTGCGGCCGCTTTGCATGTCCTTGGACGTCTGTGGTCAAGATAGGTATTGGATGGCCACTTGTTGGAGTGACAACAAAAGGCTTACCGAGCAGTTTGCATCTTATGACTACGTCTCGACTACTTGTGGATGTAGCACAGATCAGAAATAAATTTCCTATCTTAAAGTTATTTATATAAAGGCTCGTCAAGACCTACCCAACTCCAGAAATTTGAAGTGTCCGTCACTACTCAACCGCGCATAAGTAGTGACAAAGCAATCGCTGCCTTCATCGTATCCTCGTCTACGCTCGTCGAAGTCTGTGCTTTGGGTGTTGCTGTGACCTCGGCGCTCTGAATCCCTATTTTTTGCTTTCCCTTTTCGTTCCAACGTGCATCCCCTCCTCCCCATGTACTGGGAGGTGTGACCGCCTCGTCAAGTTCCACGTCAGTGTCCTCATCATGCGAAAGCTTGGGAAGTTGTTCAGGATCCCCCTTCTCCGCCATCCGGCTTCGTGCACAGGCCCATTCCAGGGTGCGCCTCCTCTCGTGTTTCCGCTCGTGTCCAAATTCCACGAATTCGCGAGCAGGAGGGCTGAAGTCCGGTCCTACGGGCGAAGAAGGCATGTTTTCCCAGAGAGGTGCACGTGGATTGTGGCGTCGTGATGGTGTTCGCGGCGCCGGTGCACGTAGCTCAGAGCGCGAAGCAACAGAATCCAGAGACGGTCTTCGCGACACAGATGTAGAGGAGTAGCTCGAAATAGACGATGCGCTGCTCGACATTGACGGCGAAGTCACGGGGGAGGGTAGGGGACACGGGTAAGGGGCGTGGGTATTAATGATGACGGGGGGAGGGACGCGTCCATTCGCGAGGGTCGTCCTCCTTTCCGTCTGCCGCTTGTTCTGGAACCAGATCGTGACAGACTTGACCTCCCTGCTCATTTGTCAAAAAGCGTGTTCGACGCGTCGTGGCATGGGAAACGCGAAAGAACGTACATATTGGCCGATTTGGCAACCGTTTCGCGCTGCTCTCGCGAAGGATGCGAATTTTGATGAAACAGCTGCTCGAGCATGGTGAGCTGCGCGTTTGTAAAACGCTTGCGCGTGCGACGTGTGATCTCGGTGGACTCGTTGATGAACGCGTAGAGATCCTCCGAGGAGCTGCTCGTGGCAGTGCTGGCAAGAGAGAGCGTCCGCGAGAGTGCAGGCAGCGAGGAGGGCTCCATGTGAGCTGAGGTTAGCGGAAACAATTTGCGTTGTTTACTTATATAGACGCGATTGGATAGTGTACCACGTGACTAAGATGATTAATTAGCTTTGTTGAGTCGCGGATACTGTTAACCAGGCTGAGAGTCAGACGCCCATACGAGCTTCGAGCTTCAGCCCTTTGTTTAAGCCATCCGTCTTATTTTTATTCTATGGGATATACGAAGTTACGAGAAGCTCGATACCGATGACGAGAAGATCTCGAAAAATCGCGCTGGATACGGATCCCCTCGAGAACAAAATCTTAAAAATGTATGGACTTGGGCGTTCGATCAACGTGAACATGCCTCTTAAGAGAGATGAGAACCTGGGAATGTGCTACGAAAACTTGATGAAGATATGCCAAAACGCTTCGGCACCGCCACCACCGACGTGCATTCGACCACCATGCCGGCCACATCGACCTCTTCAGCGAATACTCTCCCCCCTCCGAAACCCGACCTCTCATTCACCCGCAAGCCAGAAGGGGCCGTTTCTCAGTTCCTCTGGAGGCGTCGTATGTGGGTCGAAAGCACATTCGTGCTGTCCATGCTCGAGCCATGGGAGAAGATTCTCCTCTGTCTGTCCATGACCTCTAATCTTTCACTACACTTAGCTGACATCTCCTTAGTGACCATATTCAGCATACTTACGCTTCTGGTCTGTTCGGGAATTGTCTTGTATCTGCCGCAACACATCATGGACATGAAGGCACGAGCGATGTACTACCTTTGGGGTCAGGAGGGGGGCGAACGTCTTCTGTGGCAGTGGCTTGGATTCGGTTCGGGTCTGCACAAAGAGTTGTAGGCTTTCTTGGATTGAAACGGTCGCTCCCTGCAATCTTTCATCTCCTAGACGAAGAAGGGATGCTGAAGGCGATTCATCGACGGCCTTTACCTACTCACATGCTTAATTCTCGTTTCTATAGATATTCGCTTTGCCATGCCGATCTCTGACCGAAACGTCCGCGTCAGGGCTATAACGCTCTCATTCGATTGCTTATAACGATCAACTACCCTTGTCGAACTGTCTTTCTTTTTCGGTTGCGCGCAATCCCATGAAGTATTTCTGCCAGCCCTCCGTCCGAGATGATGGGATTCGAACCGGAGAGTCAACGGCGTCCGTTAATTCACTTTCCAGTACAACATTGACAGACCCGAATACTGCCAACCACGCATTTCGCCAGTTCTTGTTCCGGGGTTTTCTTTCATGCCGTATATACACATATACATATAGATATACATCAGCAGTCGTCCTGAAGACTGTAGCGCAAGTCGATTGCAGTGGTCACAGGAGATATCTTGAGGCAAGGACAAACTTGGGGTAGATTAGATATCACAAATGATCGGTTCGGACATCTGGCGTATTTTTCCGAATGTGCGAGTCAGCACGCCATAATCATCGTACGTGCATTGAGACGTCTGACTTATTTCTTCTTCTTCAACTTCCTTGCTTTTAGCCCCCATGACGACCACTATCGACCCAAAAGCAGCAGCCCGTGAGCTGCCTACGCCAGACCCTGAATCGCCTCTACGAACGCGTAAACCGTACCGTTTCTCTACGCTATGCGCTACTGTAGAGAACCCCGACATGAAGGACCAGTACGGGAGCAGCTCTGTGCCCATCTATCAGTCTTCTACCTTCAAAGGGATAGGAAATGCCTTCGACTACTCAAGAAGTGGTAATCCGACGCGGAGTCATCTCGGTACGTTCTACGCGCACACTGTTGATGGCTGTCTGGGCTAAAGGATTCCGTAGAGCACCACCTCACCAAGATCTCTTCTGCGGAGCATGCCTTGACTGTAGCGTCAGGCATGGCGGCACTGGACATCATCTTGCGTATCCTCAAACCTGGAGATGAAATCATAGCAGGGGACGACTTGTATGGCGGAACCAACCGGCTGCTCACGCACATCCGCACCCATGGTGGAATCGTTGTTCATCATGTCGATACCACCGACCCCACATCTGTGCTCCGATATCTCAAAGCCGGCAAAACGGCAATGGTCTTGCTCGAGTCGCCGACAAACCCTCTACTCAAGATCGCTGACCTCGCAGCGATCAGCAAGGATGTCAAAGAGAGGGCCCCCGACGCGATTGTCGTCGTAGACAACACCATGATGAGCCCGTATCTGCAGCGGCCTCTGGAACACGGCGCGGACATTGTTTACGACAGCGCAACCAAGTACCTAAGTGGACATCACGACCTCATGGCAGGTGTAATAACGTGTAACCGCGACGACCTACACAAGGTGCATATCGTCTGATGTTCTCCGAACTGCGTGCAGCGACTCATCGTGAACAGCAAATGGCCTTCACGGTGAATTCGGTTGGGAACGCTCTAGCCCCGAACGACTGTTTCCTGCTCCTTCGGGGAACCAAAACACTTGCACTTCGCATGGACCGCCAGCAAGCGACGTCTCAACTTGTTGCAAGCTATCTCCACGGGCTTGGCTTCAAAACCAACTACCCAGGTCTTCCTGATCATCCAGGCCGCGAAATTCATGAGCGCATCGCGACGGGGAACGGGGCGGTCCTCAGCTTTGAAACGGGAGATAAGGAATTGAGTGAGCGGATCGTCGGGGCTACTCGTTTGTGGGGAATCAGTGTCAGCTTTGGCTGCGTCAACAGCCTGATCAGTATGCCCTGTGTGATGAGGTGAGTGATAATCCCTGGTCCTCGTTTCTGCTGATCCTGATTAATTGCAGTCACGCCTCTATTGATCCTGCTGTGCGCGCTGCACGTGGTTTGCCTGAGAATCTCATCCGTTTGTGCGTTGGCATCGAGGACCCGGGCGACCTTATTGATGATCTGGAAAATGCGCTCGTCGATGCTGGTGCTATTGCATTCGATGCGCAGCAAAACAAGTACACACGTGTGGTATCAACATTGGACGAACGGCTCAACACTGCCGTGAAGCAGCTTGGGTTGGAGGAATCAGGGGATCAAGAATGGTTTGTCAGCGCTCCTGGCAAAGTCATCTTGTTCGGGGAGCACGCTGTCGTGCATGGAGTCGTGAGTTTGGGTAACCTAGCCTTCCATGTGGCCTCTCTGACGTCGCTCCAGACAGCTATCGCGGCTTCTGTCGATTTGCGCTGTTTTGGCCTGGCCACACCGCGGAATGACGGGAAAGTTTCAGTTCATTTCACCGATATCGACAACTTTTACCACGAATGGGATGTGAACTCGCTGCCTTGGGATGCTGTCAAGCCTGTTCAGGAGCACGGAGATGCACTGGACCAAGCATTGCTGGATGCGATCTCCGCTGGCCCCCTGCAGGATATCGAGCTTTCGACGAAGCATTCAAGATCGGCTAGCCAGGCATTCCTGTATCTCTATCTTACGATTGGCTACGCACGAAGGCAAGAATGAGCAAGGTATCGTTCTTGTCGTGGCTGATTACTTTTCAGGCCGGCATTCAACTTCACAGCTCGTGCGACGCTCCCCGTGGGTGCAGGTCTTGGGTCATCCGCCTCGTTCTCGACCTGTGCAGCAACTGCGATATTGCTCGTGAACCGCCTCATTTCTCTCCCTCCACCGCCTCAGCCAAGCAGCAGCGATGGCGATGCTCCTCACGTCCATGTCTCCCACCAGGGACGCAGGTTTATTCCTCAAAATGTTGCAGAACGGGTCAATCACTGGGCGTTCATCTCAGAGAAGATCCTTCACGGCAATCCCAGTGGAGTAGACAACAGTGTCGCAGTCTTCGGTGGGGCACTGGGCTACACTCGCGCTGGATTCTCGTTTGGCAATAAAGTTGGCATAGAACAAATTCAAGGCTTCAAGTCACTCAACTTCCTGCTCACCAACTCAAGGATTCCTCGCGACACAATGCAGCTTGTCGCTGGTGTAGGCGCGTTGAAAGCAAGAGTAGGCAGCCTTTTCACAATATATACTGCTTCAGGCTCATCATAAACCAGGAGCCTGAAATGGTCGATGGAATTCTCAAGGCTATCCAGGCCATCAGCGACGAAGCTCGTCGGGCTCTGGCAGATCCTGAACTGTCACGAAGTCAGCTCTTGGCTGCTCTGTCGTCCTTAATCAAGGAAAACCACCAGCACCTCGTGACGCTTGGTGTGTCGCATCCGTCGCTGGAGTCCATCCGCTCGATCACAGGCAAGGCCCCATACGATCTCAGCACAAAACTGACTGGTGCTGGTGGTGGTGGATGCGCTGTGACGCTTGTTCCGGATGGTATGTCTACTTTCTCATCTCATCACTCCAGGTGATCTAATGAACCTTTTCAAGATTTCAAAGATACAGCTTTGCGCAGTCTGATGAATGAGCTGGGCCAAGCTACATTTACGCCGTATCTGACCTCGGTAGGTGGCAGCGGCTTGGGCATTTTGTCTCCCTATACGCCTCCAAAACTGGGTCATTCAGCGAGTGTGGTCGCTCCCGGCGGTCCAGCCACTCCTCCCGAGACTCCGAGCACTGGCCCTGAGCAGCCAGAGCTGCTCGACCTCAGGTTGGTCTTCGAAAAGCAGACCACAGAGGATCTTGCATCTTGGGTGGAAAGCCTCGGCCGGTGGCTATTCGTCTAGGACTCCAATCTTGTAAATATCTACCTGTACAATATATCAAGAATATCCCTCGACCAAGACATGAATCCACTTCCAGTCAGCTGACCCCGTTATTTACGTCTGTATAGTTGGGTGAGGCCTAGCCGGATCAACGCGCCCAGAACTCTCAGTGCATCAACATGTCTCTACTGCGTACCGCTCTCAACGCAGCGCGCCCTGCCCTGGCGGCTCGTCCTCTTCTCAAGTCCTCCTCTCGTGCATTCTCCACCACACTCCGCGCCGCATCCGGTCCCAAACCCCCATCCATCTTCGGTCCCGGTGGCAAGGCCGGCGAAGTCCCGACCGACTTCGAACAGGCGACTGGTCTCGAGCGTTTCGAGCTCCTGGGGGAGATGGAGGGCATCGACGTCTTTGACGGCGCGCCGCTGGACTCGAGCCGTGTCGGCACCAAGAAAGACCCGATCCTCGTGCTCTCCTACGTATGTCCTCCGGTCTATCCCGCGCCTGTTCCCTCCTCTGCTCCTTTCCCCACCGAAACCGAAACCGACGTCTGCTTTTTTCTAGGACCCTGTCCGCACCGTGGGATGCACTGGTAGCCCCGCCGACTCTCACGACATCCATTGGATCAACGTGCCCGCCGATAGGCAGCGCTTCTGCCCCGAATGCGGTTCTGGTATGTGGACACTGGGCAATCGTCTTTCCTACTCACACATTCGTCTATACTAGTATACCAGCTGGACTACCACCCGAGTGCAGCTCACTCCCACGCAGAGCATCACTGAGGATGTTGTCGACTGTAGAATCGCTCGCCAGTGACGCTTATCTGTTCTAGCCCGCTCTGGGCAAAAAATCTTATGATCTTTTCAAAAGTGACTGGGTCTTGCCGGGGTTGGGCCCGACGTACAAATGTAGTTCCATCCTTGTCACCTAATGATGCCCTTATCACCGCGAATACAAAGGTGCATTATTATAAAGATGTGTACATCTAGCCTGCATCTACTGTTCCTTTTTCTTGAAGCTGTCCTTGACCCGCAGTCGCTCCTGCTCTGCTCTCCTAGCTTCCCTGCGTTCTCTGCCCTTGGTGACCATCCGCTTCGGTGCCAAATCGGCAAAGAGGTGTTTGCACGTCATTTCAATGACCCAGCAGCCAGCGAAATCGAGGATCATGCTTGCAGTCAGCTTCACCTTGAACTAGGGAAGAGTGAGGGTCGTTGAGTGGCAGAGTCAGGGGAAGGGCAACATGGATGAGGGACTCACGTCGCTTTCCATCTCTACGATTTGCAGCCAGCGGTTCATCTCGGGCATGAAATCGGTTGCACCGGAGAATGCTACAGCACTGGCACCGAGCAGACCCCAGTACAGGTACTTGTTCTCGCGGATACCTTCACGGAAGGGCCGGCCCTGGTAGTTGATGGCGAACGTCGAGACTTGCTGCGAAAGCCCAAGCAGGTAGATGGCAGTGTTCAACAAACTCGGCTCAAACTTGGCTTCCAAATCAATGGGGCCTTGACGACTGGGCAAGTGTAAGCTGAATTAACGGGGCGAGGGGATCACATACGGGGCACGGATGTGGGACAGATTTGTCATATACACTAGCGTCACGATGTGCAGTGCAAACTGTAACACGATGGATAAGAAGACATAGAGATTGAAAATGTTCCCCAGAGGTCGTTCCCGGGAGAGTTTCTCGACAGGCTGAGACAGTAAACATCAGACTTGCTGATGCACACAGCAGACCGCCACACACCTTTGCTCGGGAGATGCACAAGAAGCAGACGGACATCATCATGCCCGTGATCGTGTATTGATAGTCTCCAAACTTGATTCCATCCAGATACTGGACGCTGAGCGAGTAGGCTGTGATCAGACAGTTGAGTGCAAGAATCTTGTACATCTGAATCGTCGCAACCAGAGTGCAGCGGCCCTGTCTGATGATGTGCGATACAGCAGCGACATGCGACAATTTGGATGTGAAGGGCGCAGCGCAAGACGCGTCTCCCAACTTGATCTTGGGTACCTCGTCGTCATCATCCAGCTCCGACATGGCATTGGTGATAGAATCGAGATTGAACTGGAAGACATCAGGGAGAGCAACAACACGCCAGAAATGACACTGACTCGTTCCATCGGATTTCTGCGACGTGCGTTGGCCTGTTCAGTGGCTGCTTGCTGCTGGGCTGCGACCACATGGGGAATGAGATGGGCGATGGCCGCAGGCACCGGTGGCGGCGCCTGGTTGAAACGCGCCGAAATAGAGAGCTGACTCTCGTACACTTTTTTTATCCGCTCCAGTTTTTGACGCTCAGCAATCTTCTGCAGGTCTTCAGGAGTGCCGTCGAGGAGCGCAACACCAATGTGGGCCTGCTTGAGGGCACCGACGTCATTAGTCCCGTCGCCGGCCATCAGAGTGATGTACCCCAGACTTTTGAGCGTCGTCAAGATGGCCTCCTTCTGGGCTGGCGAGACACGAGCATACACCCAGGTATTTTGAACAAGATCAGTCCAGCCGGGTCGGTCTTGATACTGCTTCATAGCAGCACCAGTGATGCAAATATCAAAGTGTTCGAACAGAGTTCGGTCCAACGGCTCAGCTGGATCGACCGGGATGATTCTGCTCTCGTCGACTGTGCGCCACTCCAGATCCCTTTCGGATGAAGGATTCTCTTTCAAGTCGAGAATGAGGGCTTGGCGGTCCACGATCTCAACCTCCTTGGCAACATGCACAGCAGTCAGTGGGTTGTCCCCAGTGATCATAACGCACTGGAAATGGAATCAGACGCGCGTGGCTGAATGAAAGAAATCGGAGACGGACTCGGTGTGAAGAATCTGCTAGCATCTGCAGCGTTTCAATAGCATCTGCCTTGAGCGGACAGTGAAAGACGAGGAAACCAGCGAAGGAGAGTTTCGATTCCACATGATCACGAGAGAGTTTGTTAATCTAGGAAGGATGAAGAGGGTACCACCGAGCGAATTGAATTCACATACCTTTTCGATCGGCATGGCCTCCGATTCCTTGTAGGCGAGCGCCAGGACTCGGCTACCCTTACGAGTATAATACTTGTAAGTGTCATCATAATGTGTTGGCACGACGGTTAACATGGACTTGATGGTCTCTGGTGCGCCTTTGACAGCGACAAACGCTTTCCCATTGGTCAAAGTAGAGACGGTCGACATGCGCTTCAGAGCAGAGGAGAACTGGAACCGCCGGCGAATCAAAATCTGAGCTTTGTGGGGAGCATTGGGCTTGGCCGGTGACAATTGCTCTCCTGGAAGCAGGTTTGAATCAGGCAGTGGCATCGCATGCCCAACGCACCTTTGTGCAGAGTCCAGTCCAAAGCCTCGAGTGTCGTCTTCTCCATAGGATCGCCCACAATCGTACCATCGTCCAGACGAACGAGAGCGTGGGCCGCAGCCAAACACAAGGTTGTTTCACGCGAGATTTCTTTGACGTCCACCAGTTTCAAGTTGTCTGTGGCACTGCAGATGTTCGAGATTTGGACGATGGAAGGAGAAAAAATGACGCACTCGACACCGACAACACCTTCCAGCACAAGATCTTCAGCGGTGATAGTTCCAGTCTTATCGAAACAGCACACATCGACACGTCCTGCGGATGGAATACGGAAAGGCTCTGTGCAGAAGATAGCTGGACCAGCTTAGCCGTGGTATGTAGTCATAAAGAAATCGTGTTACCAAACTTGGATAGGGCGACCAGCGACGCATTGACAGCCAAAGACAGTTCCATCGGTAGCTCGGGAGGAACGACGCTCGTGACAATGAGCACGCAGTCCAGGAGCAGTTTGCTCTTCTTCAAATCGCGCTCGATCCCCTTAACCCAGACATACCAACTAGCAGCAATGGCAAAGATGAGAAGGAAACCAATGAATAGGAAACTCTCCAAATTGTTGGCGGAGACGCGCTCGCTGCTGAAGATCATGGTGCGAACAAGTTGACCTTGCGCCGTTCCGAAGCCGGTGCGCAAAACGACCCCAAGACAGCCGTTGTCGGGAGTGCTCAGGGGTGCCACGAGTCCTGTCTGCGATACCGAAGATGCCTGCACAACTTTGGTTCCGCTGAAAAGCACGGCATTTTTATGAGCACCATCCACGTCGAGTTTGTCGTTGGGATCCAGCAGTTGAATGGACTCCTTGAGCAGGGGGGTGGACTCTCCGGAGAGCATGGCCTCGTTGACAATACACGTGCCATGGACCAGGAGGACGTCGGCAGGAACCACAAGCTCGTTTTGCTGTGGGACTGAGAAGGAAAGATGAGCAAAGAGCGGCAGAAAGCATGAAGAGCGCACTCAATGAGATAACATCTCCGGGCAGCAGTTTGTCGGTTTGGACTTCCTGCCATTTCTGATCGCGGTAGCATTGGATGGGGTATGGAGTCACGGACATGGTCCTGAATTCCGTCAAAGTTCGAACTCGCTGGAATAAAGATCAGAAATCTGTGGGAGCGTGATACACAGGTCGCTCACTTGATAGACAACTGTGCATTCGAACATGACAAGCATGAACAATGTGAACAGACTGTAATACCAGTACTCGTCCAAGCACCAGAGAGCCACGCAGAAGATCTGGAACACGAAAAACGGAGCGGTGGCATGTTCTCCGAACAGTTCGAAGAAGGATGGGATGGGAACATTGAACTCGTTGCCGCCGTACAATGAGAGGAGCGTTGGAATATCTTCATTCGGAATGCCCTGAGGCTCCATGAACTTGGAGAGTGCGGGACGTGTCGTAGAAGGGTAGGGAAGTCGAGTGAAAACCAAGGGCGAAAAGGATTCCATGATATACGTATCCCGCTGATAACTGAACGTATACGTTGAGGGATCGTCTTCGACCTTCTTCTGGATATCGACTATCTCTCCTTGACCCCGATGTTGGTGTGGCACAAGCCGAATGCAATCCGCTTCTTGAATGGACTGAGCGACATTAGTGGTAACCCAAGCGCGTGCTGCACCGCTCCAGCGCGTAACGAGAAAACTAAGGGCATGTGTGGTGCCCAGGGTCACACATGCGAGGAACGTCCACTCCTCGGAGACAAGCCACGTGTCGTACTTGATGAAGTAGGCATA